AATCTGGTGTGTTCGTTACTCAAGTGAGCGCTGAATTCAGCCCAGTGAGCGGCTTATCTTTCTTCGACGTCCTTAATTATTGGATTGAATGATTACAGTTTTAGCAGCCTTTTCTGAGACTAATTATTATCTGATTTCGCTCAAGAGTTAAGCAATCTTGGTTAAAGCCTTTTAGTTGACTCCGTGAGTGGCTAATTCTGTAAGAGCAGCAACGACTGGCTAAAATAAAGATATAAGAGAAGCTGAATACTTGTAAGAGTTGGGAGTGGGAGGTGTTGTCTGTGAGTCTCTTGTGAATGGTGTCGTATTTTGATTTGACTTAGACGAATGAAGCACCTAAGCTCAAGTGTTGAATTAATTTGGCAGCTTCATCAATGGCATCAATAACGTCATCAATAGCGGCGATCTTAGCAACAAAGGTTTCGTGTTATTAGTTTCTTGTGGCTTCTTCTCTGGCATATGTTTATTCATTTGTTGCGATGTCTTGAATTGTGACTCTGATGTCTTCTTCAGAAACAGCCAATGCTTCAATTGTGTCATCTCTCAATTAAGTGTTGGATGAGATTTGATTTTAGTGATACAAGATTTCCTTTTCCAAATCTTCGACAATCTAAGATATTCTTAATAAAATATTCTTACTCTGTTGTTGGTTGTTGTGTCAAGTTCGAAAGCGTGGTCGTGGTCATTTTGATCTTATTACAATCCAGCAGCGACACCGTTCAATAACATATTAACTTCGTTGGCTGGTGTTTGGGCTTGAATGTGAGCCTTAATTGCTGACAACACAACATTTCCAAATGGATCAGAATCAATCTGAGCCAAGGATGCGTGAGTATCAACAAACTTTGAAGCTGCAAGGGCAACAACTAATGTCAAGATGGCTAGTTTTTGCATATATTTTTATTAATGTTTTAAAAACGGATCGATCAAAAGCTTATAATATACAATTAATTATTATTAATTACAATCTAATTATATAAATATCTATCTCTCAACTTTCCCAATTATCTCCCATCTCTTTTACTCACCAATACCAAATCCGAAGTCCACTGAATCTAATCCCTCTATCTATATTCTTTTTATTTTATTCCTCCTTCTCCTTACTCTAACTTACTCATTGAAACTTTTATCGCTAATCCTGTTCATGTATTCTGAATCTAAGATTGAAAGCTAGATGATACTAATTAATGATTTATTCATATATCGTAATCTGGGTTGATAAATTTATCTGAACATTCTCAAAACAATTCACTCACTTCCACATTATTGAGAAGAATCAAGTCGATCCAATTTTCATTATCAATAATTAACATTAGATAATTCTAATTTATAAATAGCAATGTTATTTTTTAATAAGGTTTACCTATGCATTATATGGTTTGAGAAGTGTTTTAGTCCTTTTATAATTAAAAGAATCTTAAGAAATATTCAAAAAAATATTTATTTAATTTTTTTATCATAGGATGTCAGCACCATTTTATACAGTTAAGGTATTACACTTAATTTTATGAAAGGATGTTCCTGCTCAAGACTTCATTCGTGGATATGCAGAGTACTTAAAGAAAAATAATAAAATAAAAATCCCAGAATGGGCATCTATTGTAAAAACTGGTCTTGGAAAAGAAATCTCTCCAATCGACTAAGATTGGATGTATGTTAGGGCTGCAGCACTTGCAAGAAAGATATATGTCAGAGGTCATTGGGTACTCTATTATAACAACGTAACTATAGGGAGTTGGTAATCTGACTCACATGTTTGGATCAAGGAATGATAATGGAAAACATGAATCAGGATCAGGAAAAGTTATTAGATATTTGCTCTAACAATTGGAATCAATTAAAGTATTGAAGAAAGACAATAAATCACTCCTAAAGAAAGGATCTAGAATTGTTACCAAAGAAGGATAATAAGACTTAAATAGAATTGCAACTTAAGTAGCTTTGGCTGCAAGAAAATGATTATTAAACATAAGTACATTAATATATACAAATTATCATGTGTTAATATACAGAAACTAGTTCTAATTCTTATGGATTTGAAGCTCATGTCTATTAGTAAAAATAAACACAGATATATATAATTCTATTTAGGAATTACTTTTTTGGAATTCAAGTTTATTGGATTAAGTTCATCTTCTTTTGAGTTTGTAATCTCAATTATTTTGCAATTTTCACTTAAAAAAATCTAAATTATAAATATAAATATATAAGTGGCAAATATAATACCCTTAAGTAAACTATCTACACATTGATATACAAATTAGATTTGAATGGTTGAAGTTGAACTAGGATATTGTAAAATGCATGAAGAAAATTAGTAAAAATATGAGAAGAGGGGTTGTAGAGTATGGCAAGTTGGGTTATTTTAAGAGTTATAAAATGATTGAATAAGATAAAAATTTTATTATTATATTATTTAATTTTTGAATGCAGACAGGATTGACAATCAATTAGGAGTATGTAAGAAATCTGTAAGAAATAACAAAAGAGTAATTGATAGTTTTATCGAATAGATTTTTATGTCCCATATCTGCAAACATTTATAATATCTAATTCTTAAAGTTCAGAATTAGAGATATGGAATCTGGATAAGTTTTATTTGAAGTAGAGCGAGATCCTAATGAAGAATCAATTGGTAATTTAGGATTTAATTTGATCAGAAAATATACCACCAGCACTTTAAGATGAAGCAAGGAGAATAAAGTACCATTTTGGTCCTCAATTTTTTGAATTAAAAACGATTGGAGCTCAATTGACATTTTCTGTTGGGGATAAGATTGTCAAAAACTTCACTATTATTGAGAGACATTACTTCAGGAATATCTTATTGAGAAGCTATGAATTCCAATTTCCATTTTGCATTCCAAACTCAACTAATACATGGGAACACATTTACACAATCCCAGAGATCGCTGAAGATGTTGTAAGGATGTTGCTTTATTAAAGAAATAATTAATGATAGAAAATCCTTATGACACGAAATCAGATAGTTTTTACTTTGTTGGCGATACATTGATTATGCATAATAAAGCTGAATATGATTACTCCCCAATAAATGAATGAATTGAATGAGTTGATAATTATATATATAAATAATTAAATGAAGCTATGTAATTGTTGCTATTTTTAAATTGAATATTAATAATCTAATCACTTTCTTCCAAGGGATGTTTATGAGGCTAAGGCTCTAACCTAATCCTTGAACAATTAGATGACAACATCGATGATAGCGTTTTCCTCTATAATAGGGTTTACATTTAATTGATACCTTGTCTTCTTGCAGTTTCTGAGGCATAGAATTCTCTTTTCTCTTCCAAATCGGCAGTGGCACCAGCAACGGCGTTCAATGAGTCTTTCCATAATTTGAGAGCCTTAGCTTATTGAGCAAGAACTGCTGGGAGTTGCTAAACAATAATCAAAACACAATTCATACAGTTTCTAATTTCTCAACAAGACCTGTTCTTCTTTCGTGTTCAGAGTTCAACCAAGCAACTTCGGCATTGGTGTCAGATACGTATTTAGCAAGTGCGAAAGCAGCATGGATTTCTTATTCTTAGAGTGTAGCAAGGGTTGCCTCTAATTCAGCTTATAAGTCTGATAAGATGGCAAGAACTTGTTCTCCGGTTGTTCCGTCTCTCTTTACTTCAGCGAGTGATTAGAATTTTTGCATGGCATCTTATTGGAAGAGGTGACTGTAGGCAGACAATTTGTCAGCAATGGTTTCAGCCTTTTGAACTAATTCAACACCAGCATTGTTTGTGAGCCATCCAGCAACGTCTTATGATAAGAGTTAAACAACTGCAACGGCATCACCATGATCAGCCAATGATTTGACAAAGAGTCCATTAGCCCAACATCTTTAGTCTTAGAGTTAAGCATTTCTTCTTTCAACTTCAGCAAGTCTTGCTTCAGCCCATGCCAACCATGAATATCCATCCTAAGTCTTAAGGGGAAATAGCATACTCTAATTTAGGCTTCAACATCAGTACGAACGGCACCCAATGCTTCCCATTATTATTTGTTAAGGGAAGCAACGTTTGTCAAGTCACCAATAACTTAAGAAAAGATTTCTATTGTTTAATTTATGTCATACCCTCATCTGTATTATTCTTCTTATCAGCAGCAGCTTAGACATTTACATTTTCTGTTTTCAAATCTCTCAAGAGGTTGTAAACTGATTCCACAGCATCGTTTCCTCTAGTACCAGTTTGGAGGAGGACGGCAAATTTGTTTGTGTCAATAGCGAAGACAGCAGCCACTAAGCAAAGGGCAATAAGAGTTCTCATAATTAATTTATTAATACCAAAAACGGAATAAAAATTCTTCGTTTTAATAATACAATAATCACTAATTAATTATTAATTATCTTAGATTTATCCACTCATCCTATCAAAATCATTGAATTTCATATGATCAACTGAATCCATCATAACATTCAATCTCAGAAATATAATTATTTTGTATCCAACCCTAATTCTCTACTCTTACAAGAATCTACCATTTTAAACCTTCATAAACAACACTTACTTAAAGTAAGCAATTAACAATTTAGAACCTTTTCTATTTTCTTATATTTTAATTTGATTTTTCAAGAATTCTATATATATTACTCTCCTATTCAACTTCAATTTAAAGTTTGAAGTAATTATTGTAATTTTTATATCTAATGAATGATAATAATTCATTCATCCATATAATCCCAAATATTCTAGATTATTTAGTTAGGAATTCTTTTTTATTTTACTAATTATGTAAGGATTCTTTTAGTCATATTTTAATCGAATATAGGTCTCAGAATCTTGATACTCTACTTTTACGATTTTTTAGTTTGGAATATAAACTTGGGTAAACTGACTTAGATAGATTTTTAAAGAAAATATGTCATAATTAATAAAGTTTAGCGTTAATTTTAAAGCAGGTGTTAAAGATCTTCAAAGCATAACTGTATAAAGTTACAAATGTGGACTTATGATAACAATACTTATTTATTCATTGGGCTTCATTATCAAACAAATTAAAGAAAATTTAATATTATTAGATTAAAATGGTTTATGGTAATTATTAACTTTGATTGTTAATTGGCGAAATCTCTTTTTGAATTTTATTAATAATAAAGGTATTTGTCTTACATATTTAATTATTTTTAAGATTGCGTAAATTAGATAATATGTTAAAACAATGCTAACTTTTAGTTAATTCTGACGATTAGAATATCAATTTCTGAATAATCATTAAATTGCTAATATCCTCTTCAATCTACTTATTATTATGTGGATAAAATAGGTTCCATTTGCATTGTAGACTCAAGTATATTAAATTATCTTCTGAGTCATTGGAATGCAGCTCAATCACTAAAAATAGGGATTTGTAGATATCATGAGGAAGCCAGAAAATAGAAAGAATAATTTCAATAACCACAATTTTAATAAAAATCAAGAGTTTATCTCGAATATATAATCTTCATATGTCTTCCTTTAAGTTATAAGTGTCTTGACAATTCGATTCACATTGGTTAAACAATATTTCACAAACTCCTTTGCCATTTTTCCTACATTACTCCAAATTGATTCTGCAATCATCTATACATATTATTTTTGGGCATTCGTCTAAGCATGAGTGCACTACACTGAATAAATTTTTTATTTTATACTTTTGACAATTTTTATGGCAAAATGAAGGATTTCCAATACTATCACAACCGCTCACACAATCTAGCCAATCCATAGTGCAATCTCTCTTACATTCTTCATAAATCATTTGCTCTTTAGTTAATAAGAAGTACAAGCTTAGTATTATATAAAGTCTCATAAATTAAATAAAACAATTATTAGGATCATATATTAATCAAATTCAATTGGTCTTTTATCATTTAATTAATGTAAATTGCATCGTTATTTCATACAGTTATTTTGAAAATAATTTATTTGCTATTTGCTTGTTAACTAAAAAATGTGATTAAATTGAGAATTTAAATACAATTCAGATGATGATGAATTATATCATTCAAATTTAGTTTTATAATAAATTTTTAAGATATTTTCTTCTTTTCAGGTTTACATTAATAAATGAAGAAGATTAATAAATACTTTGTATTAATTTATCTAAGAATGAATAAATTTTGAAGCAAATCATTGGTCATTTTTTAGAATAAAACATATTTACAATTACGCCAATTATTCCTAAGAAAATAGAAAGAGTGTGATATCTAAACAAAACTTGTTTGGTTATTTAAATTTTAATAGGAGATCTTTTAATTTTTATTGGAGGACTATATTGTTTTATTGATTATACAAACCTATAGATTGGTTTCACCCATTTTACAGTTTGCTTCATCAATTTTCTAATGAAAACATTTTTATAATAATATTTACATTTCCCATACCTATTGCTTTATGCTTCAATTAGTCCACTCCATCTACAACTATACCTGAATTTCCATAAATTTTTTGATCTATTTTAGCAAATCAATCCAAAGCCTCCTATTAGTCTTTTATAATTTGCTAAACAACTTCTCTATTTGATTTGCCTTTGTAAAGCTCTAAATAGATTATAATTCATATTGAAATTACATTATTATAAATCTTCAAGTAGCAATGTTTTTTCGTTTTCTGTGTCTTCTGCACGCTCTCTTTATTCTCTTAATTTGAAATTTTCAACATTCTGTCCCATATTTAGTCATTTTCTCTCCTCCTTAGCCTTATGATTTGCTAATTTGAAATTTCCTAGCCACTCATAAATCTTTAAGATGATCCAATTCTCTTGACTTTTTGACAATAACATTTATATTTACTGGCTTTTGCATTCCCTCCTAATCGTTTTCAATGTCATAATATTTTTATATTAANATTACTCCAAATTGATTCTGCAATCATCTATACATATTATTTTTGGGCATTCGTCTAAGCATGAGTGCACTACACTGAATAAATTTTTTATTTTATACTTTTGACAATTTTTATGGCAAAATGAAGGATTTCCAATACTATCACAACCGCTCACACAATCTAGCCAATCCATAGTGCAATCTCTCTTACATTCTTCATAAATCATTTGCTCTTTAGTTAATAAGAAGTACAAGCTTAGTATTATATAAAGTCTCATAAATTAAATAAAACAATTATTAGGATCATATATTAATCAAATTCAATTGGTCTTTTATCATTTAATTAATGTAAATTGCATCGTTATTTCATACAGTTATTTTGAAAATAATTTATTTGCTATTTGCTTGTTAACTAAAAAATGTGATTAAATTGAGAATTTAAATACAATTCAGATGATGATGAATTATATCATTCAAATTTAGTTTTATAATAAATTTTTAAGATATTTTCTTCTTTTCAGGTTTACATTAATAAATGAAGAAGATTAATAAATACTTTGTATTAATTTATCTAAGAATGAATAAATTTTGAAGCAAATCATTGGTCATTTTTTAGAATAAAACATATTTACAATTACGCCAATTATTCCTAAGAAAATAGAAAGAGTGTGATATCTAAACAAAACTTGTTTGGTTATTTAAATTTTAATAGGAGATCTTTTAATTTTTATTGGAGGACTATATTGTTTTATTGATTATACAAACCTATAGATTGGTTTCACCCATTTTACAGTTTGCTTCATCAATTTTCTAATGAAAACATTTTTATAATAATATTTACATTTCCCATACCTATTGCTTTATGCTTCAATTAGTCCACTCCATCTACAACTATACCTGAATTTCCATAAATTTTTTGATCTATTTTAGCAAATCAATCCAAAGCCTCCTATTAGTCTTTTATAATTTGCTAAACAACTTCTCTATTTGATTTGCCTTTGTAAAGCTCTAAATAGATTATAATTCATATTGAAATTACATTATTATAAATCTTCAAGTAGCAATGTTTTTTCGTTTTCTGTGTCTTCTGCACGCTCTCTTTATTCTCTTAATTTGAAATTTTCAACATTCTGTCCCATATTTAGTCATTTTCTCTCCTCCTTAGCCTTATGATTTGCTAATTTGAAATTTCCTAGCCACTCATAAATCTTTAAGATGATCCAATTCTCTTGACTTTTTGACAATAACATTTATATTTACTGGCTTTTGCATTCCCTCCTAATCGTTTTCAATGTCATAATATTTTTATATTAAGTGTATGAGTTCGTTTGTATTCATTTTTATTTAATTTGTAATAATAATAGAGTATATACCCTTTTAATTTTCTGTATTGAAAATTTAAACAATTAGTTAACAAAAATATAAATATGTCATTGTTTGTTTCTTTTATCATACCATCTGGGAATTAATTTATTAACCAATTATTAATTACTTTACAGCTCTTCCTTTGTAAAATCAAATAAATTAGGAATTTTGATGTTTTTCTCATAAATTTTAAACATGTTCTCATCTCTGAAGTCATCAAAATAACTATGTGACAATGCTTAGATTGCTGATAATCTTGTTTTAGGACAATATGTTAAAATTTTACTTACTAAATCAACTGCAAGAGGATCAATTTCATTAACAAACACATTTGCCCAATCTTTCTTTCTGATTTGAACTATATTATACTATTTGATATCATATTCTTTATTCATTGATATAACCTCCTCCCTACTTGGAGATCCAAGAACCTTAATAATTTCAACCAATTAATCAACAGCTGATGTTCCTAGAAATAACGGTAATCCATTAAACATTTCTGCTATTATGCAACCAACAGACCACATGTCTACTTGAGAGCTATAATTGGTGGCTCCAAATAATAATTCAGGAGCTCTATAACTTCTTGAACAAATATAAGAGATATTTTATTCCATTGAACTTAATTTTTTGGCACTTCCAAAATCACACAATTTAAGTATGTTAGACTCAGGGTTTATCAATACATTATCAGGTTTGATATCTCGATGACAGACTCCCTTGGTATGCACATAAGCTAGTCCACGAAGTAATTGATAAGAGTAGAGTTTAGCTTATATCTATGGAATCAATTGTTATTATTTAAGGAACTTAGTATTATAGGAATGTATTGTTTCAGGTTGATAATCCATTATGACATTCAAATACTACTCATCTGAGGAATCACCATATGAGAAATATGCATGTTTAGTTTCAACAATATTAGGATGATTTAATTCTTGCATTATTTGAATCTCTCTATTTTTATATCTTTTGTCTTAGATTACTTTTTTTACTGCCACTATTTCACCAGTTTCATTTGCTTTTGCTTTGTACACAACTCCAAAAGATCCTTAGCCAATTACTTATAGGTTTGTATAAGTATAAAGAGAGTAATCAATTGGAACATGGCCATTGAGTATTGGTGATTTACTTTACCATTTTTGATTTCTTAATGGAGTCTTTTATTTGTCTTAAACATTTCTGCATTTCAGAACTCCTTACTATACTTCTAGTTCATCTCCATCTCCTGCTTCAGTCTACATTCTTCTATTAGCATCACCTAATGGAACATATTTATTTTAAGGGTTTTTAGCATAACAAGACATTCAACTGTAAAATTATAAATTTAATTATAATTAACATTTTAACAAGTTTATAAATTTTTAGTGATTTTAATGTTCAAGAGATTTATTAATAAAAATGATTATAACATTAGTACCCAATTGGGTTTAGTAAATTGGTAAATCTTATGAGATTTAAGAGATATTAAAACATAGTATGAGTGTGAGATTAAACATTTTGGGAGTTTCATAATTAATAGTTTATTAGAGTTTTCTGAGTATATAAATGGAAATTAAGTGAATGGTCAAATAGATTAATATTAGAGGAGGATGATTTAGAATGGCTTTATTGAATGACAATTACAATAATAAAAGAACTATGTGATTAAGGAATGTATTATTAAGAGAATAAAAAGTCAAAAGCAATTTTAGAAGCAAAATGAAATAATGGATAGATAATTTTTAATAGAAAGTAAGATAAGAATTGAGAGAAGTTGATTGGCTACATTTATGTTAATTTTAGAGTGAACAAATTGATATGCTATTAACTAACAAGGAAGAAATAAGGCAATAACGGGTGTTAAGTTTATAAAAATGGAGATGAAAGGGAATTAAAAAATAGAGCTGATGTAAAGGTCAGAATTTTATGAAGAATTTGAATTTACCAAAGTAAAGTGTTTAGGTCGAAACTTTTATAAAGGGAAATTTGGATAATGAAAATATGCATGGCTTTATGGTTTATGTTAAGGAAATTGTATTTCTGGTTTTAGTTAGAAGGAGGGATAATAGGTAAAAGATATAAAGAACGATGGATAATAATAGAGAAGGGATCAAAAATTAGATAAGTATGAGTATGGAGATAGAAAATAATAATATTTAATGTTCTTGTTCGGAATATAATTGCATGAATATAAAGAACACAAAGAAAATTGAATAATAATGTGATTATATGTTTAATTAATATGAAATGAAAAATTCGTTTTTGCCTTTTTTTAGCAAAATAATCCTTAGAAGGAATTCATTATTAATTACAATAAATGTTCAAAGTTGCCGTGTGTGCATTGTTAGTACTAGCCTCAACAGCCATAAACGTCTAATCCTCAATTTGGACAAGCAAAGACCAAAAAGCATTTGCTTAGATCCACCAATCTGGTTGGGGTAAGTTCATCTTGAACTATGCTGAACTCCATTTAACAACAGGAGGTATCCTTTCTGAGCTCAACTCTGAGATTGAGAAGCTTGTACTTATTGAGAGTTAATATGTTTATAGGTTGATGAATTGGAAGAGGAATTGGCTGGAGTTCATCATGAATACAACAGAAGAACAGATGTCCACCACAGAGAAGTCGGCAGACTTGAATAAGAAATCTAAGATAAGGAAAGAGGTACTTAATCGCTTTTACTATTTCATTAGAATTGTTCAATGCCCACGATTTCTATGACAACGTCCTCATCCCATAAGGAGAAAGATTTGCTGCCTAACTTGAATAATTATAAGAAAACATTGCTCATAACAGATAAACCCTTGAATAAGCAACAGTCTAAAGAGCCAATGATCACGAAACATTCGAATCTGAAGTTGTTGAACACAACGATGCTATTTCTGCTATTGACGAATGCTTATAATTGTTGAGCACAATTACAGCACCATCTCTTGCTGAAGTCAAGAAGGTCTAAAAGAATTTGGCCAAAATCTAAAACTCATTGAAAAAGCACAACTAATTCCAAATCTTTGTTAAAGTCTTATTGGAAATCACAGTCGATTCCAACTTTGCTGACTAAGGTGCTCTTAGAGATGTAATTTCTAAACTCATATCCTATAGATTGTTGTTGCCTTCAATAACTTGAGAGTTGAATTGGTTGATTCACTCAATTAAATCACTGCTGATGAAGCTGAATAAGTTGCTGATTATAACGCTTAAGTCATTGCATTGAACTAAGAACACGCTGAATTCTAAAGAGCTGTTGTTGTTAAAAATGCTGAAATCGAAGCCAACACAAGTATTCATTTCAATCTAACTACTCATAGCCAAATAAGAATAAACCCTTGACTTAATCGATGAACTTGATGAAGATTTGGCCACTCTTAATGGATAATTATAAGCTGAAAATGATGACTATGCCTTTGCCACTGATGTCTACAATGCAACTGTTGCTGAATACAACAAAGAGATTAATGCTGCCAATTAAGCATTAGATTTGCTCAACCAACCAAGATTCCAAGACTATGTTAAATCATAACTCAAAGGAGCATGATCTATTCCAAATATATCAAAAGCATATAAATTATTTTTAATTAATAATTTATTTCTCTATTTTAATAAAATTCACCAATGTAAAATAAATGTTGCTGTCTACCCACTGAAAAGGCATTCCTCTTAATTGTGTACTTGGACATTAGCAGGATCATCTGGGGTTCTAAAGTATAATATTAGTTAGGAACTATTACATGTGCATTCATGTTTCAAAGGGAATCTTCGTTGTCTCTTGTTATAACAATTTTGGATATCATTCTCATTGTATTTCAATCATCTCTTGCACTTTATATCAATATGAGAGCGCTTAAATAAAATAACAAAAAGCCCATTTATATCTATAGGAAATTGAAATTACTCTTTGTTTTTTGCAATACTTTTGATAGATTAGTGGCCCCAATAATAAATTGTACATTGATCTTCAAAGATGTAATAACCCTAATATTTAGGATTAAAAAGAAGCAAGATCAGATTATTGTGTAGTTGATGTCTTTGTCGCCATAATAATCACAGCCATCATTTGGAATTTTATAGAGTATTATTTCTATACCATAGTCAAGGATTTTGTGTTGATACTTCAACGTTCTGGTACTTCCTAACCTTATTTTAGATAATAGATCATAGCGTTATTCAAAAGATAAGTCATTAAAGAAAGGCGACTCTAGTAATTTGGCAATTATGTATGAAGTTGTAGGCATGAGACCATTAATAAAAAGAAGAGGATAACAAGTTATTGATGCAGATAAAATTGAATAAGGACATCTTAAATCAAGTCAAGAGGCTTAGAGGATATATGCATTGCCAATTCAATAGAATCAGAGTATAAGTTTATTAATTTTAAATAGATTTTTAAATTTTAGGATCATCATCTGGTTTAGTAGAAATTGATCTAATATAATGATTACATAAAATAATTCTATATTTATTTAATAAAATGGACTTGAGTAGAGAACCCTTATCAATCAAGCTGGTAGTCATTGGGGATGGTAGTGTTGGCAAAACCTGCATTTTGCTAAGGTAATCTTTATCAAAATTGAAGTTACACTACAGATAAATTTCCAACTGAGTATGTTCCCACTGTTTTTGAGAATTACATCACATCTGTTTCTCTTGATGGAAAACAAATTAATTTGAGTCTTTGGGATACTGCTGGCTAGGAAACTTATGATAAACTTAGAACTTTATCCTATTCATAGGCTGATGTCTTCTTAATAGTGTTCTCTGTAGTGGATAAATCATCATTTGATAATGCAAAAAATAAGTGGTATCCAGAATTAAGTCAAGGAGATTTAAAAAACATACCAAAACTTGTAGTGGGCAATAAGATAGATTGCAGAAATGAAATATCCTAAAAACATGTAAAATTTGAAGAAGTAAAATCTCTATAGATTTCTAATAGGCTTTTGAGGAATTTAAATCTTAAAATTTAGTTTACAAAGAGTGCTCAGCTTTGACCTAAGAAGGGTTAAAGGAGCTATTTGAGGAGGCAATAAAATAGGGATATGAATATAAATACAAGAATCCATAAATTTTGAAAAATTAGAACCAAAAGGATAGAGTTGAAGAGAAAGAAGAAAACTGTTGCTGCAAGGCTTTTTGAAATAGACTATTTTATAGTTTATTATCAATTAATATTCAATATTCCTATCATATGGTGTACTAATACCAATTCTCCAATGTATTAAACACTAAAATGAAACATTATTGATACTTATTTTTAGCTAAATTTTTTTTATATTCCAATTCTTTTTTTGTTTGATCCTTAAAATACTCGTTTTCTCTATTTTCTGCCTCCTGATAAAACCTGGTCAATTGATCTTTGTAATATTTTAGTTGTAGTTCATAATTATCAAATTCTGGGAGGTTTACTAAATTTACTATTTATGAAAAATAAGCAGCATAAATATTGTGATAGGTTTCTAAAAGTTCTTTTGGAGGTAGAATTGTATATGGTTTATAATAGCACTTGTTAGGATCAAAATACACTTACATAAAATATCATAGCATTTTTAGCATTCTTTTTGAATTCCCCAATTTTTATGGTAAAGTCTGAGTGAGTAAATTCTATTCCTTTTCCTCTGACCTCTTTCTTTGATTTTTTGGTAAATACTGATGCACTATCAAGAATTCTCAATAATTCATTCGAAGACTTAATGACGCATAATCCATTTTCTTTTTTGTTGCTTTCATCTTAAACTAGTTTAATTTATTAATCAAAAACAAAGAATTGGTTTTCTCCTTCACTTAGTTAGATGACATTTTGCAAATTTTCCTGGTTTTTATTGTATTATTATTATAATTGCAAAACTAAGATTTTTTGATCTCTTACTTTATTGATTGGTGGATTCTAAAATATCAACTCTAAAGTTCCATTTCTTTTCGTTTTAAATAATGGAATGCAATTAAAGGTTGGATATGAATTAAACATACTGATTTGACTCAAAGTAAAAAACACAGGACATAATAATAATTAAATTAATTATTAAATTCCGAAGTATTTAATTGAATGATGTTTACTATTTGTGATACAAACTCATATAATCATTCTATAATATGAATATTTTGGACAAGGATAATTAACAAATAAAGGATATTGTAAATAGGATTGTAATCCACAAGGAATTAATTGCAATAATTAAAGATTCTATATAGATTAGACGTAAAAATTGAAATCAAGGGAAGAAATATTCAAAATATCATTATTATATATAATATATTGAGTAATATTAAAGATTTCAATATGCAACTCATTTCCATATATCAATATTTAATAAATGAAATAAATTCTCATTTTCGTAATCAGTCTATATCAAGTTCTGTGTTAAGATAAGCTACTCGCGGTGTAGGCCATTTGGAGACATGGAGCACGAAATCCTTACTATTGCAACTACGAATGTGATCCAAATGTGGCAAAAGGAGATGCTGCATTATTAACACCAACTGGAATGAGACAATAATATGTATTGGGAAAATGGTTAAGATAAAGATACATCACAGGGACTACTCCACTATTATCAACAATTTTTAATGAAAATGAGATATACATAGAAAGCTCTGATGTCAATAGGTAATCATAGATCCCTCATTTCTTAGGACTCTGTAAAGTGCCTATAGTAATTTATAAGGAATGTATCCAGATGGACCTACTGTGCCTCATTTTGTAGATGAGAATGTTTCATTGCTTTTACCCCCCAATAAGGGATCTGTCACACCTCCAGGTATTGGAGATGAGGCTTTACCCAAAAAAATCTAATTGATACCCATTCATACTAAACAAAGAGAAATGGACTATGCTGTTGCCATTGCATGTCCAAAAGGTACTGAAATGGTTGCCTCAAACAAAAAAACAGCTCTATATAAAGAGGTGAATGACGCTACTGCACAATTATATAAAGACTTTAATGAATAATTAAAATTAACTGGAGATAAGCAGGTTAATGATTTCGTTGTCCTCTCTAATTACAGAGACACTTTCATTTGTAATAGATACAACGGAGAAAAAATGCCAGAGGATTTGAAAACTGAAACATTAAAAAAGATTGATGATATTTCCAATTTAGCATTTAGTCTTGAAAAATTCTAAACACCAGAGTAACTATTTCTAAATATTTGAATTAGGTAAGTAAAACTTTTTTCAACTCCTTATTTCAAATAAGTTATTGATCATTTTGATAGCTTTTTGAATGGAAGTTCCCATTTTAAATATTATGGATCTTCTTCTCATGATTCAACTCTTTTGGCCTTATTATCTGGTCTTAATTTGACTAGTGCTCAATGTTAAGCTGAAATTTATCTAAACAAAAATATTACTTATAAAAATTGCATAACATAGGTATAATATATCAATTTATTACTTTAGTATGTTGAGTTTGCTTCCAATATCATTTTTGAACTTTACAATAATTCAATCACAGGACCATATGTTAAAGTATTATACAATGGTGAATATATGCCACTTTGTTCAGTTGAAGCTAAGACTTGCAAATATTCAACTTTACGTTCTGTTTTTATGGCTTAATAAGTTGACTATAAAAAGGAATGCGGAATAGCAGGAGATAAGGGAATCCCTGTATAATTAATTCTTATAATTAGATTGAAGAGGAAACTCCTGGTTGGGCAATTGCATTTTTCATAATTGTCATCCTCTTACTTCTTGGTGGTTTAGCCATGGTCATAATTATTAAAAGAAAAGTAGCAGATTCAGAATGAGAATTTAGACATTTATAAATAAGATTATATCAAGCAATTTTTTCATTAATCATTACTCTTTTGAATTGTCTTTAGAATTATTCATCATAAAATAAAGTTCCTGAAGGCATCAAATATATGAACTTCTTTAACAAATCTAGTCTGCTTTGTTCAATCTTAAATGAATAATTTAAATAGTAGATTGTCACGATTTCAAGTATAATGAAAACAGATACAAAAATCTAAAAATATAGCTTATTATTTTTACAAATATTTGAAATTACATATACATTGTTAATGAAGTGAATTCTTCTTTTAGGGAAGTAGTAAGTTGCTGTAAAACATCAGATACCAAAGAAGCACCTTCTAATTCTAATTATTGATAAGCCTATCTAGTATCAAAATGAGTAGTATCATATTCGGTTTTTACACTGTTAATCATGTAATTTAACGAATTAATTAACCCTTTCGTCAGAACACCTTACATTACGTAATTACAAATAGAATCTGCTTTGGTTTTGTATTTCTAAATATTAAATAATCCTTACATCACTCAAATTATCACAGACTGAATCTTAGGTTAAAATATTTACTATTTTTTCTGTTGAATCTCCAAATAAGAAATTCAAATCATTTACATTTACTAAACTGGATGCGATTTCTTACAAGGAATTTAAACTGCTTTAAATATGATCTTAAAATTATTAAATTTCTGTTTTATTTAAAAATGTAAATGTAGATTTGAAATATAATGCTTCCTTCCAAGCATAAATTATTAATACATTCACACTTGTATCGGATATTTTTTAATAATATAGAGCTGTTTGCTTATAATTATCCAAATAGTTTCTTATAATAATGTAAAATAATAGACTTAATCCAAAAAATATTAAATAATGGAAAATAATTAAGAATAGCTATTTCTTCATTTGTAAAGATACTTGTCTCTTTTAATTTATTTATCTTTATTTAAAATGTTTTTACCGCGATTTTAAAGTTTTGTCAATTCCATCTAAATCTAATTTATATCCATAAATCATATGTCTATTATTTTATATTTGTAACTAAAATTATTTCAATATCACAATATCCTATTCGTTTTAATGAAGATCTTAATTTCTTATAAGCGTTAGAATCTTATTCTTAAATTATCGTATTTGACCTTTGTGGTAGACCTTAACAATCACTATGAAGAAAGTCAAAACATCAAATATTATAAGATAAATTTGAATATCCTTTAAATTTGCATCGCATAATGTAAATGTTGATTCTAAAGTGTAATTTTACAAGTCCAAAAATTTATTGAATAATACTATATAATTTTTATAGGAATAATAAAAGTAGGGGCCATCTATTACAATTGTCTTAACTGTATATGCCAATTTATAATCGTATTAATAATTTAATAGCAAATGTATGGCCTCACGAAATGTAATATTGTATTCCTTCCCAATGTTTGTTTTTTCATATAATGTTATAATTTAATAATTCTCCTACAAAAAGGGCTAGAATTCGGGAATATCTAACACTTTGGTTATACTAATTTTTAAGTCATCATAACCTGAAAGTAAGTTTGAATTTGGAAACTTTATCAAATATTAGTATTCATTTTATGTAACAGCCTTTGTTGATAAAAGTGTATTATAAGTTATTATAGTATATCTTGTTAATAAAAATGATTCTATTGGCTAATAAACTTCATTTTTAATGGATAGTAAATTCATTTGAGAAATATACTCTTTAATTTAATAGGTAGCAACAATCACTTTGATTGAAAATGTTAGGATTAATACTATATACATTAAATAGAAAATATTGAAGGCAATCAAATTTTTAGATCTAGTTTGAGAGTTGATAATAGTGGAATATTGTGTAAATTTTTTATAAAAGGGAGATTTTTTAATTTTAGCAATGCTAGATAGATTAGAAGAATCTTCATTCTATTCGATTTATGCTTATTGTTTCTATTTATTAAACATTGAAGTTTCAGTGAATTTCTTATCATAATTTTAATCATATTCTTAATGATTTTGTATTAATTCCAACTAAGCTTCCTATCTATCAGTGTTTAAAATTATTTATTTTTGGTTAAATTCATCTAAATCCGGAATATTAATTTCAATTTCCTCATCCATCTCACAAAAGTGTTCTGAATTCTATGTCATTTTAAATTAACTATATGAATTAGCTCTATCTAGTTTTAGATTATCCACTTTCAATATATAATAAAATTAATTATCAACAAAAACTCTTTGAATTATTGTTAAATGGCAAGAATAAAATGAAATCTATTCAAAATCATCAAAATTATAGTGAGTTTTAGATTTTGTTTTAGAATCCTATTCATCTTAATAATTAAAGAAATTGATAGGACAATTCTTTATGTCGAAGAGTTTTTCATCAATATATCTTTTGAATCCAGGAATCACTTTAGTTATATGTAGACCAATAATAAAGTCTATTTAATTTTCTTATATGTTAAAGCCATTTGTAAATAGATAAAGACTGATTTCTTGTAATCGCAAGTTAGAATCTACAAGCATTAATTATTTATCACTCTAAGGCGAACGATAAACTGTAATTATCTCAATGTTTTGGGTATTTTTATAATTTAAATCCATGCAAATGTCTATAGGTTAAAATATACCCTTTCTTATCTAAATGAATGTTTCATCGATAGCCTAAAAATATTTATTTTACCCTTCCTACAAAAATTTTTCTATTAATAACTAATGGAAGGTCTTTAATGATTGAGGAATCAATGAATGCAATTGATTTCCTTCTTTTAAAGTGAAGTTCTCATTCTAACTTGCTGAATGATATTTTATCTAAATGTTTTATAGATCATGAATTTCAAAAATCACAAAATTAAAGGATTAATTAAAGAAATTAACCATTTCTGACTGGTGATGTTTAAGGATAATATCTTCATCTAATGCAATCGTTTAACTAAAATAGTAAGCATCAAGAAAGTTGTTTAGAATTTAAACTTAGTATGTCATCAGTATACTTTAATTCTATATTGCTATTCATTAATAACATGATATTACTTGGGAATAATTCATAATTTGATTTTAACCTAGTTAGCAAGTGCTCTTACTCTGTCAAAATTTAATGAACTTTATTACTAAATACTTATTCAGATATCTTTTCCTTTTAGTTAAAACTCAAAAATTCTAATTTCGATTATAGAACGTCCTTAAATATACTTTGCACATCTATATTATTAGAGTTAATAATAGTAAGCTATTTAATGGCCTAAGATATAGCTTAATTATTTAATCTTAGTAATGAAGATTATTAGATCATTTTATTTTGCATATTAGCAATGATCTTATCTTCTAAGATTTCAAAATAGATCTTATATAATGAATTCAATTCTGCTCTTATAACTAATTTAAATGTTTTTGATGCTATTTTAGATGGACTATTTTATGTATATCGAAATAACTATTCTATAATTTATTACGCTTCAACATAGAGACTCAAAACAATCAAGGTTTAAATATAATTAATGTATATCTATAACAATTTAAAAGGGGTCTTTATCTCTTCTGAAAGACATTCTAAACGCCTAAGAATCATTTGCAGTATAAATTGTTAAATAATTTCAATGGATTACTTATTTAATTCTTTTGCTCTTATAGAATATAATTTTTCACTTTTATTTGAATTTTTTTCAACAAATTAATATAAAAATAATTGATTTTTTATATTATCTAAACTTAGTCCATCAAAGACCATACATGATATATATTTTAATTCGTTTATTGACAATTATTCAAGATTTTTGTAGACCATGAATTAGTATAGTTCAACTTTAAGAGATTTCCTAATCACATATATTTATAAAGGGAACAAATATATCCAATCTCGAGTAAAAAAGTCAGGAAAAATGGAATTGAGAATTCCCATCATTCCCAATAGTGTTCCAAAACTACTGAAAGAGATTATCAAATTTTAATAGTTACTTTTCATATGGATTTAATTGTACTAAATCTAGAGAAGTTTATGGAGAAAACTTATCATAATGAGGATTGATTAAATTATGATTGCACCTTACTTGTTTTCTAATAATACATAGCAAATAATTTGGAGGAATTTAAGAAATAAATTTATTACGCTAGTGTAAGATTAATTAATTGTTAAGTATTGTAATGATGGTATAAATTTAATGCTTCTATTTATCAATTACCATTATCCATATAAAATTATTGTTTCTTCAAAAATCAAAAATACTCCCATACAAATTAAATACAATTGTGGTTGCTTCTATTTCAGCACGATCAGTAAACTCATCTCTATTATGTTATTACCTATGTAGACCTTATTCACAAACAAAAAAGTGGCATTTATTTATACTATCAACCGTGTAATTTTTGAATTTAATTGGAGGTGATAAATTTCGTTTATAATATTCTTTTATTCTGATTTATTAACAATTACACAACTATATATCCAAATCCCTATTTGTATTTAAATAAATAGAAACATAGCAATAAAGAACGTTGAATTATCGTCTTAAGTAAAAATGAATATATGGGGTCTAGTAAAAAATAAAACGATTTTAAAAGAATTTTCAATAGAAAATGTAGGCTATTCTAAATAACTAATAATTTAAAGTTGGGCTATAAATCCAAAAATTAGTTAAATAAGTGTTGGTATTTCGGTGCTAAACTATTAAAAAACTAAAGTTGTTTTGATGACATTATTTAGTAAACTACATCGGCTAGTCATTAGTTAAAGTTTATTATTTAAATAATAGTTATAGTATTTAAGAAATAATTCTTAATCAATATTTCCAACATAAATTAATTATAATAAAAAAATAGGTATCTATTTATGACCATAAACTAATACATGATCACAACAATTTTTTAATTTTAATATATATAATAATTTCAATCAAATATTTTAGTCTGCATATCTTTCAAAATATAATATCATAACAATTATAAATAATGTTTAAGAAATACGTAATCGATTGTCTTCATATCTACATTCATCCTTCACAATTTAAAGAATATTTAATGCCATTTAGTTGAATCTACTGATTTTAGTTATTAATAACAAATAATTAGATAATCCTAAGAGTTTTTGTTTTGTCTTCAAACTGTTAAGAATTCCAGAAATGGCTAAATCTAAAATCTCTTATAGTGAGAATCAATATATTGTTTAGTCTAAATTCAAAACGAAGAATGATGATTTAATCAATAGATCAATCTAATTGATATTTTTTCTACTTTACTTTTTCTCTATGCTTCTTTTAATATCTCTACACATGATTAGAATATTATTGTTTATTGACCAGAAAATATTTTGGATTCATAAAATAATTTCAAGAAAATCTCCTCTCAAAATAGATCTATGGAAATTTCTATTCTAATAGAAAATGTAGCGGATTAAGTTCCTTCACACAACTAAACATATTATCATTTTTCTCTTGGTTTTTTTTTAAATTATTATATGTATAAAGGTATCACTATTTTCCCATTAACAATATTAATTATCCAAAATGGTACCTATTATAATTCATACATATTAGAAGTAAAGTAATTTCATCATTTCAAAGGATTGATGTTCATTATGTATTTCAATCCATTTTCCAATATTCCTAAATTAAAACTTTATGTTTGTGATTCCTTTACCATTAAGAGTGAGTATTATGAGCATTAACAAAGTATTTTTACTTTTATCCATTCAATTTAGGTCTTAATCGTAAAAAATTATACTGGTCTTGAGCAGTTTTGAATATCACATTAAACTAACAACCAATAATATAATATGAAGCTGAATAAAATAATATTATCCAAGATCTGCTATAATTAGTTCTCATGTGATTTTTGTTGAATTGCCTTTTCCTCTTAGAAATCTTCGAATTTAATTAACAAGAAATTTAAATTCATCATGTAATAAATTAGTTTATTATTTATTTCTATGTAATTTATAAATATTTTTCTATAAATTGAGTTTTAGTTCTAAAAACAACTTGATAATTTTCAAACTTTATAGATATTTTATGCAATAGATACTCTGAGATAAAATAGGTAGAATTCTAGTTCAAAGTTTGAGTTAGGCTCATGAATAATAGAATGAAAGTAATCATTTAAACTCTCATATAGAATGCATATGAATTTTTTTTAATTTTTAAATTAAAATTATAAAGATTTTAATTGATGAAGAGTGAATAATAGTAGAAAGGAGTCACAAAAACAGTGAAGAAAGTAAAAGTGAACAAAAAGGCACCAGTGAGGTATATTGAAATATATGAGGAAGATTGTGGGTTAAGGCTGTATTTACAGGTTTTAGAAGATCTAAAGTTCAATAAAATGAAAATCAAGCTTTATTAAAAATCTAACATGTTGATGATGTGTCATCAAGCAGATTCTATTGGGGCAAGAGAGTTGCCTATATATATAAGGCCCACTCTCTTAAGAACAATACAAAATTTAGAGTAATGAATTTGAGTTAATATGAAGACTATTTGGGGTAGAGTGAGTAGATCACATGGATCAAATGGAATAGTGATTGCTAGATTCAATAAAAATCTTCCACCAAGAGCAATAGGATCAACTTTGAGAGTATTCTTGTATCCAAACAGGGCTTGAGTTATATAAAAAGAGAATATATATAAATGTATATTAATTTCCAGAAATTAAATAAAAGAAATTAATTTTTTTAATATGAGTCAAGCACCATAGGCAGGACAATAACAAGCACAGAAGTCAAATACATTCAACAAATCGGAAAAAACAAAGGACATTCGATTGACTAATATCCAAGCAGCCAAAGGTATCGTAAATGAAGAGTAATGATTAGCTGTGTCAGATGCAGTCAGAACAAGCTTGGGACCAAGAGGAATGGATAAGATGATTTAAGACGCCAAGGGTTAAGTCTTGATTACAAATGATGGTGCTACCATCTTAAAACAAATGGATTTGGTTCACCCTACAGCTAAGATGGTATCAATTAATAATTAATTATTCAAAGTTGGTAGAGATTTCAAATGCCCAAGATGTTGAAGCAGGTGATGGCACAACTTCAGTTGTAGTTTTTGCAGGTGCTTTATTGAAATCATGCGAGGTGCTATTGGAGAAGGGAATCCATCCAACAACAATTTCGGAGGGATTTTAATTTGCATTGGAATATGCTCTTACAGCATTGGAGGAATTGAAAAAGCCAGTAGATTTAGAGAATAAATAATAATTAATTGAGTGTGTCTAAACAGCACTTTCATCAAAAGTTGTTTCATCAAACAGTGCTTAATTGGCTCCATTGGCAGTAGATGCTGTCTTAAGAATTGTCGATCCTGAAAAGCCAAATAATGTTGATTTGAAAGATATCAAGATAGTGAAGAAATTAGGAGGAACAATAGATGACACAGAGTTAGTTGAAGGCATAGTCTTTTCAAATTAGAAGGCAAGTTAAGCTGCAGGAGGTCCATAATAAGTTAAGAATGCCAAAGTTGCTTTATTGTAATTCTGTCTATCTGCTCCCAAGACTGATGTCGAAAACTCTATAGCCATTAAGGATTACACTGAAATGGACAAAATCTTAAAGGAGNGAAAGTAAAAGTGAACAAAAAGGCACCAGTGAGGTATATTGAAATATATGAGGAAGATTGTGGGTTAAGGCTGTATTTACAGGTTTTAGAAGATCTAAAGTTCAATAAAATGAAAATCAAGCTTTATTAAAAATCTAACATGTTGATGATGTGTCATCAAGCAGATTCTATTGGGGCAAGAGAGTTGCCTATATATATAAGGCCCACTCTCTTAAGAACAATACAAAATTTAGAGTAATGAATTTGAGTTAATATGAAGACTATTTGGGGTAGAGTGAGTAGATCACATGGATCAAATGGAATAGTGATTGCTAGATTCAATAAAAATCTTCCACCAAGAGCAATAGGATCAACTTTGAGAGTATTCTTGTATCCAAACAGGGCTTGAGTTATATAAAAAGAGAATATATATAAATGTATATTAATTTCCAGAAATTAAATAAAAGAAATTAATTTTTTTAATATGAGTCAAGCACCATAGGCAGGACAATAACAAGCACAGAAGTCAAATACATTCAACAAATCGGAAAAAACAAAGGACATTCGATTGACTAATATCCAAGCAGCCAAAGGTATCGTAAATGAAGAGTAATGATTAGCTGTGTCAGATGCAGTCAGAACAAGCTTGGGACCAAGAGGAATGGATAAGATGATTTAAGACGCCAAGGGTTAAGTCTTGATTACAAATGATGGTGCTACCATCTTAAAACAAATGGATTTGGTTCACCCTACAGCTAAGATGGTATCAATTAATAATTAATTATTCAAAGTTGGTAGAGATTTCAAATGCCCAAGATGTTGAAGCAGGTGATGGCACAACTTCAGTTGTAGTTTTTGCAGGTGCTTTATTGAAATCATGCGAGGTGCTATTGGAGAAGGGAATCCATCCAACAACAATTTCGGAGGGATTTTAATTTGCATTGGAATATGCTCTTACAGCATTGGAGGAATTGAAAAAGCCAGTAGATTTAGAGAATAAATAATAATTAATTGAGTGTGTCTAAACAGCACTTTCATCAAAAGTTGTTTCATCAAACAGTGCTTAATTGGCTCCATTGGCAGTAGATGCTGTCTTAAGAATTGTCGATCCTGAAAGGCCAAATAATGTTGATTTGAAAGATATCAAGATAGTGAAGAAATTAGGAGGAACAATAGATGACACAGAGTTAGTTGAAGGCATAGTCTTTTCAAATTAGAAGGCAAGTTAAGCTGCAGGAGGTCCATAATAAGTTAAGAATGCCAAAGTTGCTTTATTGTAATTCTGTCTATCTGCTCCCAAGACTGATGTCGAAAACTCTATAGCCATTAAGGATTACACTGAAATGGACAAAATCTTAAAGGAGGAGAGAAAATATATTATTGATTTAGTCAAGAAGATTGTTGCCTCAGGTGCCAATGTTTTGTTAATCTAAAAAAGTATTTTGAGAGATGCAGTTAATGATTTGTCATTACACTTTTTGGCCAAGAAAGGCATTATGGTTGTTAAGGATATTGAAAGAGAAGATGTTGAATTTATTGCTAAAGTAATTTATATTATTATTTGTGTAGACCTTATGTTTGGTTCCAGTTGCTCATATTGATTAATTGACTCCAGAAAAACTAGGTACTGCTGGATTAGTTGAGACAGTTCATTTGAATGATGAAAGCAAAGTATTGAGAATCACTGGCGTCCCAGCTCAATCCAAGGCTTTGACTATTTTGGTTAGAGGATCAAATCAATTAGTCTTGGATGAGGCTGACAGAAGCATTCATGATGCATTATGTGTTGTTAGAAGCTTAGTAAAGAGCAAAGGATTGATTCCAGGAGGTGGAGCCCCAGAAATTCATTTATCTTTAAGATTAACTCAAATGGCTAATACATTAACAGGAGCCAAGTCTATGTGTGTTAGAGCATTTGCTGATGCTTTAGAAGTTATCCCTTACACTCTTGCTGAAAATGCAGGTATTTGATAGAATATAATTTTTAGGTTTGAATCCAATCAATGTAGTAACAGAATTGAGAAATAGACATCTTAAATCATAGAAGTTTGCAGGAATTGGAATGAAGAAAGTAAATCTAATTGTTAATTTAGAATAATATTGTTGATGATATTACAACCGAATAAGTTGTCCAACCTATTTTAGTCACTAGAAGTGCTTTAAGTTTGGCTACAGAGTGCGTCAGAATGATTTTAAAGATCGATGATTTAGTCATCTCAGCACGTTGATCCATAATATATTAAGTATATAATAAATAAATAAATGTTAAACAATTAAAAATCCAAACCTAAATTCAAACCTGCATTCAAATTGAAATAATTATTAAATACTATCGGTCTTCCAGAAGGTTTAAAAGATTAAAGTTGCAGATTTAAATATTCTATAGATAATTCTCAATTTCAATTATATCAACAAATTAGTAGCTCTATAAGAAAGAATGGTTCCAATTTCAAACCATCGTTCTTGCCTAGCATTACAAATAGGAAGTCTTTAGTAATTGAACCTATTTCTTATTAGATCAGCACCTTTGATCATTTATTACCAGATAAAAGCATAAAAAATAAAAAAAAAGAATTACACAAAAATTACAAGAAATTCAACAATTTAAGTATTGCTCTCAATCCTAATGAATAAACCAATTTAACTAATGACGAATTATAACTCTTTTAGTCAATCAAAAATAGTCCATAGAAATAACAAAACAATAATAAATCTCCTGATTAGAAAAAAACTAGAAAATAAAAGTTAATCGAATTTTTGAAAGGATAACATCAAAATATCTAATTTACGACGTTATTACAAAAGAAATCTTTAAAAGATCAAGCTTTACTCCCTTCTTTCGTTATTACGAAATATCAAGAGCTGTAATTTTGACTTTGTATATTATTGTTATTTTTATTGGAAAACGAAAATATTTATATTTAAATTAATATAGTCTTTCAACAATAATTATACAACTATTAGAAGATTAGAAAGGCAGAACATTTAAAATTAATAGGATTTTGTAAATAATTCAAGCCATTTTAAAATTTTTTAAATAAATCTATTTATTTTCATTAGTAAAAATCCAAAAATCTAGATTATTATAATAAAAATAGTTCGTAAATTGCACATTTATAGTAGCAAGTACTTTAAGTCTATATCAAATGTAGATGAGGAAGAAATATATTATTATGATTCAGTAATTTATATTATTGTTCAAATCCATACTCAAAGATTAATTTTATCTATTAAAATGAAATTTTGGTTACCGTTAACAACAAGTAAGATTATATAGTTTTTTTATTAAAATTAATTTCAATAATAACAATACTATTTGAGACTCCTTATTTAGAAAACTGATGAAATATATTAAAATTTAAAAATTAATCAGAATGCGATGTTCATTTATGTCTGAGAGTATTTAGAAAATTACCTAAGTTAGCCTTTTTACCATATAAGATGTATTCATATTAAATAGACTTTTTCTTTGTAGCTAATTGTTAATTATAATTTTTTTTACTCTAAAAATGCGCTGGGCCATAGGCTTTTTTTAAGTCTGCCTGTTTTTTTGTTAGAGTTGGCAATTTTACACAATCTAAGAGATGCAAATTTTTATTCTTAAAAGAGTTTTATAAGACTTTGTTAGTTTGATTAAATATAGTCTTTTTATGAATTATGTGAGTTGTATTTTACTCTTCTTCCATTAGGGAATCATCACTTATTAAATTGGGATATATATTACTTTTTTTTTAATAATTTTATGGATTATAAACTAGTTTCTAACAATTTTTGTTATTCTTGATCTCTTATTTCTTTAAAGTAAGGATGTCTCAGCGCTTGTTTTGCATTAATACGTTCTTCTGGATCATAAATTAACATCTATTTAATTAGATCTACAAGATCTTTAGGAGCATGCGGAATCAAATTTTCTAATCCAGTTCCAACTTTATAAGGGAAATTGATTTCCATATGAGTCGCATGCTTCCTAAATCGATCAAGGACTTTAGGATTGGGTGTTCCCAAAATGTTGTGAATACGATGCACTTGATCTAATTCATTGCTTCCAGGAAAGAGAGGGAATAGAGCTGTGATCTCAAATAAGACACAACCAGCACCCCATATATCCATTTTGCTATCATAGTAACCATCAGTCATTAGACATTCTGGAGATCTATACCATCTGGTTGAGATATATTCTGTGTATGGATGTTTCGAGTATATTCCTTTACACGAACCCAAATCAGCCAATTTAAGATGATCTCCAAGCAACAGGATATTTTCACTAAAACCTATCAATTCAAATCTTACGGTTTAATATCTCTGTGAAAAATATTATTTGTGTGCATAAAATCGATGGCTTTTAGTAATTGATACGTATAACTCCTAATCTTCTCTTATTTTAATGGTATTTTTCTGCCTAATTAGATGTATTAATTAATCTTACCTTTAATATGTTCGTACAGATTTTATTCCATCAACTCGAATACTAAAGCCAATCTTCCAGTAGGTTCATCACTAATTATATTGAATGATATTTTACTATAATACTTCAATTAATTTAATAATGTGTTCATGATTTTATAACTTTCTTAATGCTTGAATTTCTTTGAGTTTGTTAACCAATATTAGAATTAAAATACAATACTTAGTCAATTGTTTGGAAAACTTGCTTCATGCATTTTATTGCAACTAATTAATTAGTTTTAATAGATTAAGCTTTTATAACTTCTGAAAAAGTGCCTTCTCCCTTTTTGGTTATTAATCTGTAATCTATTACATAACAATAATAAATTTACTTTACATCTGACTAACACTAAAAAATAATATAAATTATGTTTTTATTATTATTAAAATAGGAATTAAAATCAAATCATCATCTATAATATTATTAATATCAATGAAAAAATCTTTATTATCGATATTTCTATATTTCTATATTATCAAAACTCTAGATATGTCAAAATAATTAAATATGTTATATATATAGCAATTTTTTCTTTAAAAATTAATAAAATATTTCATCACTCTAAAATTGATTCAATTATATAATCATCTTAATCACTAAATTTGAGATTAAATTCTATATATAATTTTCAGTATAATTATTCTCCTCGTTAAAATTTGATACAACAAAATACTACTTACTTTAAACCACCTTAATGGAAATTGTTTGATAATATTTTAAATATCATTGAATTAAGATTGTTTAAAAAGAAATTATTAAATCTTTTAAAGAGTTAATTTGAAATGGACATGTGTTATTGTAAAATAATCTTAAAAATACTTTTGTTTTTTTTGATTTATTAAAAATTATAAATGAAATTAATTGCTATTATTCTAATTAGCATTTCTCTGAGGATTTATGTTGCTTTTGGTGGTTATTCAGGAATGAATGATCCACCATAATATGGAGATTTCGAAGCATAAAGACATTGGATGGAGCTTACCACGCACTTAAATGTTACTCAATGGTATGAGAAAAGTGAGTTTAATGATCCAAAGTGGTGGCCTTTAGATTATCCTCCTCTTTCTGGATATTTTGCATATGCATTAGGAAAGGTTGCTGAGATATTTGATCCGGAAATAATAGCTCCTTATTCATCAAGAGGTATTGAAACTTTCAATACAAAACTTTTTATGAGAATAAGCGTATTTATTTCAGAGATAATTTTTCTATATCCTCCTTTGATATATTTTATACTTAAACAATAGTCAAAATAATAATTGATTGCATTGTGTTGTCCATTATTGATATTAGTGGATCATGGACATTTTTAATATAACTGCATTATGCTTGGATTAACATTGTATGCAATAATAAATTTGGAGAAAGGAAAATTAGTATTAGGTTCCATATTCTATGTAATGGCATTACATTTTAAAGTGATGTCACTCTACTACTCCTTACCATTTTTTATTTATATCCTATCAAAAACATATAAAGAACCAAAAAAGGTAGTTGTTGTTGGAATCACTGTTATTTTGACAACTCTGATAATTTGGTTGCCTTGGTTGTCTGATTTAAAATTGATTTAAGAGGCAATTGCTACAATATTCCCAATTCATAGAGGCTTATATTAACTTCATGTTGCAACTTTTTGGTGCATTAGTCATGTAGTGATTAAATGGAATTTAATGTTTAACAATCAACTGCTATTCAGATTAGCTGCAATTCTAACATTGTTATTTTCTATTCCTTCGCTAATCAGATTGTTTAAATAACCAAACTTATTCAGACATACTCTATTTATAGTGTCTCAGACTTTCTTTTTGTTCTCTTTTCATGTCCATGAGAAAACTATACTTCTGCCCATCATTTTACTATTAATAAGTTAGAAAGATTATGGATATTTAGTTTATGATTATACAATTATTGCAACAATCACTCATCACCCATTAATGATTGAAGATAAATTGTTTATAGAATACTGTGTTCTATTAGTATTATTCTTTATTTTTACAAGAAATAATTAACTACCCCAATTTCAAGATTCATGGATTTTAAGATTGTATTCCAAAATAAGAAATGTAAAAAATTTGATTTAATTTTAGATTCCTGTTTTGCTTTATGTCATCCTATTTGTTTGTCAACAATTAATCAACCCTCCATAGAGATTCCCATTTTTATATGAATTAAGCATGTAAGTGTTAGGTTTCAGTATGTACACATTTATGTATATAATTTCCCATTAATAAATTAAGAGTGTCAAAAATGATTGAATATTTAAGTTTTCATAGAATTTAATAAAATTTTAATTCATTTTTTTGTTTCTTTAACTACTGTGTATTAATTTATTGCATTCTTTCAAATAATGTTAATCCTGGTTCAAACTCTTGAATTTCTTCTTATTATAGATCTGTAATAAGAAATAAATCCTCTTAAATTTTGAATCCATGTATTCTCTCTATATTTCTAATATAGTTTTATAAGATACTTTTTTTATATTTAAGATGGTAATTCTTCAATATTTACATCTGCAGTAAAAGATTTCCTACCGACTTCCAAAAAGAGTTATTATTTTGAAGTTTCAAAATTGTCATCAGAATTTCTGACCTCCAATTTAGAACTCCAATCAAATTACTAATCAAATGGATAACCCATTTATTGATATAACTTCTTAAATAATTATTGAATGTAATCATAATTGGGATCTCCATTGAAAGGGATATTTTAAATGTATTTAAAATACTCTTCAAATTGTTTTGGTAATCCATAACTAATTTTTATAATTATGAATACCATAATTCTTCAATTGATGTACTCATCTTCTTTTATCCTATTAGTCTAATTTTGTCTTCTTTAGTCTCTGCTTAAATGTTCATCCAAGGTAATAATCCTTTGAGAAAGTAGACTGCCAAATAACCCAAACTCTCTAAATCACTGGCTCTGTTTTATGATTGATTTAAATGAGTGCAAATTGGGCAAAATCTAGACTTGACTAAGTTAACCAATGAAATACCTTGGGGTTCCAATCATATTTTCGTTTTTCTGTTTCTCTATATGTTATCCTTAATCTTTGTATAATTAAGCGAATCCAAAATCTATTAAGTATATTTCATTCTCTTTCAAACCAGTCATAAAGTTTTCTGGTTTAATGTCTCTATGAATATAATCATTCTTATGCAAAAACTCTAAACGATTTATTGCTTAGTCTAGAAACATCAAAACAGTCTTAAGTGAAAATACCTTATTTGGAGTCTGCATTAGCAGTTAGTATAAATTTTAGCCCAATAATGTTTGAACTATAAAACTATTAGTGCCATCTTAGATAAAGTAATATAATCTAGGAAATCCTACATTCCCATTCAATTTATAGAGCACTTCGGCTTCGTGTCTTACTGATTAAGCAAGAATTGGATTTTTTCCTGTTTGCAATATTTTAACGGCATAATATTCCAATTTAAGCTAATGTATAGCTAAGTAAAGATGACCAAAGGTTCCTATAAGTTAAAACAATAATTGAACCAGAATTGATGGGATTGAGGATTCGATAATTTTTACAAACAATCTTATCAACCCATTGAATTTCGGATGATTTTTGAATCAATTTATTGGGATATCTGTAGTTAGACATATTATTTAAATTATATTAATATTGAATCATTTACAGAATTTCTTTATAATAATATTGTTGTTAGAGATGAATAATCAAATATTAAAGAATTCTATTTGAGTATGACTTTCAATTAGATTTACTATAACTGTTAGATTTAAAAGTAATTAGATTTAAAAATATTATTTTAAATTGCTAGATATTTAACATAAAATGTTAGAATATTAAATGATATAAAACATTTTTATTTTTTTTAAATAATATTAATTAAATAAATTATGTAAAAGAGGCCTGAAGATGCAAAAAAAGAGGAGTAGTTGTTCATATACTTGTAGAAATCATATGCAGATGCATAAAAAGTATTGTTTCTTATATATTTTAATAGGGAATGCCCAATTCAATGAATAAAATCATTGAAGAAGTTTGCCGAAAGAATAAAGACATACCATAAATAGGTTTGTGGGTTGAATTATTTAATCGGCTGTTGCTTTAATTGCAACGCAATGGCAATGATGCCAAAATGGTCATCGATATAGTATTGTATAAAATACCATGGTTCACTTCTGACAATCATTTCTAAGTCTTACCTTAATTCAAAAAGATTTTGTTCACTATTCTGTCTATGTCTCCCTCGTAATTAGTTACAATCTATCGTTTTTTGGTTTAAAAATTGAGTCTTCAAATGTACATCAATTAATTACTATTCAGGCTGATCGATTCAGAATAAACCAGAGATGATATTCCATGTGAAGTGATGGGTTAGTCCTATCCAACTAAAGCCGCATTGTAATAATAGATCTTAGTAATGACTGAAGCCTATTAATTGACTGCTGAAAATCAGATTGTTAAACTGTCAGAATCTCACAAATAATTTATTAAAGAAATATTGATTCATCATCCAAAAGCAGATGAGAAGTTGAAATGTATGTCAGATATTGGATATGGATACTTCCCATCCAAAAATAAATCGAAATGTTTCTATATTATTAAAAAGGTAATACATTATCAATATTTTAGGATAATTCATATGAGGATATTTCATACATCAAAGGAATTGATGGATTATATAATAATATATATAGAGACAAATACCTTAAAAGTAGTAATAATATTCATTCTGATGCGGCAATTCAAATTATTAGCGAAATCATTTAGATCTATAAATTAAGCAAAGAGAAATTATTGGAAACTCTGTCTGATTTATTTCCACATAAGAATCAAAGTGAAATTCATTAGAGAGTTTATGCTACCAATTGTATGAAATTAAGCGATCGCATCCCTGAACTTAGATCTCGTATCTTTAAAATGGTGTATATAAAGATTTTATAAATTGATTCTGAAATTAAGTATGATCCACAATACAACAATTTCATTATTAAAACTACTTTGTAATAACATTTGAACAAAAAGCATAGAGATGATATGTGCAAGAAGGTGGATCATTTATTATTTATATTATTTGATTATTTGGATTCTAAATTAGGAATTGCAAAAAAGAGTATTTTCCAAATGGAAATCAATGAAGACTTGATCTTTAAGATATTCCGAGAGCTGCAATCAGTATTCTAAGAGATAATGCTAAAAAATCAATATTACAGAATGGCTCACTATGTATTTCTATATTTTTGTTCTTTACCGAATTCTTTATCAAGAATCAATCAATTATTTCTCTCATAGTTAGTCTAAAATATAAGATCTGTAATATATTGATAATATCATATAGAATACACTCTCAAAAACTGAAAAAATCAATTCTCTTTATTATTTGTCATCCTTATTGGTGAGATGCAATTCTATAAAGTGCTCAGTTTTTGTGAAGGCAGTTGAATTGCTAATGGAATACTTGAATGATAAATCTTAGTAAATAGAAATTGAATTGGAACATCATCTAGTGCAAATGATGATATTTTTAATATCAACTAAGTCTACATAATTAGAGATCCTTAAAAATCAAATACATGAGACTATCCTTAAGAAGAGTTCAACTTTATAATATATTCATTATGATATATTGGTAAAATTCAATGAAGTTTTATTGAGATCCAAATCAGATGATTTGAGATAGAAACTGATTGAAATAACTGCAAATACGATATCAAAACATATTGGTAATAATTGTTAAGGAGAATTAATAACAAATTATCACAGTCCTAATACTCCTCAGAAATTGATATATGATCACGAGAGTTTGTTCTCTAGAACATCAACCTAAAGAACAGTCGTGCATAAGAATCAATTAGACTTCTATTAGCCATTCAATAGTATGACTTTAATTTACTCTGAACCTTTTATCAAAGAATTCTATAGATATGACTAAGAATTGATAAAAGATGAAGGTGGTTCATTAAATGATAGTCATGTGGAAGAAAAGAGAATCCCTCAATTTTGCGAGTCAGAGAAGCCATAAAAGAAAGTTAAATAATGAATGGTTTTAATTTATTTAATTTGATTTAATGTAATTAGTCAACAATGATTTGGTAATCCAATTTCAGCATTAGAAACTGATGTTGATAATCCCATCCATCTTCTCATTTCCATAATAATTTCTTTGTCTCTGTGAACTCTGGTATCTAAAATAAATATATATATTAATAATTACATTCTCCTTATTGCCATTATCCATTTTGATAAATGGTATAACCACAAACATTAGGATTGTGAGCCTTCTTATATGGAACTGATTTAGTACAGCCAGAACATGCTGATCCAACGCATCTGGCACAATCTGAATGGCCATCAGGAGGAGCTTATGCTCCATTGGAATCAATAAAGGAATAAGAGGATAACACCAATTTGATTTACCAATTGGCATCTGTTCTGAAGAACAATTCTCTATTGAAATAACGATGTTTTTCAACATTTCTTTCTTTAATCAAGACACTGCCTTTATCTTACATATCCCTACTAGATGATCCTGGATTCTAATCATCATGACAATCTAATTATGCTACAAATCTTTCAGATGAAATTGGCCACCAACCACAAGCTGGATGTTCCTTTGGATAATCAGAACTCCAAATCTTAATCTTATAGATGTCAGAATCACTCAATCCAGCTTACTTCATGTAATTATCAAATGATTTCCCATAGTTATACCAATTTTCATTACACATCAACAAGTCTTTCTCTCCACCAATAATTACTTCTAAATAAGCTGAGAAATCATCTGGTAATTTGCCTCCCATGTTATTTGCCAACTTCTTGAAGATGTATGCTAAACCTTCTGGGCTGATGTGTTTGGCAGCATCAATTCTTATTCCGCTAATACCTATTGAAAGCAAATCAGTAATGTAATCGGCAATTCTTTATCTAACATAATCTGATTCAGTATTCAAATCTCCTAAGTTCACTAACCATCCATAATTTAAGATGAATCCATCATTCCAAGATGAAATTGGTCTTGCACAATGGAAATCCAATGGACCATATGGGACTGCTGGGAATTCCATGCCTGGTCTTGCTCCTGACCAAGTCCAATTTTAATAGGCAAAACCTTATGTATACCATGGAGATCCTCCAGAACTATTCTTATTTCCCCAATATGTAGAACCATAACAATGAGATGGGAACATATCATTACCGTTACCACTCATATGATTGACAACTGCATCCGCGTATACTCTCAATCCCTTTGATCTACAAGTATTAATCATCTTTCTTAGTTCCTCCACTGTACCCATACGAGAATTAAGACGATAAGACACAGGCTAATATAACCAATACCATGGATTCAACTCTCCATTTTCTGGATGTTCGTAATCCAATATTGATTCTTAAGGTGGGAACACTTTGACTCCCATATATCCAGCTTTGGCAATCATCTCACATTCCAATTCAACATCCTCGTATTTCCAACCAAATAATTCAACGATAGCTCCTTTTTATCCATTTTTATAATGGCTAGATTAATTTACTGTAGGATGATTCCACACAAAATCTACTGGTTATAGCTCAAGTTTTGCGATTGTTATATCACCTCCAACTCTCAAATAGACCTTGATTTAAACTTCACTTCTGGGAGCTGAAAAGGATTTATTAGGAGAAGTCTGTTCCTCACCATCAAAACTATATACTAAGGAACCTTGATATTCTGGATTCACTCTTGTGTAAATTGAGATTGAGCAGGATCTAAGATCTGAACTATATTTTTATTAAGCATATCCTTATAAAATATGATAATCTTAATATCCTTCACTAAATGTATATATATTGTGGGTACCGCCATAAAGAATCTCCTCTTGGGGGAGTTTAAAAGTTTCTATCGAACCAGTCAGAGGGATTATCAGTCTGTGATCCTTTACATCCATTGTCACCATCAAAATTAGTACACCAATCCCTCAAATTCTATTCCTTATTTGGTTGTGGGCTGAATTAGTATATCATACCAACCATGATCAACACAGCTGATAGTACCTATATTAGTTATTTCATTATTTTATTTATTGCTTGTTCCTCTTGGTGACACACTTTTATATTAACTAATATGACGTATTTTTCATTATGGACGAAATATAAATGACTATAAACATTTATTATATTATAAATATTATCAATAAAAACATTAAATCAATACTTATCACAAATTAGCTAAATTAATCATTTTGAAATTGGGACCATTCCCTTCCAAAGCTATTTGAAGTACCTGATCTATAGTCTTCACCAAATGAATAGACATCTTCTCTCTTATTTCAGCCTCCACATCTATCAAATTTGCCTTATTCCTATGCGGGATTATGACACTAGAATTTAGATATGTCTCTACCTAAATATTCCACTCTCAAAAGCTCCAAGAATTTTCTCTTTTATACCTCCAACTGGTAACACTCTCCCTGTCAATGTAATTTCACCTGTCATTGCAATATCACTTTTAACCTTCAATCCTGTTAGTAATGATACTATCGCAGTTGTTATGGCTACTCCTGCTGATGGTCCATCTTTTGGTGTTGCACCAGCAGGGAAATGAATCTTTAATTGTAATCTAAATATAACTTACATGAATATCAAGAGCATCGAAATTAACATGTGAGTTTAATTTGCTTAACATTTTAATTTATGGCCAATATGCTTTAATCCATCCAATTGCTGTTCTTACGCTTTCCTTCATTACATCTCCTAACATACCAGTAATCTCAAATTTTCCTTTGCCTTCCATTTTCACTGATTCAATCATTAATACTTTCCCTCCTGCAGGAGTCCATGCCAATCCTTTACATACGCCAGGAATAGATATCAAAGGAGTTGTATGCTTATCTGAAAGCATAGATGGACCTAAGATTTCTATTAAACCTTCCTAATCTACAACGATTGTTTTGAAATTTTACTAATCTGTTACATACTTAAGAGCAATATTTCTATAAATCTTCGCTATCACTCTTTCCAATTATCTGACACCTGCCTCATTAGTGTGCTATTTTATTATTGAATGAATAATTTCCTAAGGTATCGTAACTTATTCATTTACAAGTCCATTTTTTTAAAGTTATTTAGGTATCAAATAGTTGTTAGCAATAGCTACTTTCTCTTTTACTGTATAACCAACAATTTCTATTAATTCTAAACGATCCCTTAATGCTGGTTGAATAGTTTCTAATTGATTGGCTGTCGCTATAAATAATACACCGCTTAAATCAAATTCAATGTTCAAATAATTGTCCATAAAATGACTATTTTACTCAGGATCTAGGACTTCCAATAAGGCTGAACTAGGATCACCTCTATGATTGGATGTCAATTTGTCAATCTCATCCAATAATATCACTGGATTTTTGCATTTCACTTTTTTGATAGCCTAAATAAGGGATCCTGGAAATGCTCCAACATAAGTACGTCTATGTCCTCTGATTTGTGCTTCATCGGATACTCCACCCAAGGCAATTCTATAAAAAGGACGGTTCAGAGATTTGGCAATACTTTGACCAAGTGAAGTTTTACCAACACCAGGAGGTCCGAAGAAACATATTATCGATCCTTAACCATTGGAATCAGTTATTTTCCTCTCCTTTCTTAACTTCTTCACAGCCAAGAATTATAATATTCTCTCTTTTACTTTAGTTAATCCAAAGTGATCTGCATCAAGTGTTTCTTTGCATTTTTCAATACTCAAAGTTTCTTCAACTTATTAATTCCATGGTAATTGAAGTATTAGATCAATATAATTCCTAGTAACATTTGAATCTACTCCCATAGATCCTTTTTCTATTTTTTACATTTCTTACTCTACAATTTCTCTAACATGATCTGGTAAATTGGCTTCTTTAACTTTGGCTTATAACTTCTCAATATCATTATTCTTCTATTTTTTATATGAAAATCCTGGGAGATTAGCAGATTGATTATTAGTTTTACTTGCCTATTTATTCATTTATTGCATGAGATCCTTTGATACTTTCTATTCCAGAGCTTTTGTTTAAGCAAACTCTTCAACCTTAGTTTTTAGATATTGTATCAATAAAGTGATCTTTGTGTTATGATCATCAATCTACAATAATTTGAGTTTCTAACTATAATGAAAGTCAGCATTAGTGGCTATCATAAAGAACAACTTATTGATATTTTTCTCTTCCTATATGATTTATAGGAACTATGGACTTGGATTCATTTGGAATTATTCTAGATATTGCTAAAATTATCCAAAATTCTTACTTTGGCTAATCCCTTTAAATTGTCGATTATTTAACTGCTCCATAATGTTTATTCATCAACAATTTCATCACTCAAAACTTCTGCAGAAATCATATAATAGGGAGTAGATTTTATTATAGAATCTATTTTGATTCTAGCAAATGAAAAAGCTTGGTAAATTTTATTTGAAGCATATACACTAATGCTAGTCGATAAAATTAATACGTATAGTCTTCACTTGTCAGTCTCACCAAAGTGCCATACTGACTAAATCTTTGAATTCTTTGAATCCCATCGATTTGTTGATCGACAACCGGTATAATAGCGACATAGTTATTATTTACTTTGGCGTCATAGAACTACAAATCTGTTAATCTGAGTTTCAAGTTTTAGTAAGGATAGAGAACTGTCCCATGAATAGGAACTACAAAAACATTAATCTTTTTCATTATTAATAAAATAAAATGGCTAAGCAAGAGACTGGTAAAAATAACAAGAGAGATCGTAGTCCAGTTGCTGTAACCATATTATATAAAACATTAGGAAATGAAAATATGGTAGGAGGCTGTAAGAAAGGAGAATTAGCATCTCAAAGTGTATGAACATTTTACAATCAATCCCCACAAATGTATATGCAACAGTTATTCATTAGTATACATAATCCAAGAGAAACCTAATAATAGTATCATGTTATAGAAGCACCTAGAAAAAACAGGTGCAGTCTAAAAGCCAGCATTCGATGTTAATTAAATAACAGATGATTCACCACCTTTAGAAAGTAATTTATGTGTTTTCATATTTTAGAGGACATCGTTGACAAATTAAACACCATGAATAGGACTCCTCGTTAGAAATATTAATTTCCTTAGACTTCCAATTAAGAATTAGGATGGCATTCAGTTGTAATATTTATACTATTTCCTTTTAGAATTCTAATAGCCTTTCTCCTTCTAAATTCACTTATCCAAGGAAACTATGCAAAGAAACAAACTATGCAAATGATTACTTTACAATGAATAAAATCAGTCCATATTCCAATAAGTTTAAATGATCAATATTAGATATGTAATATTTTATACAAAAACACTCATTTTTATTATTTTAAACTTTCGATTAATTCAACTCCTCCAAGAACCTTTATTTTCTCACACAATATCTATCCAACCTTTTCAAAATGATCTACTGCCTCATCCTCAATTACTTTACTACCATCAACAGCCAAAACTCTTCCCTTAATATACACTTATCCATTTCCTCTGCACTCACTATAAACTGCAATTGGTAATCTGCATCCTCCCTCTAATAAATTCAGAAACATTCTTTCAGCCACACATCTCTTTTGAGCATCTGTATCATTCAAAATCTATAATCTTCCTATTGTTTCTACATCTTCTTTTCTACATTATATCCCTAAAGCTGCCTATGCAGGTGCATAAAGGAACTCTTTCTCATCTAAATCAAAAGAAATCTGTTCAGCCAAACCTAATCTCAGAATGCCAGCCTTTGCTAGAATGATGGCATCATACTATCCTTCATCTAATTTTTAGATTCGTGTATTTAGATTTCCTCTTATATTTATTAAATTTAATTTTGGATATCTACTTCTAATTGTTGCTATTCTTCTTAGTGATGATGTACCAACCTTAAATCCATCTGGTAACTCACTCAAACTCTTATAATTGTATTTTTTATTCAGTAATACAACATCTCCTCTCTATTCAAATTTTGTATATGCAGCTAAGTACAATTAAGCATCTATTATTGTGGGTAGATCCTTTAAGGAATGCACTGCAACATCCGCTTTCTACTCGAGTCTATAATTTAGATGATATAACTTACAAGTACTATTCTACTTGCTTTGTAAATACACCTACTGTAGGCATTTAATATAAAGGATCTTATAAATTCACATCGCCAACCTCATTTGATACTTTTATAATTTCACATTCTTGTTTCAATTCTGCAATTACATAATTTGTTTAAGCCATAGCCAAGGCCGAAGATCGAGTGGCAATTCTTAATTATCTTTGCATATACAAAATTATTTAATTATTCCAAAAATATTATTCAACATTCCTTTAAATTCACTAACACTGATCTCAAATGGCCTTATTTCCTCTTTCTATTCTCTTATTCAACCCAATATCAATTTTATATTATCCAATTTTCGATACAATAGTTTTGAGATTTGCTTAACATAAAATTTATATATCCTTGTGTATTTCAAATATATTTATTGTAAAGGAATTATAGATTGTGTTATGGTTATTTGTGTAACTTACAAAATCTAATCGTTTTAGTAAAGGTAAGAATGTATAGAAACGAAAGGTGGAAAGTAAATGTGAAAATTAAACTATGGAAATGGGAAGAAGAATTATTAATAAATGAATAAATAAATACAATGATTCTTAAAATAATAATATAATAGTGAGAAGTTTGTGTATCCTTAATTTTATTTTTAAAATAAATGAGTAGAAATCAATCCAGATAATAATCAGCTGCTTAACCAACACAATAAGCATCAAAAAATCAACCTCCTGCTCCAGCACCTGCACCTTCTAAAGGCAAAGCTCCTGCTCCAGTTTAATAGCCTGTTTAACAACAACCAGCTGGATTTGATGCATCCAAATATGTTAAGCCAGGACTTAGTAAGGAAGAAGTATTAAAAATAAAGGAATGCTTTGATATCTTTGATGATGATAAGAGCGGATCAATTTCGTATAATTTGTATCTTAACTTAGTCCAAATGAGATGAAAAATGCCATCATTGCATTAGGAATGGAATAATCAGCAGAAGAAATAGTGAACATGATTCAAGATTTGGATTAAGATGGATCTAGCTTAATAGATTTTGAAGAATTTCTTAATATATTTGGATTTTCAGGGTATTAACTTATAAATATAATAAAATAGCACAATAGAGGATGAATAAGTGCTAGAAAAGTTATATTAAGAGTTCGATTCCTCTGGATAAGGCAAAGTAACTTACGAGGATTTCAAGAGAATAAATGATTTGGTTTCAGAAAGATATACAGATCAAGAGTTAAGAGAAATGGTTGAATATGCTGATAAAGATAAAGATGGATCATTAAGTTGGGATGAATTCAAAACTGTTGTTCAAAAAGAATATCCAAATCAAGCATGATTATGATAAATAAGAACATAATATATTTTCATATATCTAATTTATCAAATCTGAAAAGACAAGAAGTAAATCTCATGAGATTCAAAATCAACAATAGGGTTGGAAACAATTTTAATCAGATATTTTTTATTCATTTTGTGTGTTTAGATATATATGTTAATAAATTTTATCTGAAAATTAACAATAATCAATTTATATTATATTAGTTTTTATTCAAACTTTTGAATTCAAAATCATAGGTTTATTGTAAAGACTAAGAACATATATGATTCTTTAACAGAATAACAAATCTAGGTATTCTATTATTTTACTTTTCCAAACTATAAATAATATAGTTATCAAGTTAATAATGAAGTGTGTTTTTTACATATACTGTCTTAGAGTTGTAATATAAAATAGTGTAAAATTATCTATGAAAATCTTAATGCATTTGAATAACCAAACAAAAAATAATTATATAACTTTAATTATTAAATGGAAGAATAAAATACTAAAAAGGATTTTCATACTCGTAACTTAGTAATATATGTTATAATGAAAGGACATAATAGCATAATTGAGAGAAAAGAAGATGAGAGAATAGGAAGAAAAAGAGATGACTTAAAAGAGAAAATAAGATTTGGTAGTAAAATTGAAATCTCGCTATGTCAAAGAGGATTAGAAAGAAATTAAATAATAGGTATCATTGCCAAGCATCAACACTCCAGAATAAACAAGTTAGAAGAAGGAAGACTTATAACAAGAATAAAAGATGAGAATTTAAGAGAAACAAAAATAGTATTAATAATAAATATATACAAGATACTTAGAATCTATAAAGACAAGATAATTATAAGAAAAATAAAAGAAAGAGGAAATGATTTAAAGATAAGAGATTATTAAATAAAGTGTAAAGTAGAAAGTGTTAAATTAATTGTCTGAAGTAGCATAGTTTGTGACTAAGGATGATTTATTAGAATAAGAGAGTGGGTCAGATGATTAAGATACATAGAAAGTCAAATTGAAGAAATATCCATTCATAACAGATTTGAAATAGTGGAAGAAAAAGTAACGTATAGATGATGCAGTCAAAGTGTTTATTATTGTTGGCGGTTATGGAGATATAGCTAAAGCTTTAATATAAAGAGGGTGGGTAAAGAATCCAGATAGTGGAAGCCCATGTTTTGATTTCAAATTCACATTACACAATTCAGAAATCGACTATAATAATTTATAAGACTTTTAGATTGTCAATCACTTTGCTAAGATTATATGTTTAACCACTAAAGTTGGATTATGTAAGTCTCTAAATAATTTAATTTGGTTCAATAATGTGGATAGAAATGCATTCTATCCAAGAGCATTTGATTTATCAGAAGAGGAGGATTTCGAAAATTTTAGAGAAGAATTCAAATTATCAAAAGTAATCCTATTATTATTTATTTAGGCTGAATCAATTTTAAAAATGTATTTGCATTTATTCAAAAGGAAGGATGCTAATTTGATTGAGAAGATCAAACCATAGGCTATTGTAGCATTGTCAGTTTGCAGGAAGATATTGCAAGATATTAATGAACTCATTGACTAATAGAAATAGACTGCAGTCATCACATAAAAGGAATGGGATATACTATCTAAGGATGATTTGAATGTATAAGCATTGGCTTAGAAAAAACATTAAGCTTGGTTGGCTAAAATTGGAGAAGTTAAGCCTTTGAAAAAGAAAAAGAAGAGCAAATTAGAAAAAGAATAGGATGATTCTATTGAAGATGTAGATGAATTTACATAATAAATTATCGATGTTTTGTAAATTATACATCTTATTCAAGGTAATAATTTAAAAATAGATTTCCATAATACTAATTAAATGGAGTTGAAAATATTTGGATTGTTAAACCTGCTGGATTATCTAGGGGAAGAGGAATTCAATGTTATAAAAATCTAGTTGAAATTGAAGATCATGTTGCATCCAAAGGAGCATAGTGGATTATTCAAAAATACATAGAAAAACCCTTAATTGTACTTGGTAAGAAAATGGACATCAGATAATGGGTGTTAATTACTGATTGGAATCCTTTGACCGTTTGGATTTATGATGAAGCATATCTTCGTTTTACTGCTGAAGAATATGATCCTAAAGATTTAGAAAACAAGATGTCTCATTTGACAAATAATTCAATTTAGAAAAAAGGAGAAAACTTCTATAAGTCTGATATTGAAGGGAATATGTGGAATTAAGAATAATTTAGCAATTATTTAATGGTAAAATATTATACAATATTAGAAAACTCATTAAGTAAATTTTATGGAAATCATTAGACCTTAATTTGAATAAGCAATCATATGGTCATTATAAAGTGTACAAGATTAAGTAGAATAAAGAAAGAATTCTCATGAAATTTTAGGATATGATTTCATGATTGATGATAAATTTCATGTTTGGTTAATCGAAATCAATAGTAGTCCAGACTTTTCTTATTCAACTGTATATATTTTCTATTATTATTAGCATGTAACTGAAAAATTAGTTAAAGAAGTTTCAGAAGATTTAATTAAAGTAGTGATTGACAGAGAAAATGATAAGAAATGTGATACTGGCAAATTCAAAAGAATCTATAAAGCCAAATCTGTTCTAGAAAAACCTGCATCAGTTGGATTAAATTTATGTTTGGAGGGAAAAAAAATTAAGAAAGTAAAGGGATGATTTTTAATTAATTAATATTATATATAATGGGAGATCAAGATGAAACTTAAAGTAATTAATTACTTCATTCTCTGGTTAACTAAAGTAGAATCAATGAAAGCATAAATTATATCAATCTATTAGACTTGATGAGTAAATACAACCCAGGACCTCCAACTAAAAAAACTATAGTTAATGATCAAGATTTTATTGATGAATTAGAATAGTTCTTAGATCAATTAGATCAACCTAAAAGACGCAAGTTCTATGAAGAATCCATGATCATTTTTGACGAAAATGATAACCATTCAATTTTGGATTTTACAAATTTAAACAATACTATCAACAAATAAGACACAAAATATTAAAAATAATCGGATGCTTGGCTTGACAAACTTCCACTCAAACATGAATTTGACGATCTGGAGGAACTTGAAAAAATACTATCTTAATGAACATAAACATATAATTTTATATATATAAATAATAGTTGTTAAACATTTTTGTATGTAGTTCATACATGATTATGCTATAATTGGAGAAGAAGAGAGTCAATAAAATTTGACCTATGTATCATCATTAAACAAGCATTTCTAAAACTTTTCAAATCTCTTTTAAGCTTAAAAAGACAGATAAAAATCCAAAATATTAATTCCATTAGATTTGAATGCGATCGACTAATAATAAAATGGATTTAAGTCCTCTAATCGTTAAAGTCCAAGAAATTATTTTACATATAAACAAGTTCCTAGTGTTGATAAGATAATGCAGAAAATGACAATTAAGCATCTTTCACATCATCATGTACCAATTAAAAAAGAAGAATTCTACGAAAGATAAATAAGATGGTTAAATTAGATAAAATAAACAAATAAAGCCAAGAATCAAAATAAACTTAATTAATAAAGTTAGAATTGTCCATTCAAACCTTATAGTAGTCCTTAACAGAACATTAACAAAAAAAAATTAAAAGAAAATTCAAAAAGCATTCTGAGCCCATAACACTTTAAGAAACCTAACAAAAGAAATGATTCCTATACTAAAATTCATTTAGCAAAGAAACAGAGTTTTGGTTGAGTATTAATTTATTGATGATATTCATAATAATTTTATACACTTTATAAATTAAATATCTTAAGCTTCCTTTTACAACAATATTTTCTATTCGCATTTAACTTTATATATTGTCATCTATTAGTAAATTCTTAATCAATGCTCATTGTAATCATCTTTTTGTGGAGTCTACTAATTTATTGCTATTAAAACACGCATAATTAAATTATATCTATACACACTGTGTTTATTATCTTCTTGCGTTATTAAGGTATAAAATATTTTGGAATAGTAGTCTCAAATTATTTAGAATAAAAAGATAAAGATTATATGGGAAAACAAACTCCCTTTTTAAAGTGAATTCTAGGAATAAGTCTCATAATAGAGATATTTTTTAAGACTAGGCATCACTTTATTAGTTCTTTAATTCTAGGTGATAAATAACCATTTAAATCTAAAATTTATTGAAAAGTTAAATTTATTAATTGATCGTACAGAAATTATCCTTTTCATAAACTATTAAATAATTTAATAATGAAATCACAACATTTTGCTCATCTCTTAATATAAGAATAAATATTAATGATATCAATTTATTTTATTAATTAAGCAATAAATTTGATTATAACTACAATGCTCTTTTAGAGTTTATTGGAAAAGAAGGGTTTTGAAAAAATATTCTCATAATAATTAGGCTTCAATTAGACAAGCACTTTACAAAATATGAACTGAAGGTTTTGTAAAACCTGATTTAGGAGGCTTAAAGAATAATTTCAGATTGAATTAACATAAGCCATATCGAATTCAAAATTAATTAATATTTATTTATGAAAAATTATTATACATTTGCAAAATTATTTGCATAAATTGGATAAGGTAGATTATTGCAAAATCCTATCAACAGTCGAATTCAGGCAAAAAAGGTATTTTTATATTATTCCAATCCACTTCCATCAAATGAAATTGAAAATTTGCTCAAAAGTTTACATTATTTTGTTCCAAATGAAGTAATTCAAATAATGAAAAAATCTCATAAATTCAAATAAGTATTTGGCAAATAAGAGTTTACTTAATATTTTAAGGGTCATAGCTTGGATTCAATACAAAAAGCAGATTTAATTTTATTGTGTTATAAATTAAATCTTGAAGACGACTTATGGATGAGATGTTTAACAATGAAAGTTAATGAATTGGCACCTTATTATTTAAGTGAAACAATGTGGGCACTGAAAAATAAATCATTCGAATTACCTGAAAGTTAAGAATAAAGCAGAAAATTATAACAAGAAATAATATCGATTATCCCATCCAGATTAAATCAATTTGACTTTTATAGTTTAAGTCTAATGTTGTAAAGTCTAACAAAGTTTCACGATGTTAATTGGGATGATTTGGCTAAGGCATTTTTAAAGCTTATCAAGAGTAGTGACCATTTTTCTTTATGTTATGGTTTATATGCATTAGCAAAGTAAAGATCAAGGATTTCATTAGAGATGAATGACTGGAATTTGATTCAAGTAGTACAAAATGAAATGAGGAATTTTTCTTAAAATGATTTATTATTAGTCTTATGGGCTTTGTAGAAATTAAATTTAGGAACTGTAGATTTTTGGAATTATGCATTTACTATTTTATAAACCTAAAAGTTGCAGACACTTTAGTCAATTGCGATTCAATCATAAATACTTTCTTAATTATTTAGAGTGGATGAGTTATCATGGAATCGAATAGAAAAATAAGCTATTTCTTTATTGAAATCAGATGAGAAATCTTTAGTGACTTTATTTTAAACTTTTTCTATTAACAATAAAGGAAGTTAATTGTTTTGGGATAAGATTTGTATTTAGATATTGTAAGATATAAAAACATTCTAATTAGAATCGTTGATTAAGTTAGCTTCACATTCAGATATACCTTAATTGAGTAAGGATATCCCATTGGATTGGAATAAATTAACAATTTCTTAAAGATGTTTAATTTTTAATAAATTTGCAAGGATTGGTTTACAGATAGAAGATAAATATCAATATATATTAGAATAGATTGATTCAGTTTTTGGAAAAGATCTAGTTTTAATGTTATACACAATTTTTCGATATTCTCCAAAATTAAATAAGGAGCTCATTCTAAATTAGTTATTAAAGTCAATGGATCAGTTAAATTTAATAGATATTGAATAATTGTTAGATTTAGAAGAAATTCCTTAAGACATTAATGCAAAGCTTTAACAATTGTATGAAAATATCAAGAATAACAAATAACAAAGTGAATGAAGTGAAGTAAATAAATTGGTGAACTGTTTTAATTTATACATTAATTGAATATATTAAATAGTATTGTAAGGATTATATAGTTTCCATTAATATTAAAATAGATAAATTGAATTGAGGTGAATATTACTCAAATTATATGTCAAATCATAATTCATTTCCAATAGTGACCCAATTATTTCTAAGGTTGTTTCTTCTACCAAAGATTTCTAAGCAATGGCCTCCCGGAACCATGGCATTAATAATTTCATAGATCTCTTCAGGCTTTTAAGATTACCCTCTTCTTTCACTCCAGATAACATCACTTTTTAAGTAGTAATTTAATTTTTTAGTGCCCTGGAATATAAATATTAAATTACTTTATAACCAATTAGACAATTCTCTTTAGCATGTTACAAATAAAAGCCATGTCCTTTGGCAATTTTACCATTGACAGTCTTTTTGACCCAAATTAATTCATCTACTAATTGATAACCCCATTATTTAATCATTTTGGCAGCAATACGATATTTGGCATTAATTGTCCATATGAAGAGGAAGCCTTCCTTTTATAATAAAGGGATTGGCAATTCCATTAATTAATCATCTTTGAGAGATTGGTATGCAATGGCCACTCCTCTGGATGGTTAAGATGTAGATAACTGCCAAGGTGGATCCATCATAATGGCTTGATTGTATATTAGAAAATAATACCATCAAATAATTTGCCAGCTATTTTTTGTTACGAAGCTATCAAGGATTTAAAATTAAATGCTAAGACATCAGCATTTATAGGTATGGAGTTCTCAGGTACAGAACTAATCAATGTTGGTAATTCATTTTATCTATTTTATTATAGAATGTATTTAATACTCTTTAAACCATTCCAATTTTTAAGATTCAATGCTAGCTTCAACTTTGGAAAGCAGTTTTAGCAATCCTTACTTATTTTTAGGTAATTTGTCATATTCAATTGTTTCGTTGATATCTAAATCACTATTCTTTCTCTCCTTATTTAATTGCTTTTTCACTCCAAAATCAATGTCATTGTTGTCATCTCCACCTGCTTCACTCCCAAAATCCAAATAATTTCTTCGAGTATACTATCTTAAATTATATGTTCCATTTTAGGATTCTTTTACACTTACTCCAGATAATTCTTCTGTGTTGGTTGAGTTCTGTTTTTTGGTTTATGCTACCTTCTACAACTTCTTCGTTTTCTATTATTTTTAATCTTCATTGGTATTGATGTCTTTATCCAATGATATTACTTGCTTTCCATTACAATCTAAATTATCTTCAGCTATAGATTTTGTCTATTGGCTTCGTCTTCCTTACATTCACAAATTAAGATTTAATATTATTATTATATTTGTTCTCAATCTCACTCTTTTACCAATTTAAGTTGGCGCCTTTTTAATACAATATATTGTTACAATTTCTACTTGACTTATATGATATAAATTTAAGATTTATTGGTTCTTACAACCATCCTTTTCAAATTATATAACGAATAACAACAAAGACAATCTTAATTAAATTATATAAAACTATAATCATCATTGAAATTAATCTATATTTCAAATACCTGATATCTTTATCAAATTTCTATAAACACTTCCCTTAATTTTATCAAAATGTTTAGGTCCCTTTCTTAAAAATTTGAGTTCAAATAATCTTCTAATAGCTATTTCTAATAGAAGCTATACTTGAACCTTAATTGTTAGGAAATATAGATCTATAATCATGTGTAAATTAATAGTGAATAAATAATAAATAATATAAATTTACAAATTATCTAATTCCCCACTCTCATTCCCTCAAATCCAGATGACATATAGAACAACTTCGTTATAAAAGAATAAGCATTAATAAATATATATTGATGTTATAAAATCTTGGGCTTCACTTTGTCAAATCGATTCTCTTATTAAGAATTGCTTATCTCATCTTTGTCACATCCTTTTATCCTGGGTACTCACCATCCTTTAAAGCTATATTGGATGCAATTTAGTCCCATGCATTTTTCTAAATTAGAATCACTTTCTTACATACTAACTATGATTCTTCTTATTTTCAAACCAAATCTCTTGTTTCTACTTATTCTACACTTTTCGTTATTATATATCTGTTTCTAATTAACTATTTAAAGTAATTTTTCAATTTACCTTTTGAATTATTATAAATACTCTTGTCCTTTCTATTTTTTTTATTATTTCAACAATCTTTCCTGTTAATCCTTTTCTCTTATCTAAGCAAGTCTTTCCTCCTCAATTATTTTCAATTTATCTTTTCTAATCTATTATTCTGGACTCTATTTTTGAATGATAAAGTACCACATAGACAACTGATGACAAAGATTGAACAGGCGCTTCATTAGAAAAAGCACTAAATACATCATACTATTATATGGCATATCTCATACTTAACCCTATTGAATTTGACTTTGATCAACCTATGGGGCATCAGAAGAAACAGCCTAAGTTGTTACATCCTCAAAAAAATCCATTATTAAGTTAATTATATTTCTATACAGATATAAGATAAATAAAGTATAATTAACAGATGTTATCCAAAATCAAAAGTTGATTAATATTAAAAATCAAAATATAAAACTGGATATCAGTTGAAGTCTTATTAACATTGCTTGGTATTAATTTTCTTTTATTTTCTTAAAGTGATATCAATAATCATACCTAGCTTCAAATAATTCAACTTTCAATATATAATCATTTATTTTTATTTCTGATAAATGCTTCAACGGATGAGGTTGAGACTCTATCTTTTAATCACGCTCTTCAATTGTTGATAATTGCAGCCACGTTCCATTAGCTGATTCCCTGTCTTATGAACCATCAGCAATTTCCCATTTATTTTCCCTTAGTACAAATAAGAAATCATGATACCTTTCATTAAATCTAATTCTTGTTTATTTTCTTGAAATAGTATTTGAATTTATTCTGATATTATTTTCACTGCATCTTCCAATTGAAAATTCACTATTATAATCTTTAGCAAACAAGTAATGAAGATAACATCCTTACAATCCTTACAATCCTGATCCAGAAAAGACTAACTAAATGAATGGCACATTATATTGCTTCAAATTTTGAAGGATAAATGCAATTTCCATAGGTGATTTTTCTAGCTATTATTATGTGGTTTAAGTATCAAATTATTTTTATTCAAATGACAATCCATGAATATTGCATTTAAACGAGTTATTCCTTATTTAATCCATCATAAAATCAAAATTTTCATCAGGAGATTTTAAATTTTTATCCTAAATATGACAATCTTAAATTTAAAATGTTGTATCAGTTCCGATACTATATTGATGACTTTTCCTTAACTTCTAATATTTCTTATCTACTCTTATATATGTTCCAAAAACACTTCCCACGTCTTGTACATAACATTCTTTCGGATCTCTAAAAATAGAATTCTTATTTAATACTCTAGAAACTTTTCTATTTTAATCAAAACAAAATGAGGTAATTTATTTTTTAAATAACCCAAAGTATTTTTATACAAAGGGTTAATGTATGATTCTTTTCTAAAGAAATCTTTACAAATCAGCTTGCAATGGATGCGTGATATAAGTCGTTCTTATTCAGTTAGAACTTATTAGTAAAATAAATGAAATACCAATATCATTTGGATAAATGCTTTATCCTTGCAATTCAAATTTCTCTTAACGACCTATCATTATATCTTTCTAGTTTGTATTTTTCTTGGTTTCTACTAATCTTATATTCATTTTAATTGTTACCCTTAATTATTGATATAATATTCCTTCTTCTGGTTACTTTCTAAACCAACCATATTTTTTATTACAGTGATCTTTACATAAGCCTCCTTTTTATTTAATTTATTCTCCTTAACCTCTTATATTCCTAAAGTTGTATATTATTCATTCATATTAAACGCAATACTAAGTTAATTTCACTGAATACCCATTCTTAATTGTTCTATTAATCTGAGGCATTGAAGCCTATATGTTATTACCTTAAAAAGAAAATTCGTTTCCATGATGTGCCCTTTAAATAATTGAATGTATTTACATTACACTAGAATTGTTGCTTATTGAACTAATGCCATCCAATCTTTCCGACGATTCACCAAAGTCCAAAGGAATCAATCCTTACATTAAAATTATTAAAAATAATTACACACAATTTAAATTAGTAGAAGTAAAATAATATTGCAGGAGCAATAATATTAAACCAGATAATTAATAACCTGGACTACTTGAATAATAATCATATTTTGAATAAAATAAGTTATCATTAAGATAGCACTAACCAACAAATTCGAAGAATGAGGAATTCATAAAATTTCAAGTAAACTTATGAAATTAATTCTAATTATGAATGCAGAATAATATAAAACAATTTGTTCGATATCAATCCTTTGGTATTTTTCTTGTAAGAGTTTGTAAATATATAGATAGAGTATAAAAGAATATTACATTTTTAGGATGTAAAACAAAAAGGATTTTGAATAGACATTTAAATTGATTTATTTTTATATTTCACTGTAAGCTATTACAAACCTTGATATTATCATCAACAAAGAATTATCTGCTAAATTTAAATATTCTAATTTGGGCAGATAATCTCAGTCGCAGATCCTCAATAGAAATTCAGATTGGTATTAAGGGTCAAGACTTCTCTAAATGCCACTCCAAAAGCAGTAATTGTGAGGGAATTTATCTATAAATCATGAAATTATGAAGGAAATACAATGAGATATGTATTTTAGTTCCTAAAAAAGCGTATTGTTTAGAATGCGAGATGAAAAAAAGAATATTGGGATTTGGAAATTTTCAGAAAGTGAAAAATCTTACCTAAAAATAGAATCATATATATAGAATTGAATAGAAAAGAAAATAAAGGTTAAAAAGAACAATTTACACAATAAAATTTCTAATTGCATGATGTGCAAAATTTGGAAAGCATGGGAACACTAGTTTACAAAAGAGAAAAAGAAAGAAAATTTGAGAATTTACCATTATTTAGAAAAACAATCTTATTTCAATTTCATTTCTATTATAAGATTATTAATTATAAATAAATATCAGATAGCTCTGTATGCATAAGAAGTAATGCCACAAGTGTTTCCAGGGGCAAGAGTAATGAATCCTTTTTCACCCCAAGAAATTCCCCATGAATTTTTAACAAACCAATTATCATTTTCATCAAATCCAACAGCTAGGACGGCATGATTTACAGATCTGTTACAATCCTTAAAAACCCCTCCTCCGTAAAACTACCAATTGGTTGCATCAACAACAACTAACAAAGGATATTCAGTTAAAAAGGATTTGAAATTATTAGAACTTACACCTTAAGCTCCGTTTGTTTTATATGGTCCTGAATCGTATTTACAATATGCTGATTATTTCTATGTATATGGATAAACTCTAGCATCATTCAATCCATGATTAGCAATATACTTTAGTGCAAGGTTTTAATAACCTCCATTGCATCCGAAAGACTGAGTATCACAATCAATCAATTACTATTCTGATAATATAACTGTTGTTTTATTTTTAACATAAAACCAAGCTTCTGCTGCTCCTACAGCTCCAAAAGCCCAGCATCCAGCACACTACCCTTAATCTTTAACCTATGTAATCTTTCTCCAATCAACTGAATTGATTGTTTTATCATTTTCTTAAGTGTTTTATATTTCATCAGTAATTTAGTTTTATTCCATCACATCTTCTGAAATATCATGAGTTAGATAAATCAATGAAAATTCCTCTTAAGATAAATCACTGAACTAGTTCATTCTCATAAAATAAGTTTTATTTGGATCAGAATTATGTTTATATACTTTATTTCGATTAATNTAAGCTATTACAAACCTTGATATTATCATCAACAAAGAATTATCTGCTAAATTTAAATATTCTAATTTGGGCAGATAATCTCAGTCGCAGATCCTCAATAGAAATTCAGATTGGTATTAAGGGTCAAGACTTCTCTAAATGCCACTCCAAAAGCAGTAATTGTGAGGGAATTTATCTATAAATCATGAAATTATGAAGGAAATACAATGAGATATGTATTTTAGTTCCTAAAAAAGCGTATTGTTTAGAATGCGAGATGAAAAAAAGAATATTGGGATTTGGAAATTTTCAGAAAGTGAAAAATCTTACCTAAAAATAGAATCATATATATAGAATTGAATAGAAAAGAAAATAAAGGTTAAAAAGAACAATTTACACAATAAAATTTCTAATTGCATGATGTGCAAAATTTGGAAAGCATGGGAACACTAGTTTACAAAAGAGAAAAAGAAAGAAAATTTGAGAATTTACCATTATTTAGAAAAACAATCTTATTTCAATTTCATTTCTATTATAAGATTATTAATTATAAATAAATATCAGATAGCTCTGTATGCATAAGAAGTAATGCCACAAGTGTTTCCAGGGGCAAGAGTAATGAATCCTTTTTCACCCCAAGAAATTCCCCATGAATTTTTAACAAACCAATTATCATTTTCATCAAATCCAACAGCTAGGACGGCATGATTTACAGATCTGTTACAATCCTTAAAAACCCCTCCTCCGTAAAACTACCAATTGGTTGCATCAACAACAACTAACAAAGGATATTCAGTTAAAAAGGATTTGAAATTATTAGAACTTACACCTTAAGCTCCGTTTGTTTTATATGGTCCTGAATCGTATTTACAATATGCTGATTATTTCTATGTATATGGATAAACTCTAGCATCATTCAATCCATGATTAGCAATATACTTTAGTGCAAGGTTTTAATAACCTCCATTGCATCCGAAAGACTGAGTATCACAATCAATCAATTACTATTCTGATAATATAACTGTTGTTTTATTTTTAACATAAAACCAAGCTTCTGCTGCTCCTACAGCTCCAAAAGCCCAGCATCCAGCACACTACCCTTAATCTTTAACCTATGTAATCTTTCTCCAATCAACTGAATTGATTGTTTTATCATTTTCTTAAGTGTTTTATATTTCATCAGTAATTTAGTTTTATTCCATCACATCTTCTGAAATATCATGAGTTAGATAAATCAATGAAAATTCCTCTTAAGATAAATCACTGAACTAGTTCATTCTCATAAAATAAGTTTTATTTGGATCAGAATTATGTTTATATACTTTATTTCGATTAATTTAAAAATTAAAGAATCGAAAAACTTCTTGCTGCCCTGTATACGATTTTCCATATTCAATTTTCCATCTCTAAAATTCAGTATAACTATCATTTTCTTCTTTATTCAAGTAAGCAACAGCACTCAACAAGCCTATTAGTAAAATCACTGCCGATTTCATTGAATTTTATTTTATTTAGATTTCATAAATTGTTTATTAATCTAATTCTAATGACATAATTTAACGCTCTCCCATGACGTAATGCTATCAATAACAAATCATAAATTATAATAAAGAATATTTAATCATCAATTAAATTTCTCATCCCAATTAGGATCGTTAGCTAATTCCTTCTTTTATAAATTTTTCTCTCCAAGATCCTAGTCCTCAATTTAAAAGTATACATTTTTTATTTCTCCCTAAATGGTCTTATTTTGCTTCTCTATTGTTACTATTTCTTTTTCTCCAATTAATCTATCCTTAGGTGGAATGTAGGGAGGCTTTAACTCTTTATCCATTAATTTATCCTAAGTATTATTAACGTAGCATAAATACCCAATCTAATCCATCAAACCAAGAATTTGCCTTAAGAGCTGCATAACTCCCACCTAAACGAATTTCTGGAGTCTTATTTAATAATTAATCAATAAATTTTTTAGCCTTACGATCTTTAAGATGATTGGGGTAAGAAATTTGCTTCTTTGTAATCTCTTCATATATTTCATATGGATCTTCTGCATCCTCTGCAAAAGGAACTCCTCCACACATAAATTCATAAAGACATATTCCAATACTCCATAAATCTACTGAATAAGAATAACCTTAATGCATTACTATAATAATACCTTTTCCATTTAAAATTTCTGGGGCCATATAATGAGGGGTTCCTATAATAGTAAATGTTCGACCTTTCCCTTTCAAAATTTTGGCAGTCCCCATATCAATCAATCGAATATATCCATGATGATCTACCATTACATTTTCTGATTTAATATCTCTGTAAACAATATGGTGAGTATGTAAATACTCCATGCATAGTAACAAAGAGGATACATAAAATTAGGAATCATAAGTATTTAGTAATCCTATATCTCTTATCACATCGAACAATTCCAAACCCTTTATGTATTCCACTAGAAAGTAAATAAAATTATCATCCTTCATTGATTTATATAGTTGAACATTTTGAATCTTACTATGAATCTCATCATCAAAGGAAATTAAAGTTGTTCAAGTACAGTTTTCTCTTAAGTTAAATGGCTTTCTAAATGTTATTCCACAATTTAGTTTGTAATGATGCATTTTAGAGCATATAATTTTCCGTCATTTTTATTTTTACACAAATATACAGAGCCAAATTACCCTTGTCCTAACTTTTTTATATGAATCATGTCATCCAAAACTAAATAATCGACTTATTATTTTGAGATTTATTTCTACATATATTTCACTTCATGATTATTTTCATTCTTCTAAATCACCTAATCTATTTCACCTCCAATACATTCTAAAAATACATCAAATGGTTTTATACATTTAAAAAGTCTAACATTTTTTGATTGGAAATAAAAAATAATATCATCTAAAAATTTTATTGAAATACTTTAAACAAATAAATAATGTACAATATTTGTACAACCTTGCCTCTATCTTTTAGAAATATATCATAAGGGATTAGCTTATCTCTATTCTTCTTTGGTAAAAATTGATCCCCAACTATTTCTCCTTTGGTAGCTATCTCTTTTTCCTTCTTAATTTCAATATTTAAAAATATACATTGCATACCTTTCCTTCTAAGACTATAACCAATTTATCACATTTTGAATCTGCTGTGTAGATCTTTTAATTTGCCTCATAATTTACTTTCTAAATCTTAGTCACAATTTTTTCGATTTGAATTTTACTTAGTTTACACAATAATTGATTCTTTTCAAAACTCCATCTCAATAAGTTATTATACATTATCACTTGTATTTTATCCCCTAAGATTTTAGTGATTTTTTCCCTTCCAATAGCTAAGCAACAAACATTTTCATCTACTGCAATAACAGAAGCTCCCCTAACTGAGTTATAATAGAGGGCTTATTCTCCAAATGAATCTCCTGCAGACATCTATCTTAATTCATTGCCTCCTTTCATTATCTTCACCACTGCTGACTTTATAATGAAATAGGAACTAACCATATCCCCTTCATTCACAATAGCTTAACCTTTTTTAAATTATTATGTAACTGTTGCTCCTGCTATCATATCCTTCTAGTCAATCGTCATCCATTCAAAAAACTTGATCGAATCAATACATTTTCTATTTTCATCATATTCTTTTTAAACCAGCTCTTCCACGCAGCTCTAAAAGTCCCTCTATCAATACACCAAAAGAAACACTCTAATTTAAAACAAAAACTAACCATCTTTTGTTTTAACTGAAGCAGAGCGAGGTGCTCCATATAATAATGCTAATTCCCCAAAACCTTCTCCAATAGAAAGTTACTTTTTTACATCCCCAAAATATCACAAACTCCTTAATCAAAAATAAAATAGGCATTTGCTTAATCATTTTCTTAAAAAACAAATTCATTTGCTGCTACTCTGCAATAAAACATTTTCATTACAATGTCTTCTCTTGGCTCATAATTAAATCTATACTTGTGTTAATCGCTAATATGTGCAAAGAAATAATGTTAACTAAGAGCATTCAAAATAACTTAATAATCATGAGGTTTTTTTTCCTTCTCCATTTTCTCTAAATTTTCCACAAATTCATCTTTTTATAATATCCCATTTACAAACTTCTTATTCTTTTTTTCATTTCTTTATTTGATGTGCTGCTATATTTATGGAAAACTCGTACATCATCCTAACCTTAGACAACATCTGATGCATGTTTAGAATACTCTTTCAGCATTGTTCCTCCATTCTTAATTTACTCAGTTATAGTATCTTCTTTAATTTTTACTTCTATTTAAACAAGTTTAGGGCTTCCTTTCCAGGACTTTGATCTTCAGATTAGGTTTCTTTTTTTGGTTTCGGTACAAAACAATTTCCCATTTATATTTTATTTATATATATATAATTCTCATAAATTCTTGGGTTTAGAAAATAACTTCAGTTCACAAATATTATTCTGAAGCAGATGTCTTATAAATAATTTATTTAAAATTGAGTTTAAAATAAATTAACTTCTGATATATGAATTAATTTTTTGTCAATAGATTTTTCAGTTGAGGACAAATTAGAATTGTTAGAAAATACAATAGACTATTTTTGGACATAATTTGTAGGTTAGTTGATGACCATGAAATTAGAATTGTAGTATTTGATGCAACTTGGATTTGCATTTTTAGAAGGTGGATGTGTTAGATATAAAAATATGTAATCAATAATGATAAAAGTACATCTGAATACATTTATTGCTTGTCATTTGTCATTTTTTGGTGGCTTGTAAATTGAAAATTGATCTTTTAGGTTGGCTATGGAATTTGTATGGGATTTGGTAAATTTGCACGAATAGACATCTATGGTTGCTATTGTTTTTAAGTGTTGCATTTTCTTCTTTTATCTCTATATGCGCTCATAGCTTGGGGAGGCGGTTGAATCAATAGTTAAGATATATTGATTTGGCTGGTAGTGGTACAATTCATTTTATGTCTGCGTGGGGAGCGCTTGTGTTGACAGTGATGTTGGGCGCAAGGAATAAAGATGGAATGAGAAATATGACAATGAATTTAACCAAAGTAATACTACCTATATTTGTTTATCCACTGAGTTTAAATTCTCCATACTGTATAAAATTATGGGCAAATTTTTTTATTGGAATTCGGGTGGATTAACATATTGGAGTTTTGGAATCTTAAGACAGAAATTTTAAAATAAGAAATTATAAAAACTAATAAAATCCTGTTGATGCATTTCCAATTCATGGAGGATGCGGTCCAATAGGTGCACAGTTCCCAGGGTGGAGTAATGCAGAAAAGGGGATTTTTTATGGCAGGGTGTCAAATAATGGGGTATCCAACTTCTGGGCACTGTGGTTTGGTTAGGATGGTCTGTAATATTACATTTAATCGTGATATTTTTTTTTTAAAGATTATGGGATTATTAAATGTTTCGCGGAAGTTGAAGTAAAAAAGGATTGAATAATGCTCAATGTGGAGGAGGAGGATTTGATTTTCAGTTGTTACAACCTGTTCTAAGTGCTGGTGGTGATGAAAATGTACAGTGTGCTAATAATTAATACAAGGTGATTCTCATCAATTTGGATAAGAAAATGATTAATTGTAAGCATTCAAACAATATTATCAATATAAGAAAAATTTGTAAGTCTGCAATTACATCCTTTTCAATTTCTTTATAAAGGTCTTAAATAAATTATAATTAAATAATTAAAAATGAACTCTGACGTTGATCCTCTATATACCAGATTGTATCACAAATACTCAATGAAGTACAGAAGGATCATAGATAAGTACCATTTTAATTCTCCAATTTATAGGTTGATTATGCACCCAGGAAAAAGATGGTTTCTATGTGCCTTTTTCCTCTTTGTCTATATTAACAGACTTATTGAAACACAAAGTTATTTTGTTGTATCCTATATGTTGGGAATACAAATAATATAATCCTTGTTGAGGTATTTTACACCATTAGGACTTCCAGATATTGAAGACGAAGATGAAGATGTAAATAGTAATACTTTTTAATATTTCATTAAGTCTAACTCCCACAGCATACTGATGATAGACCACTAATTAGATCTATGCCTGAAATTTCATTATGGGAGTAAATTATCTTTGCCATGATCCTATCGAATTTAGCAACATTCTTTTAAATATTTGATCTTCCTGTTTATTGGCCTTTTTTATTTAGCTATTTCATTTTAGTTATAATCATAACTTTTAAAAAATATCTCAAACACATGTAGAAATATGGATATAGTTGGGGAGATTTCTCAAAGAGATGATTGTATTTAATTTTTATTAACAACATATGCCAAAATATCATACACTAATTCACTTTAAATTCATTTCTTTTTCTAAAAATGCTTTCAATCTCTTTATCAAATCTTCGTCACCCTTAAAATGTTCTATAAGATAATATAATCGTTGACATAATTCCTAAATTGTTAAGAATTCAATTCTATAATCAACTTAATTATTTATGCGAATCAATTACTAATTTTAAATGTTTACTTTAAGTCGATGATATTCCTTTCTCCTAATTTCATCAGTTTCTTACAGAATTTTTTTATCATAGATTTTTACCCAAAGTGCGAAAAGGATTCTAGAAAGTTCCATATTATTCTCATTTAAATGTTTGAATGTGTCACTAATTAATTTATTTAGGTCCAATTCCTGTAAATAATTATTTTATTAAATAAAGGATGTGTTGATTTTTTAAGAAAAACTTGATTAAGTACTATCTAAATCTGCTGACTAAATAATTAAAGACAAGTCATAAAGCGTAAGTGAAGCTATATTAACTCCTTCTGTACTTAGGAAATCTTGTGGTTCTTTAACAAAAACTGGATGCTTGAACAGCTGGTTCCAACTGATTCTACTATGAGGATTATCATCTAACATATTCTTTAATAGGTCTTAAATATTGGAATTTAATCCACAAATTTTATCTTTTGCATATTAACCAGTCAATAGCCATAATAATATTATTCCTAAAGAGTATATATCGCATTTATTATCATATTTATTATCTCCATATAATTCAGGAGCTTAATAATTTTAAGTGCCAATTTCTTTCGTTGGATTCTCTTATGAAATTTTGTAAAACCCAAAGTCACAAATTTTGAAGAGATTATCAAAGAATAAAATATTTTCTGGTTTTAGATCTCTGTGTTAAAAATTTTATCCAAAGTAATATAACAAAAATTGGTATCCTTCAATGATTTATCTGATTATATCAAGAACATAACAATAAAATTAAGAATTCTTTTCTTAAAATTTAGTAACTTATTTCTCGGGTAATTCGGATAGACTATAATCACATTTTTGCATTACTATAAAAGTACTATCATCCTCTTCAAACAAGTCATAATATTCAATGATATGGAGATTATAGTGATTAATTTTATATAAATCAATTAAATTCTTGGTTATTTATTTCTCTCTCTTTAGTTCTAATAATATGTTGCAATTACCTCTCTATATTTTTTGGACTAATTAGTGATTTACTTAATAACAATTTCTCTATTATTGCATTTTATATCTTCGGCTATAAAGATACGATCCTTTATCTTATTTATAAACTTGTAGTGTTTATTACTCCAATAACTTTTTTCGGCAAATACATATGGTGTAAATTTTTTATTTGACATAAGTATAAAAAATAAAAATAATAGTAATTAGAAATATTCGAGATTCTTTTAAATATAAGTACATTCTTTAATTTTTATTTTATTTAAGTGTTGTTCATTTAGATAAATATCTTAATAATTATGATATAATAATCATTTAGAAACCATCATTCTGACGAATTCTTCATAGTTGATATGTCCATCACCGTCAATATCAGCTTCTCTGATCATTTCATCAACCTCATCGTCAGTCAATTTTTCTCCCAAATTTGTCATAACATGTCTCAATTCAGCAGCTGAAATGAGACCGTTTCCATCTCTGTCAAAGACTTTGAAAGCTTCAATTAATTCTTCCTCAGAATCTTATTCTTTCATTTTTCTAGCCATCAAAGATAAAAATTCGGGGAAATCGATTGTTCCGTTACCATCAGCATCAACTTCATTGATCATATCTTGAAGTTCAGCTTCAGTTGGGTTTTATCCAAGAGATCTCATAACTGTTCCCAATTCTTTAGTTGTAATGGTACCATCACCATCCTTATCAAAGAGAGCGAAGGCTTCTTTGAATTCAGCAATTTATTCTTCTGTGAGTTATTCAGCCATTTATTAGTTGATTTATTTAATTAATGATTTGATACTTAGAATAATTGACTTATAAATCAAATTTGAATTTAACAAAGCATATTTACAAAACACAAAAATACAATTATTTAATTATAAGAATTTATAAGAAAATTTATAAATGTCATAATATTGGAATACATATCTTAATATCGACTATTTAATTGCCTTTTTGTTGTATGAAATGTTTTTCTGAGCAGAACACTAATTGTTTCTGATAGTATTTGCAAAGTAATATTAATCCTTTTTGAAAAAATTTACAACTTTTCTTAACATATTTTGTAGTGGAATCAAATCTAAAATTTATTTGCCTATCCTTTAAGTTGAATTAAAAGATTTTTAATGTAAATTAAAATTAATATTGCAATTGATTTATGGGGAATGGAAAGTGAATAAATGAATAATTCCAATTGCCATTTAAAGTAATTTCTTTCAAAGAAAAGCATTATATTAAAGGTTGAGAAGGGCTAGAATCAAACAGCTTTTAGAGCATTTTTTGTAGTATACTATTTTCCATTTACAGCAAACATTTTATTTAAATTATAAAGTGGTTTCAGATACTAAACGTTTGTTGTATTTATGCTTCTATAATGTTCTTTTCAAAATCAATAACTTGGTTTTTATTTGGAAATTCTCAGAAATTCATGCACTTCACCGTTAACATATAGAATGTTTTTCTTAAACATAAGAATAGAACTTAATAATATCAAGACTTAATTTAATAAAGTAGAATCCTAATATAAATTATTAATCTTATCTTCTGACTCAAAATTGATAAATATGTCGATTTAAATTTACTTTAAAGTGAGATGTCAAACACAATTTAAACAATAAGTATATATTGTTGGTGATTAATAATCTATGGGAAAATGGAATCCATAAGAAGGAATTAAACTTGATACTAATGGGGATATTTATCCACTTTGGATAGGCACTTTAATAGCAGATTTCGAACCAAGTAAATATCAACAATATCAAAGACTAACTCATTAAATTTAAGGCAGCTATTTTAGAATCTGAAAATATAATATGGGAATCAACTGAAAATAGAGTAGTGTAAGTGTGGTACTAATCCTAAACTGTGCTATTTACATTCGACTCAAGTCCTTTAAAAATGATCAAGATTAAATCCTTTTTTGACTATGATTAAGATTCTGAAGTAGAAACTGCCTATTTTAGTATTTATTTTTCTCTATAATATCAGTTGGGGCTAGAAGAAGATAATTAAAGACTGTTGTTAGTCCTTTGGAATGTGACTATATGAGCTCAGTATTTATTAAGAAATAATTTAGGATTCAGAATCTGACAACAGCAATATTTCATCCATATTTATTGATAATATCGAAGCATAGAATAATCTCAACAATTTTGAATGCCTTACTTCTTCAAACTTTGAAAGCCTTTTAAGTAATTTAAAAGAATGATTATTTTTACTCAAAGTCATTTTTTATATGAATGTAATCAAATTTCTATTTTATGCATTATTCTATGGATTTGAGAGTGAATGGAAAACTTGAACAGTTATTATTTTTCAATAAGTTAAAATTTAGTGTTGTTAATAAAATAGAAAAGATGCAGAGTAGCCAAGATGCCAGTTTTCTAACATGCTAGCGATGCAACATAGAGAAAAAAAACAATCATCAATATAATTTATGATAATATATTTGTGAATCATGAAAGTAATTGATCAAGTAAATATTTATCAACGACATTAATTTTACTATTTTACTTTCTATTTTAAGCAGTTTAGGCTAGTTATTGTAGAGTTTATTGAGGCAGTTGTTTTAAATTAGTATAGGATTATGAGATTTTTAATTCATTAATTTAGTTATATGAATCCCCTATAATTGGAGTATTTTTAGGTTCTTGCAGTTCAATAATATCAGAATTGATCTTTTGAAGCATTTATTATTTCATAGAATAAGTTGGAGGTTTAAAACCTTCATTTTTAAGAGCTTCAAATTATTTTTTTGTCATTCTCTGCCCATCCCCCCAATTTTACATATCTTGTTGTTTAACAATTTCTTAATTTTGATCCTAATAAATCAATTTAACTCCTTTATTAGGAGTGAAGCCTTCAAATGGTTTTTAATAAGAAGTCTCAAAAATTTAAGGAGGGTTTGTTTTAGCTTTCGATTATCGCAGTTATTCTTTTTTGACTTTTTCATTTTCTATAACTGCTTATTAGATAGGTTTCTGCGGCTCAAATACTGTGTCAACAGAGGTTATTTTGCTAAATATATCGTTAAATAAGTACTGAATTTCAGGTGCTCTTTAATGGTTTCTGACTTAAGTAAGATCTTTAGCTAGCATAAAGGTTCCGTCATAATCGTAAGCTAGTTATAACCCTTTATGTTTTGGTAGTATATCTTTAACAATTTATGATCTAAGTTATTCAGCCTAATTTGATTGTTGAGATACCTTTTTATTATGGTCAAGAATAGCTGCTTGTTGTTATTTTAATTTTTGTTACATTTCTTTTAACTATCTCAATCTATCTATAAATTTGGAAACCAAAAATACCTATTTCTTCTTCAAAAGGATCATCATCATCATTAAAGTTTAATCTTATTGGTACCTATGTTTGTATTAATTAATTTAACATTGCTTTATTGCCAATTAGTGGTCATGTAATATTCAATAAATAATCCAATTTAAAAAAAAAATATAAAATGGATAATGTGATATCTGAAAATTATGAAGATGAAGGGGAGATTTGCGAAAAAGTTACTCAAATTACAAGACAGCAAAGTCATGTTCAAGATCAAAGTACAAAATATGAGATTATTCTAGATTCATACTTAGGGTAGTAGATTCCTATTAGATGTATAAAAAGTTGTAGTCCTTAATATTCTGATTAATTTGATTGGGGAAACGACAAATGTAAAGTATCATTTTTTGAATGTATGCGACTTGACAAGAGAGTATTATTTTTGATAATCAAAGAAAACAACTTCAGTATATCGTCAAACTTAAGAATCGGTATCATATAGTCTCAAAGGAGAAATGAACGCATTAATCTATTATAAATTGTTTGATGATGAATGCAAATACATAGTAAAGGAAATATCTGAAAACTTAGTGGAATTGAATTGCAATATATATTTAGAGTAGAAATAATTTGATGAAATTGCAGAGTTAACTCATACGAATAGACTTTTTGTTTTCAATTAAGAATCAATACCTTTAATTGCTTTGATTATTGTAGTTGGGGGAGATGGAACTGTACTTTATGCGTTGAGATAATTTTAAGGATCAGAGCCTCCCCCAATTTTGGCGTTTTAGAAAGGAACTTTGGGTTTCATGTGTGTTTTTGATTTAAAGGATAAATACAACATATTATCCCAATAGATTGGACATTTTAGAACTGCAGGATAATTTATTGTTGAAAGAAAACTCAGACTTAAGGGTTGTCTTAAATAAGCAGGGCAAAAATAGTTTGAATATCATGTTTTAAATGAGTTTGTAATATCTCGAGGAGCAAATCCGCATTGTTTATATATTGAGATCTATATTAATAACGTGTTGTTAACTGTTGCATCTGGAGATGGAATAATTGTGTCCACACCTACTGGTTCAACAGCATACTTTTTATCTGCAGGAGGTCCAATCATCCAAAATGAGGTATCATCAATATCTATTGCCCCAATTTGTCCTTTGTCTTTATCATTTAGACCTATAGTTTTGCCTACATGTCTTTAGATAACAATTAAATTAGCAAACTAATGCAGAGCTAATGGATTTATTTGTGCTGATGGCCAAGCAACAATTGAATTCAGCAAAGATATGATATTTGAAATATAATAGTCAGAGAACTTTGTTAGCAGTATTAGATTAGTTTATTTTAGTTATTCAAGACAAATCAGATATTGATTACAGTGAATGGATAGTAAATCTTAGAAAGAAATTAGGATGGAATAAAGTATTTACTGAGTAAAAGAAATAAAAATCAAATTTATGAAAATATTAAATAGTATCAGCATAACCAAACATGATTTAAGACCCAATCTATTGATTTTCTATTCTTTTTCTCGGCCAACAATCCTTTCATCAAATCTTTTACATCTCCCGACAAGTGATCTGGAAATTGTAATGCAAACCCTTCTTGAATTTAAAAGGGTGTCTTGCCTGTTGTTAATTCAAAAGTTAAGACTCCTAATGACCATAAATCTATTGAGTTATCATAAGACTATCCATAGACCATTTCTGGAGGTAAGTAGTCAATTGTTCCACAAAGAGTATCCCTTTCTTTTTTGTCTTGAATTGACCAACCAAAATCGCTAATTTTCAATACTCCATCACTCCATAATATGTTTTCTGGTTTAAGATCCCTATGTATTATGGATTATTTTTGCATTTATTATATAGCTAAGGCAACTTGTTTTATCATATTTGAGGCAGCAGGTTCAGAATACCTTTTATTATTTTATCTCATCAATGACTAAAATAAGGTTCCTCCATTTGCATATTCCATTACTAAACAATAATTTGTAGCAGTCTCAAAAAATTCGATTAACTGAATTATATTAGGGTGTTTTAGCATTTATTAAATAGCCACCTCTCTTTACAACTAATGATTCATTTAATTCTTCTTTAATTGTAGCTTCTCAATCATCTTTATAGCATAAATTTTTTTCGTTGAGTTCAAAACACATTTGTAAACTTTGCCAAATTTTCCAGATCCAATTTACTCATGTATTGTATAATACTCTAGCCTATTTTTAGGCACACTTGAACTAGCCTTTTTATTTTAATTGTTTTAATTTGCCATTTTTGAACAACTAGTTTAAGTTTTGATTCTCTTCTATAATTGACCATTTGGATTTGGACTACTTGCCTTTTTTATAGGTTTATTATTGCAATTGTGAGTTATCTATTTAAGAATGTCTCCGAATTAATTTGAAGTTGCTGAGAAATATCTACTTGGACTTCCTGTAGCATTAGCAGAATTTTATCGTTTCATTTTATTAATAAATAAATTAAATTAGTTTTTATAGCATAAGTAACTATTTTAAATTAAAGTCAATATCTTGAAACCATATTAAGGCATTTTTAAGATGGTTTAGGTATTTATAAAAAGATTCAACTGAAAAGAGAAGTAGATTGTATATCAAAAATGTCAAACCAATTCAAATTTAATAATAAGTTTGATTTTATACTTAATGCAATTAACCTTAATATGTGAATTAATATATATTATAATTCAAATAATTAGGCCTAGAACCAGCAATCCAAAAATTAATGATATTAAATTTGCGTTGCTAGTTTGTTAGGATCCTGACTCACTTAGAGTTATTGAAAATTCACCTACATTACTCTTATGATCTTCCATTACGAGAGATGAAGAAGTTGCATAACTCCAAGTATAAGAGGATCCTTTGGCCAATACTGCATCCTTTGAATCTCCAGTATTCAATTTTCTCTTAATTCTAGCTTTTACTGCTGAATCAGAAATGCTTGATGAAATCAATGTAACATCCTTAGAATTGTCTGTTGGAGGAGCACTTTCACCTGTAGCGTATAGATCTAGTAGTTCTGCTGCCCCATCTATGATGTTAATAGCAAACATGTCTACTCCATTCATCTACAGTTTATTTATATTAAAATACTCCTTAGCCAAATCCTATTCCCACCCATGATTTCTTATTCAAAATAACACATATTTCTATTGTGTCATCTGTGTTGAATTTCCATTTTAATTGCAATGTTGAGCCAACAGTTAATGAAGCTGTCATATCACTATCTGTGTAGGTGACAGTATCAGCTTAAGTTATTCGTTTTTAAGGTTTAAATGGTTTTTATTCTTCCTCTTAAGGCTTATTGTTCCAAATATAAGGCTTGTAACTGTTCTCCTTTCTTTCAAAAGTAATTGTGTTGTTATCAACACATTATACATTAATGGTTTACTAAATTGAGTTAAGCTATGGATGGCTTCTCGGTCCTTTAGAAACCATGTCTTCACATGTGCAGTCATTCATTCTGCAAAATATGTAATCTCTCACTTCCTAGGCCAGTATTTATAAACTTATACATATTGTCCTTCAAAGCCAATGACAACCATGTGTTCTGTTGATGTAATAAAATACTTTTCTACAGAATTCTCTGAAGAAATATTCAATGAAATTTATGCCTAACCAATTACTAAAATTAAGCCAAGGATCAAGATATTTTTTGTTATTTAAGTCATTAATTAAAATAGAATGCAATTCATCGGTTAAAACGGGATATTTTATGGAATCATTGGGTGAAACATAGAATCAATCGTTAAAATGAAACTGATGAAATACTTGCAAAAAATATTCTGACTTTCTAAAAATTTATAATAATAATTTAGCTGTAATAAACTTGTATGAAAATTTAAAGTTTATAGTTTGAATGAATTAAATTCAATTTCTAAGTCTTAATAGTTTTAAGTAGGGTATTAGTTAATAAGTATATCAAAAGATATTGTTTGTTACCTAAGGCTAATGATAAATATAATTGAGTAACTTTAAATTTATTATATATAAATAAAAATTCAGGGATTAAACTTCATCCACATTAAGATTATTAATACTAGCAATTTAAGTATATCTAACAACTTATGAATAACTTTTTAGTCAAAAATATGGGAAAATCTTTTCAATTTATAAAATGGATTGATTATGTTAAATTTAAAAATACTTAATTAGAGCTTCATAAACATTCGATTCATTGCAATTAGTTAATAGTAATTGTTAATCTACTTCTTTATTTAATCTGAGAATTTATCCTCCAGGATTATCAATTAACTACAGCCAATTTCCGATATTTTAAATAAGGCTCCCTTTATACAACAGAATACATACATATGATTGACTTAATTTATACACTACTCATAAGAACATTTGTATTATGATCATGAATGTATTTAAGTACATTATAGAAGAACATATTTGATACATCTCTTTATTAGTAATAGGAATGTAGCATAGTGGAGACTAAGATATGCAACTTTTTTGAGGATAATTATTTGTTAACTTATGTTTCTTCTGACTTTTATTTTTCCTGCTATTTCCTTTCTCTAAGCTTGTTAATTAGTTTTTAGGATACTGTAGATAATGGTTTGTTATCGTCCTTATCTTATAATATTTTGGAATTGTTAATGGATTGAGAAAATTTTACTCAATCGCTTTTATAGTATCACTATTATATTACATAGTAATTAATTACAATATCAAGTGTATAGCTTTACTTGATTAATTATTTTCTTTTTTAAGCTTTTCATCAAAAAATTAAGGTTTCTAAGGCAATTTGAATGGTTCTAAGTAATCTCCATTTAATTATAAAAAGGATTCCAATTTATATTAAAATAACTCTTTTCTAGAATTCAATTCTGAAGAGTTTAATAATTGTTTATCTGGGAATTTGAGTAGGAGATCGTAATTCCCACTTTACTTTCAAATTAACCCAATTAATAATATAACATGAATTCCAAACAGTTAATATTTCTAATAATTATCGAGTTGTGACTTATAATTGTTAAGAATCATAACAATTTTTGACAATGATTAGCAAGAACAAAGATTCTCTCTAAGGTTATATGTAAATGTACTCTTTATTTTAGAAATAATAATTGTGAGTCAATTGCTGATAAGATGGAAATTTAAGTTTAATATTTGCTGGCTTTTAAGTTTCCAGTCTCATTAATTTAATGAAATCTTTCCCTAAGCGAAGATATATTAAGATATTTAGATGCTATTTTTGATAAGGTAGGGAAGGATTCAACTGAATTGGAGTTCTCGTTAAAGAGAGTAGTACTTTGGCTATTTTCACAAAGTCGAACTTTCTTCTGAAGGGCTGAATTAAGATCTGGTGCAACAAAAATATTTTTGCTTATCATGTTTATTAATAATTATTATTAATTCTTTCTGTCACGGACTACAGTATCGAATTATAAGCACGATTAATTAATAATCATTAAACATACAATTTGTTTTTGAGATATAATAGAATTGAGATTAAAATAGGATTATTATAAAAAAATAAATGAAGTAAATCGTTAGTTAACCTTAGTCATTTTAGAATATAATATTTATATATTTAAATGTTGAATGAATTACTTATGATAAGTTTAGTTTTGATAGGAATTGAATGCCAATTGAGTCAACTAAGCTTGAGTGCAACAGAATCGTTGATACATGAATCAGTAAGTTGTGCCTGCAATTTTTCTACTGATTTTTGTGATGAATACTGTTGCTGTGATTCAAAATGCGATAGCAAGACAATAGTTGAATGGGATTTAGCAAGAAAATGCCGAGAGAAAAGTACATATAAAAACTTAAAGTAGTATATTCATCTGCATATCAAATTCCTGAATGCAATAGAGATTATCAAAAAAGTTCAAGTGATTTGTATTTAGGACTAAGAATTGCATACAATGTAAGATTACATATGGATATTGTCAGCTATTTAAAAACTTGGGTTGTGTTACAAATCAAAACACTTTGTCCACTTTGTAAAACAAAGAATTAGATTCAAAAGATTATACCGCTAAAATAGAGGAATAATTAACTAAATATTCAAGCACCCCTGCTCTTACAGGTTTGTCTACTGATAATTACATTACTTCAACATTGATTAGTAATCAGAATTTGATGTACATGTATAGACCAAGAAGTGACAACGATAAGGGATGTCAATCAGGTCAAATTAGAAGATATCAGACTTATCCTGTCAACATATGCTCAAGATGTATGAAGATATTCAATTATTCAAGAACTAACTGATGATTAAATAACACCACTATTGCTAACAGAATTCAAATACTCAAATTATTAATCATTAGCAATTTGGGGAATAAGCGTAAAGATTAGTGCCATTTATTATATTACATATAATGATGCCACAAAGAGATATCAGTATACTGCTATTACAACTCCCGCTGATCCTGTCGGAAAAACTAATATGGTTGTTGGTGTCATCTATCAATTCAATATGGCTGCAGTCCCTATTGATGATACAGAGAAGAGTGATAAACCAACTTCAATTGATGCTACTATCTTTATGATAGATGCAGTTCAAGTTAATTCTGATGCTGTCAATATAATACCTGCTATTAGCGGGATCATATATAAAACTGTTAAAGGGGAGGCCTATGATGTATCAAGTAAGGGAGGCTATGCAAGAGGAGCTCCTTTAAGATTTAAAAAGTCCTTGGATAATACTAATGAGGAATAATTACAATAATTGTTTATAGGAATAGAATCTTATGATGTATTATTATCAATATTATCCTCATTTAGGGATTGTGCATATCCAGTGCTACTAAAGATATCAGTCATTCTTTTCAAATAAAATTTTTGGAGGATCAGAAGATTTCCTGTTCAAAATCATCTATTAGTTTTTCAACGTCCAATATTTATAAGAATGTTGCAGATAATTTGAAATTTGTAGCCAGATATGGTGATTCAGGTTCAAATAATCTAAGTACTGATGAATGGTTGTTAGTATCTCCATGTTCATCAACTGACAGTTATCAGTTCTCTCTCACTTTTGGATATATTGTATATGGTGAAAAGGGGAAGGAGAGGTTCAGAATTAATTCAGCTTCACTGATTTGCACGCAAGTATCAATTGATGCTGCTTAATACGAATATAGATTTTATATTTAATTTATTGAGATACCTAATACTTGGACTCACTTTAAAGGACCTTCACCTTAACTTATTGGAGGTCTCCCTGATGATATTTTAGCGCCCTTTATTAATTACGGATGAATATTTATATAATATTAATAATTTATTAAATGGCAATTACATTCTTATTAGTAATCATATTCTTAGTTTTTTTATTGTTTATGGCACCGAAATTTATCACCAAGATTATTAGTTAGCCTCCATAATAAGAGCAACCAGATACTAAATTATCACAAACACAAATTTTGAATTAATTATTCGATTAAAAAGTGGATTAAAACTCTAAGAGTAGAGGTTGTATCACTTTAAGAGGGGAAATGTTCAATGAGGAATAACAATATTTTATGGCTTAATTAACATCAATATGTGATGTGATATGCTTGAGTAGAACAAATCAAACTAATCTGCCAAAAGGAGTACATCATTTACCATTTTAAACAGATGTTGGATGTAGTGCAATAGTCAGATCACTCAAGCCTAAATTCCATATTGATGATTAATAATATGAAAATTTACATAATTTTGTTAAAATAGTACCATGGTCAATGATAAATAATATTAACGTATTTAATTTGAAATGAAATATTCAAACAATCCATAATTTCAATCAATTGAAAAGGTCAGGAGAGGTACATTCCTATATCTAATCCACTCTAGAATCTCCGTAAACTGATAGGTTAAAAATATTGACTGAGAAGTGGTCTAATTTAAAATAAGGATTGGATAAAGAGAAGAACGACAAAAAAGAATTAGTAGAATAGCACATCTAAAGAATAGAATCACTTTTGAATTAAGAAAAACCTAAAGAAGAATAGAAATTCAAAACTTTAAAGGACCATTTGTTAAAATTACAAGATTAAGTTTATTAAGAAAAAAACGATAGAGAATAATTTGATGAACTAAAATAGAAGGATCTTCGCAACTTTGAAGAATAATTAACTTAGCAGGTGGAAGATGAAAAAAGTGTATAATTTTGAATTTGTAATTAGAACAAAAGAAAATTGGAATTATAATTGTTAAAATAAATTGAAGAAAGATTCAATAGTCTCAATTCAAATCTACAATTAAACAATGGTACATGCAAAGATAAAACAAATAAATTGTTACAAAGCATAAACTTATAAATGAGTGAATTGAAATATTTATTAGAAGGAGAAACTTAAAATAGAGAAGATTCTTAGAACAATTTAATTGAACAAATAGATAATTAAATTAATGCATTTTAAGACATGTTGCAAGTAGAAAGGCAAATTAGAGATGAAACCCAAAAGAAAATTTTTAATATGATAGAAGATATACATTAAAGAATTCAGACTGAACTCAAAAGTGAAAAATAACAAAGAGAATCTATGGCAGATTAACTTTTGAGATTGCTCGAAGATACATGCGAGAGAATTGATGAATAGTTTAATAATTGAAAATTTAAATATATTTATTATTTATGCTTTAAATAAAGTTGCTAAATCTGGAACAAATAAAAAGCTTTTAATTGTTATTATTTACTTCTATATTAATATTTAAGTAATTAATCAAAGTCAAACTNTCATATTCTTAGTTTTTTTATTGTTTATGGCACCGAAATTTATCACCAAGATTATTAGTTAGCCTCCATAATAAGAGCAACCAGATACTAAATTATCACAAACACAAATTTTGAATTAATTATTCGATTAAAAAGTGGATTAAAACTCTAAGAGTAGAGGTTGTATCACTTTAAGAGGGGAAATGTTCAATGAGGAATAACAATATTTTATGGCTTAATTAACATCAATATGTGATGTGATATGCTTGAGTAGAACAAATCAAACTAATCTGCCAAAAGGAGTACATCATTTACCATTTTAAACAGATGTTGGATGTAGTGCAATAGTCAGATCACTCAAGCCTAAATTCCATATTGATGATTAATAATATGAAAATTTACATAATTTTGTTAAAATAGTACCATGGTCAATGATAAATAATATTAACGTATTTAATTTGAAATGAAATATTCAAACAATCCATAATTTCAATCAATTGAAAAGGTCAGGAGAGGTACATTCCTATATCTAATCCACTCTAGAATCTCCGTAAACTGATAGGTTAAAAATATTGACTGAGAAGTGGTCTAATTTAAAATAAGGATTGGATAAAGAGAAGAACGACAAAAAAGAATTAGTAGAATAGCACATCTAAAGAATAGAATCACTTTTGAATTAAGAAAAACCTAAAGAAGAATAGAAATTCAAAACTTTAAAGGACCATTTGTTAAAATTACAAGATTAAGTTTATTAAGAAAAAAACGATAGAGAATAATTTGATGAACTAAAATAGAAGGATCTTCGCAACTTTGAAGAATAATTAACTTAGCAGGTGGAAGATGAAAAAAGTGTATAATTTTGAATTTGTAATTAGAACAAAAGAAAATTGGAATTATAATTGTTAAAATAAATTGAAGAAAGATTCAATAGTCTCAATTCAAATCTACAATTAAACAATGGTACATGCAAAGATAAAACAAATAAATTGTTACAAAGCATAAACTTATAAATGAGTGAATTGAAATATTTATTAGAAGGAGAAACTTAAAATAGAGAAGATTCTTAGAACAATTTAATTGAACAAATAGATAATTAAATTAATGCATTTTAAGACATGTTGCAAGTAGAAAGGCAAATTAGAGATGAAACCCAAAAGAAAATTTTTAATATGATAGAAGATATACATTAAAGAATTCAGACTGAACTCAAAAGTGAAAAATAACAAAGAGAATCTATGGCAGATTAACTTTTGAGATTGCTCGAAGATACATGCGAGAGAATTGATGAATAGTTTAATAATTGAAAATTTAAATATATTTATTATTTATGCTTTAAATAAAGTTGCTAAATCTGGAACAAATAAAAAGCTTTTAATTGTTATTATTTACTTCTATATTAATATTTAAGTAATTAATCAAAGTCAAACTAACTATCCTTATTTTATGATAATCTTGATTTGTCGTTAGAATGAATCATCAAACAAAAGTGTTGATTAAGGTAATAGATAGACAACTTTTCGTAAAATGTTCATTTATTCTCTTTCATACGCACTAATTTTTTAAATTATACTAAACCCAAATATTAGTTGTATAAAAATGCCACAGAGGTATATAATCTAAAAGTAATATAACATTTTACTTGAAAATTAGATTTTATATCGTTTGTGTAATTATAAAGATTCGAATAGAGTTTTTTGACTAATTCTTTGATAACTTTTGCAGTAAATGTTGCTCCCTCCAATTCTCTCAATGGTACTTGAGCATTGGATCTGTTAGTAAAGTTATTCACTAATTTTTCAGATTTAACCGAGTTATACATTACGTTCAAAGTTGATATCAATCCTTAAGTTAATACTCCTGATAGAACTTAGGGACAAAGAGTAGTCGAAACATTTGCATAGGTCTTAAATTAAAAATAAATTTACTTCTGGCAAATAGTTGCATAGAGAAGAAGAGCTAATTTTATCAAATAATTCTAAGGAAGAATCATCCAATAAATAATCATTTTGATTTAATTTTAAAAGCAATCCACTAAATTTATTAATAGATTCTAAACTATTATCTACTTAATCTCTTAAATCGACTACATCTTGTTTCGTGAAATATGGAATTAAAGCTACTCGGTACAATACTTCTCTTTATGCATAAATGATTAGAACATCAACTCCTGTGTTAGAAAGAGATTCATAAACCTATCCTGTATTTTTAGATTTGGTTAAATATTAGTCAAGAGAACTGATTGTTATGTAGTATAACAATTGTAGAACAATTATATTGACAAGGAGTATTCCCAACTACATGAAATTGTAAAGCTTTATTTATCTATTTTTTCTTGATCCTGCTGTTCGATTCCCTTTTTTATTGATTAATCTAAAGAATTCCCCTTCTTGTTGCTTCAAATTTTCATCAAAACTCTAAACATCTAAGGTATATTGATATAAAGAGTTATAGTTGGAATTAATTAAAGTTTATAATTATTTCAAACGTTGAACTTCATGCCCAACAATTTCATTATCTTACTGATAAAGTAGACTTAACATTTTATTTTTTAACCTTCTTTATCTTATTAAATATATGGAGTAAATAATAGATACTATTCCTAAGAATACATTAAATGGAGCTGAAATCATAGTAAGCTACTCTGATTAATCGGATAGTTGGTTTGTTAATTAATCCAAAATATCCGAATTCAATTAGGTAAAGATTGTATAGAGCGGAATATAATTCTTATATGAATAATAAAAATAAGGTCCATCTGTCTATAATGTTTTGACCGTGTATGCTAATTTAAAATCATACTAATAATTCAACAATGCCAAAATTCCACTTCTAAAGGTTATATTCTTATCAACTCCTTAATTAGTAGATATATACCAAATACTATCAAAATATCTATCCTTTAGAAATGACTGGAATTCTTTCCTAGATATTACATCAAAGATATTTCCTTTTAAATCATCATATCCTTTTGCTAAATTTGATCTGGGAAATGCAACTAATTCATTAAATACAGATTAGGTTATCACTTTAGTTGCTAATGCTTAATTAAGGCCAACAATAGTATATCTAGTATTTAAAAAAGATTCAATTGGTTCATATATATCATATTTGATGCTCAATAATGCTAGAAGGTCTTGATATTCTTGCAACTTTTGCACTTATTCAATAAGGATGCTTAAATTGATTACTCCAGCAAAAATATAAAGAAAATACATAAAATTAAAGATTTTAATGTTAACAGGGAAAACTTTAGAAAAGATTAACTAATTTACAATTAAGAATTATTTAAAGTAAGCAGATCTTCGAACTGCTGCCACCGAGGATATTTGTGATCCTTAATCATCAAATTACTTTAATACTTCGTCTGATTTTGATTCTTTATGTTTCGATTCTACTGAATTTTCCATTTTATTTGAAATTTAACTTTGGCTGCCTTTTACATTATCTATCTGGCCATCTAAACATTCACCTAGACTTGTGAATAATAATGGTCTTTAAGAATCCAAACGGGACGTTAATTATTATTAAACTACTTAATTCAAATTACTTTATTCTGGTTGTGAACACATATCAAATGGAATATTAATAATCTCTTTTTCATCAACTTCAATATATTATTATTGATTTGATAATGTTACTGAATCATACACCTTTTTATCAGATTTTAAATCTGTAATTTCTAAAATGTAATATGTATTTTTCTAATTAATCTTTCTTACTGAAACACTGATTACACCTTAAAAGATCTCTATTGATTTCGAACTGTATTTCGAATGTGAAGTAATTGATCTATTATTATTAGTCGGAAAATTTATTTAATACAAGCCCAAAGTCCTATCATGAACGAACTCTTTTTCAGTTAAAGTAGGAATAAAAGCAAAGATGGATTAATCCATAAATATCATTTTTTAATTTACTGGATATTCCAATATCTTTTAATAGAGTAATTGAGATATCTCTCTAATTTTAAATTGGCCATCCAATACAAAATAATGGATTAGAATATTATTATTTGACAGTCTGATAAATGCTGTAGATAACAATTGATTCATCGATAAATCGAATGAAATATCCAAACACATTTCAATTGGACTTATAATTCCTACTGCTATTTATATAAATGATTATCCAATATTTAAATAATACTTATTTTATCCAGTTTAAAAGAAATCTTTCATGAGATATTTATGCGCTGAAACTAAAGAGGAAGGAACCATTTCCTCAAATGAAGTATATTTCGTAGTACCTATTCTAATTGCTTTATTAGAGCCATCTTAAACTAACTCAATATTATCTTCTTCCTTAAGAATAAAAGTGACATATGAATATTGAGTGGCAAATTCTTAATAAATGTTATTTGCATTAACAATTTGTTCTTGATCATCTAATTGGGTGTTCATAGTGTTAATTGTTTACGAATTTATCAAATCATTCAAAATCTCTATCTGAAAAAATAGAAGCAAACTTTAATTGTTGTGAGCTAAAATTTATTATAAATAAGATACTAGGAACTATTTTGAAATTGTTCACTAATCTTTTCTTTAATTCTTCAATTTATTTAATTATTTTTAAGGCTTGATTATTTACATAACTAACTTCTAGATTTGACTTCTTTGCTATTTCATCTAAAAAATCCATTTTTGCTTTCAAAATGATGTTAAATTATTCTTATAAAACTTTTTCAGAATCAACTTTTTGTTATAATGATCGTATGGCCTATTTAATTATGTAATGTTTAGCAGCTCCTGTTGATTTACTTTAGATTGAATATTTTATAGATATTAAGATTTGCTATTAGAGTAATTTAAATAATATTTTTTGTTAAAGAGAAATTTATCCTTTTATTAATTGCATAGGTTTCTTGAATTGTTATGTTCTTCTATTGAACTAATTGAGTACTTTTTAAGTCACATTCAAAGCATCAAAGCATTTTCCATTTTAAATAAGTAGCTAAATATACTATATATAAAATAATGAGGATTGTTATTAAGACTATTGTATTTAGGTTTTTAGTCTTTTAATTAAGTCTTTTAATATGATGCTTTCCAATTTAATCATTACCATTTCTTCATTATTACAGTAACACACTTGTTTTCTGCAATTTTTTTAATGATATGATATAAAAATCTTATTAACCAGTCTATATTCTGAATTTCTCCTATCTGTCATTTACTGATAATAATATAATTTCTTTTGATTTTCTAATAACTGAGTTTAAATTTTAGTTGTATTATGCGGGTTTTCAGAGGTCTGCAATATATTGTAATTTAAATAATAGATTGACAGGGATTGATACAATAAAATTGAGACAATAATCCATAAAAACTATAAGGATTAATCAATGTATATATTGATTATTTGCTAAATTGAAACACATATTATTAGGCATTACATTAATACATTTTGTCTAACTAAATATCTATCCAGTTTAATTGACAAAATTAATAACATATATAATTCAAGTAAACCATTTAATATTAATATGACTAATACCATTATAGATTTATTCGCTATTGAGCTTGTAAATAAGCATAATACAATTATTTTTAGTAATTTGCTTAAGTAAACTAGGAGTGTGGGTTGAATTAATTAGTTCAGTTATCTTGGTATATATGATAAGCTTTGATTCATAAACACTTATTAAAGCAGAACAATAACTAAAATTTCAAGCAGCATTATTATGGAACTAACTAGACAAAATATATTATCAATATTTTGATCAAACAAAATAATAAAACACCCTTCGATTAGCATTAAGCTAAGAAATTCAGACAACATTAAAAACACCAATTTCCAAATGTAAATGATTGAGAATTGTAAAGTTGAGCTTGACTCGTATTTATTTATTAACTATATATATGTTTTTTTCTCCTAATCTCCTGATATATTGAGAAGATAAGCCCAAAAAATTATTAAAAGTTAAAGAAGTACAAAAGTGCCAATGCTGTAAAAAAGCTCCAATTCCTTTTGAATAAAGTATGTATAAGGTCGAATTACATATAGCAAGAATTTTTCGAATAAGCTTTCAATTTTATAGTCATATTTTTAAATTAGCAAACCACATTTTAGTACAAGCAATTCATTGAAGAATTGAGCAAAAAAATATACCAGTTTTGATGGTTAACTTGTAAATTCTTGAATTATCATTGTTCTGTAAATAATTGTATTAAGAATCTTTATAAACTTTAGAGATTTCATTCTTGTTCTTTAAAAATTAAATATTAAGTTCAATATGTCATTCAGATTTTATATTCATAAAATATCGATTAAATCTTTATAAATGAAAAGAATAATTGAAAGATAATAAATCTTTTTTTATTTCTATGAATTGAATCACCATTAATTAAAAAATATTAGATATAAATTGATTAATTTAAAATGAGCAATAACTCATTAACATAGCATTTTAGTATTTCAGCTACTTCTTTGGTGAAAAATTGTGGATAAATAACAAAGAGTCTAATTTCGTATCTACTTCTATAAATAATTAAGCTTATAATTAAATCAATATTTAAAATTTAAGTTCTAATTATTTAATTTGTACTCAAATCATCTTGTTCGATAAAAATTCTTTCCTAACAGATTTCGAAACTCCAAATACATGCATTTTGATAATAAAAGAAGAAATTATATAAATTAGAATTTGGGTAACTCCTTTGTAAAATCAATTATATTATATAAACCAATATTTATCTTAAAAAACCTTGATTTTAGGGTAGATTATTACATTATACATTTATTTTCAAAATATATCAATAAGGATAATTAATGATTTATAAATTGATTCATAACTATAATGTGAATAAATATTTTTGGATTGAGATCTAAATGTGATTTTCTTTGAAAATAATTTGGGTAAATTAGTTTAAATTTTCTGAATGCTAATATAATTTATAAAATAATGAAATCAGATATAAAACTTCCATATTTAGATCACCAACCTCTAAAACTCAATCCTAGCTACAAGCTGAAGTTTTAAAATCCTCTAAGAATATAATATATAAGATTTCTAGACAAAAGCGATCTGAAAGAGACTGAAACTTTCTATATGAAAAATTATGCCAAAGCATTTAATGTACCAATTCTTTGCACTTATAGAGGGTATTAATGATTATCTAGTTAAGTCTTATACCAAAACAAAAGGAGGAGAAGAAAAAAATATTGTACAAAAGACCAAATTATAAATACTTTAAAGAGGAAGACTCTGATTTGGAAGGCGAGTAAGTGCAGAGGATATTATCGATGAAATAATCTCAAAAATAAAAGAAAGTGTTTGTTTCCGAATGATTAATTTATATTATAAATTTTGTATAATGGAAAGTTTTATAGACTTGACTTAACTCGAGCCTATTCCATACAAAAATACGATTGCCGTATTGAATGAATATATGCTTTAGAACATTGACTTTTTGAACAAGTATTATGAACAAAATTAATTACAGATTCGGACATTTCAATGAAAACAAATTATTTGAGATGGAAGTAGTTCTTGATGAGATTGAATCTAAAGTACTTTTATTGGAGAAGAAACTGGAATCAGTACCTCCTGAATTCTTAAATGGATTGGTGGTGCCTCCTCTACAATAATAATAGTAAGTGGCACAACCACAGTCCGTATAACAATCAAGTACTTAGTAGTTGCAATATTAGATGATCAAAATAATGCAATTCCTCCTCCTCCTCCACCACCTCCCCCTCCTCCTCCTCTTTAAAACTATTAATAGGCTATTCCAAATTAAGAAGCTCCTTATGCTGCTGCTGTTCCTCTACCTCCACATTAAATGGAATAATAATAAGTATAATAGCCTGAGTAAGTTTAAGAGGAGCAACCTTAATAACAAGAGGAAGTCGAAGATGGTATGAATTCATTGTAATAAAATTTAGAAAGATTAGATAAATATAAAAAACTATTAAGTTATGGAGTCAATTCTTAATAATTGAAGATGAAAATGTAGATGGAAGGTTTGGACCCAAATTTATTAGACAAGTATTTGACTTGATATTGTATCTAATTTTATATATAAACAATAAATATTATTTAAATGTAATAAATAAAATAGTTAAAGGAATTAATTGGATACTATTTCAAGAAGAAATGGCAAATAATATTCATGGAAGAAAATGTGAAGAGAGAATGCATTTTGACAGAATTGTGGAAATCATCCAATATAGATTTAAAAAAGGATCAACAAAGAAACACAAACTGTTGACAATAAAGCAATTAGAATAAAGAAATTTGTAATTCTTAAGAAAATAAAAATAAATTAAAAAAATGGACAAGACCAGAAACAACAACAATAAAATTTTTGATATTTACAAAGATATAAATTTAAGTAGATAATTTAAAGCAGGCATTATACTTTGATTATAAATATTTTATTATTTATTAATTTTGATGAAGGCTACAAATAAACTACTTAAGCCATTCATACTTATTGTGGTCTTAATTCTCCTGTATATATATATGAAACCAAGACAAAAAAAATTTGATCTAGACGAAGATGTGTATTTTATCCATATATTTTAGACAACCCACCCTCTCTTAAGGAAAAGGAATTACTCGAGAACATGCAATTCATTTTTACGAAGTCTTCCTTAACATCCTATTGAATAAACATAATAAATTCGGTGAACATGCTGAGAATGTTTATTTGATCAATTATTTAATCAGAAACGATGTAAAATGGAGAGTCACTGAAACCATGCTCTTTCAGCTATTTGATGTTACAGGTATCTAACTTGATTAATGAAGGAAATAATTATATAAGTAAGAGTGAATATGAATCATTCGCTGATATGATTGATGATGTAGGAGATCGACAGAAATTAGATTCTTTAAGAATGCTAATTGACAGAAATATTGACACAAAAATTATGAGAACCGAATGGATTAATTTTTGCAATAAGGTTTTAAGACCTAAGATGATTCAGGATTTATAGGAATGGGAAAAGTTTCATGGTTCATTATCTAACCCTTATAATATTACTGCTTAATTTACAGCCCTCAATAGGGATGAGAGAAATCATAGAGATTTAATACATTTGCAGTTAGATAGAGGATTACAAATGCTACATGATGGATTCAAGAGATTTGTAAAACATTATGAAGAATAAACGAAACATACAAAAAACGATAAAGATCTATTTGTTAGAAAGATAGGATTTTGGATACTTGAAAGGTTTGAAAGATGGGATGGGTTATTTAATTGGATATATTAGTTATTAGATGATAATGGAGATGGAGAATTAACACCTAAGGAATGTGCTGCATAATTAAATACTTTTGCAGTGTCTATGGTACATGTAAGAGAGATCTTCGAATATATGGATGAGGATGGGGATGGTATTCTATTGAGAAAAGAATGGGCTGATTTTAGTGAAACATTCAGAAAACTATTATCAGGTTTTTTTAATTAAAAGTGAGTTACATATTGATTAAATTATAATTATGAAAATTTAGTCAAGTTCAGTTTAATTGGAATCTTATCTTTTTTGTTATTTCTTTTTATTGAAAACTATAAAGGCTTACAATTATTATTTTTGATTTAAAGAAAAATTGGGATTTTGATAATTTTGAGCTTCAACTTTAAGAGACAAATAATAACTTGCTGACTAATTATTAAAAATCTTTGTTCTTACCGAACAAATTGTCTTTCCTTATTGTAATTGACTTAATAGCATTTACTCTAAAAAAACCTTTATATATCATAAACTTTTAATACTTAGTTCTGCCATTTGATACATTTATTCATAAAAAACAAGTAGCATTTACTTAGTTAAATATCATTATGGGAAAAGACAACAATTCGTCTATTCATAATTTAAAATAAAAAAACAAATTTAATATTCGTTTATATACTATAAAGGTGCATCACACTGATAAATTGACATCTTCTTGAGAATATTTTTTTACTAAAGCTTGAGTTACAAATTTTTCATAAAGAATTATAAACGCTCCGATAATTAGGCTAAACCCAATAATGATCCATTCAAATCTTAATGGGGTTATTACCACAATCTAAAATTATAATCTAAAAATTAAACCTCCAAATGTTAAAATCCCTATGGGTAAAATATAACAAAGATATGTCCTAAAATTCCTAAGGTTACAGTCACAATATAAGCAAGGTTCTTATAAACTTGTTGTCTGAATGGTGGTCCTTAAGTAAATGCAATAGCAACTGCTAGCACTTCTGAATTAGACAAAAGGATCAACATCTAAATGAATATGATTAACGATTTACTGTATTGATTTAACCAGGAGCTCCTTCATCGGGTTCATCTAACTCAAATTCTTCCTATGATGTGAGATACTAAACTAGCCCAACTTACATAGCAATACTGGTTAGTGCTGCTACTGTCACAGATGAAATTATGGGAATTGATATCAAATCACTTATTGGTCTATACCTTGCTAGAGTAGGAAAAGCATTTGTTAAATCCATAGTGAAAGCCAATGGAATTATTAACCAAAGGTCTTGATACAAATATTAATATAATGATAGATCTGTGTTCCAGAAATAACATTACAAAACCATAGCAGATTAGATACAGGAATACAAAGTCATAAATTTAAAGCATTCAACACATGTAACCAAACAAGCTCTACCCTCTCTAATGAGAGTGATCAAACTTGAAATATTGAAAACAGATGAAGTAAAAGGGGCAGCCAAAGAGGCATCTTCTGTTGACAATGCCAAACCTACATCAGCCTATCTTAATGCACATGTATCATTAGTGCCATCTCCACAAAAAGCTATAAAGTTTTTTTTATCTTATTTTAAGAGTATCATCAAATCTCCCTTATGATTTGGTTTCATTCTTGCATAAATGAAGATTTGGCTAAACAAATTCAAAATTTCTTCTTTATTGATTGCTTAATTGTATTAGTATTGCAATTATTCAAATACATCACCTGTGATGCATAGTTAGAAATTATTATTAGATCTCAAAATATCATCAGTTGTTAATGTTTTTGATTGAATATTATCAATACTGTATGAGCTGCCTTCATTTATTACTTGATCCTGCATGGCCATTTCTTGCCATATTATATCCTAGTCCTTTATTTGACTAAGATAGATCTTTTAATTCTGTTCTAAAATATAGCATTGCTATCCTATATTGATGGCAGTTAAGGGATTATCACCAGTTACCATCAATGGTTTTAGATTAGAAGCCTTTAATTCTCTAATAGTTCTGGATGTTAATTCTTTTAATCTATTTTCAAAAATTAGAAATCCCAAAAAAACTAATTGAGATTCAAATAAGTCTCGTCTTCCAGTTTATATTTCTGAATTCAAGACTTTAGGGATTTCTCTATAAGCCAAAGCGATTACTCGGTATCCTTTAGAAGCATATCTGTTGAGAATAGTCTTGTAATTTTCTGGCACCTTTTAACATATGGTCTGAATCATTTCAGGTGATCCTTTACAAAATAATTTATGATCACTAACAATTACTGACATTCTTTATAATTCAGCTTAGAACTCAAATCTTCTAATTATAGTTAATGACTTATCTTAAAAAGTAATATCTTTTTCTGTAAACTTCCATCCAGTCTATAGAAACATGTTTAAATCAATAGGATCCCCTTAAACTTCATTAGCTATCAATGATAAAGAATGACAAGTAGCCATTCCTTCTATAGAAATTTCATCACATTCTGAAATCTAAATTTTCTTATCAAATCCCATAGCTTTGACAGGTCTGAAACCTACCACATCTAAACCTAATTCAGTAAGGGTTCCAGTTTTATCAAATGCACAAATATTAACTTTAGCTGCCACATTCACTTTATCTGGTTTAATACATTGTATCTTTTATTTCTCCAATCTGTTCAAAGCCAATGATACACCTGCAGCCAAAGCAGTGGGAAGGGCAGGTGGAATTATTATAGTTAATAGTTCTAAAGCATTTATTATGGCTTCTCCAATAGTTGCATCATTTGAAAAATCTAAATATAATGAAATCACAGATTGAACTACTCCTAGGAAGGCTAAAACAAATAAGTATTTTAAAGAATCTCTCTAAAAACTGAAACTCTAATTCACATTGAATAATATTGATCTAGCCAATCCTCCTTTCAAAGTTTGAAATCCAGTCTAGTAGACTAATGCTTTCACTGGCTAATTTGAATTAGAATAACTTCTTAAACAGAAGGTTCCACAATACAACATTGAATTCTCATTTTCTTTTTATCTAAACAAATTGTTGACTTTCAATAAAGCAGTTTTATTTACTGGCACAGATTCTCCAGTAAGTATTGCTTCATTCATCACACAAGCTCCATCAATCAATATACAATCACATGATATCTTTGTATTTCCTTCTACTATTATTATATCTCCTGGAGCTAAATCAATTGAAGATTTCTCAACTATTGATTCAAACTAACACAATTTAACAGTTGTACTAAATAGTATCATGTTCCGTATCTTAAACAAATTAGCTCTAATCTCTCTTAATTGCATAATCATCTAGAACAATGTTAACACAAAGATTAAGACAGCATATAACACATAATTATCAACAGCCCAAACCACCAGAGCGAATATCTAAGTATACAATTTCTCTTACTTAAAATATATTAAAAGGTGTAAGAATCTCATCTAAAATTAATAATGGAATAGACTTTATTGGAACATCCATTACGTTTCTGCCATAAACTTCAGACCATTCATTTAAATCAGTAGCTACTGTTAACTAAGCACAAGTTAAATGAGAAAAGGAGTTCTTTAAATAATTAAGTTAAAATGTCTAGCAATCTATGTAAAATTAACTTAGCCTAAAAAATTGATTAATATCTTTTACTCATATTCGAACATGCGAGCATAATTGCAATTAGGTAATTTGCGTGTGTTTAGTTATATTTCAACTAATTAATCTTCAGCAATTCTGATATCATTTTTAGTTTTGTTTATAAGTAAATGCGTCATCTCTGTGAAATTACATTATGAGTAACGGATGGCCAGCCGAAATGAAAGAAACCATCGATAAAACAAGTAAACTAATCCTCCTGTTACCACCACCAGGAAAATAAAAAAAGCGTTCTTAAATTTATTCATCTTATAATAGATCGCAATCAATTTGTATTGATCATCGAATTCACCCTAAAATTCCATCGAAGATACTCTAATATTAATGCTTATTTTACCCAAGATCTCTTGATGAAAACTCTAAGGCATCTTTCACGCCTGATGTTGTTGTTTGATAATTTATCGAATCCATAATATATCTGAGAATCTGATAAATAATAAAATAAATATTATGTTCAAAACTATTTTCTTTTGATTTTTATATTCATCTTCATTTGTTGTGGTGTAAATTAATAAATTAACTAATATATTTTAAATTTATTTAATTCAAATTATTCATAATAGTTATTAACATATTAATAAATTACAGATTACAGGATTTCTAATCGAATTCATAAGAATTGAAAATTGTTATCAAACTTTAGTTTATATTATTGCATAATTCATTTTTCTCAAATCCATTTCAATTAATTTAATTTAATCAATGCATCACTACTTATTTTATTTTTCGCTTCTAATTTATTTATTCAATTTATTAAATGATATTGAATCAATTTGTTATTTTTATTTATATTCATTTTTTTCTGAGTAAATATTATTTAATTCACTATTACGCCATTTTTAGAAATTAATTTAATTTTAATTAAAAATGACGTTATGGTAGTGAAAATTAATATAAAAAATGAAAACTTTTTATTTGATGTCATAACCATTCTTTTTTTTTGTTACGGTAATTACATCAAATATTCAATTTAAAATCACCCTATTTTAGTAATAGTGTAACAATCGATAAATGTAAAATAATCGCATCCAGGACAAAAATGAAGTAATATTAATAAAAACAATTAATCTAAATAAATTTACAAAAGAGCAAAACTTGAAAGACCATTCTTAATATAATTTAATGAATATTAGTATAAATTCTATATTGAAATTCAAAAGAAAAGATCACTGCCTATTTATCTAAATGTTAGTCATTATATATTCTTATTTACAGTGAGTTTAAGCAGCTCAAATTTTTTATATACTTTGTTTTAATAACTTTATAAATTTAAATAATTAATTTTTTATATAATACATAAATTTTCTTACAAATTAAATTTATTAATGGATAATTAGAACTCATAATCATCTGCTGTTTTATTTTAAGAAGCTATTGATTTCTTGGTTAAAATATTCTAGATATTTAAATTTCCATAAATAAAAATCTGTTTCAACGGAGGCAAGGATGCAACAGTTGTTCTCTACTTAGCGAAAATGGCTTTAGATAAATTATAAATATCAAGATAAATTGAATGTATATACTTTAAAGAAAAGGAACCATTCCCTGAGATCATAGAATTTATGGAATAATAAAAAAAGGCCTTGAACTTATAAATTTTGGAATGCAAAGGATGTGTTAAGGAGAATCTCCAAAATTAAGAATAATTACAAGCTGTGATTATGGGCACACGAAGAAGTGATCCACATGGAAAAACCCTTAATTTAATTTCAATAACAGATAATAATTATCCAAGCCTTTTACGCATCAATCCTATTTTAGAATGGAATTATTCTTAGATTTGGGAATTTATTAGAACATTTGATATACCTTATTGTTCTCTCTATGATTAAGGGTATATGTGTTTAGGTGAGGTTGGTAAGACTTAACCAAATAAAAATTATAAAAGCGGCATGAAGCCTTGGGAGTTTGATCCTTAACATGAAAGATAAAATAGAGAATGAATCACAATTTTAAATGAGATTAATAATTTGTTGCATTTCAGATTAAGTATTTAAAACTATATTTAACTAATAATGCTCTTAAATTATCAATAATACTTTAAAAATATTTCTTTTATTATCTAATTATATAAAATATGATAATTAATTAATTTTTTATTTCATGTAACATATCACTTATTTAAAGTTCTCATATGTACCTATAGATTCTAGACATTATGTCTGTCTTCGCCTTCTAAAGAAAGAGCTTCATTTGTTTTCCTCTCAATAGTGACATTTGCACTTGCAGAACAATACTGTTGTACTAATTTATACAATGAATAATTAGATTGAGCAAATTTTAGTAATTTCTGATTCTTTTTAAAATTGACATTTTGATCTTCTAAAATTTTTCTAAAAATGTTTGTCAATTCTTCCGCATTGTTTGGTAACATCTAGGCACTAAAGAATCTTGAAAGTTTCTTTAACTTTTAAGTAAATGGTAGTTCTAAATAATTAATGAGAATACTTTATGAATTAACAAATTTAAAATCTACTTTACTAAAAGTTTACGTTCTTAAGGAACGGCGATATCCTTGCAGCTTAACGATTTCTTAAAAGTGCTGTTGTTAGACCATGTTATCCTCAAATACAGGAGAGCTAAAACTATTGAATATTAGCAATTGATCATCATCAAATAATAGGAGCTTAATGCAATCGATTTCATATAGCTTTTTGAGAATATTAGTTAAATCTAGATCATTTTATATTTTATTTTTGGCCAATTATGAGATTGTAATCATTTCCTCTTATGCAATCTAACATAAATTGAATCTTTGTTTTAAACACAAAAATAATTTTGATAATTTATATAGTATGTATCTCCACATTGGATACGATATAGTAAAATTAATAATCTAATTTTAATATTAGATTTACTTTTTCTAATTTCTACTTTTTTATTAATACGTTTTGTTAAGGATCAATATGCATTCCACTACTTTGCATATTTTCTTCAAAGTCAGAACGTGTGTTTTTAGTGATATCAAATTTGAACACATTGTTCATTAAAGTCTCAAATGTCTTATGCTTATTATAAAATCCATAAAAGAATTAAAGGATCCTTAAGAATGTAACTATTAATGAGGTAGTTTCTGAAATTGATGATAATAAGATAACCAACCAATCCTATTAGTAAGAAAAATAATAAAAGCTTTCAGATCCAGCCCTTAGATAAAAGGAATTCATCAAGGCTCCATGAGATAAATTAATAGATTCCTATCTTCTTTCGGATTTAAAAATTGCTGCAGACTTAAAAATGTTCTAATTGGATCCTTAAGTTGTTAATTTTGCGAATAAACTATTTTTTTCTTACTTATATAAACGTAATACTTATATCTAAAGAGATAGGTGCCATATAAATATCTTCATTATTTGCCACTCCTGTTGTCAATCTCCAAAACAAGTTTTTTGGATATGTCTCAGCAGGAGCACTCATATTCAGGGCTTTCTTTATCCTGTCTCCCTTGATAAAGAGATCTATATTGATACTAATTTTTAAAAATGTAATACTACCCTTGACTAATAAATTTTTCAATTTCCTAAATTGATTTGCAATCAGGATTTGTATGATTATCACAAATATTGAGTTGAATTTTTACATATTGAAAAACTGGATCATAAAATTATCCAGATATATTAAATTGTCCTTCAAAGCAGAGAAGCTGTTCCTTTTAACTATCTGTCAAAGTGGCATTTTAAAAATTGAATTCATTAATATAAGTCTTTTCACATTTCTTCATTGTGAGTTTTGTCTAATTCCTTTTGTATCCAACAACTTCACTAACTCTTCTTTAATCAATATAAAACACTTCCAAATTTAGATATCTAAATTTCCATATAATTAATACTGTTATATGTATGTATAGTTTTCAAAGGGTTCCTTTTGGATTGGAGAGATTTCAACAGCAAATTTAACTATTGATTGATTTAAACTGTAATCTTCTTAAAAATCTGACTATGAGCCAGCATAAATTGTGTTCTAGTTTAATTCTTATCGATTAAACAAGCTGATTCCGTACAATATATAGGTCACGAATAGTAGAATCGAGAAAATTCCCCCTAAATTTCATAATTACAAACCTATTAAAGTTTATGTCCGTTTTCTGTTGTGAACATTAAATTAGAAAGGTTTAACCAACACATCAGCTCTTCGGATTAATCTAAGTAAAATCATAATTTAATTAATTACTATAAAGAATTTAGCTTTTTATATTATTTACTAATAACTTATCTTTCAGATTAAAGAAACATACTAATTTATGCAATTCAATGATATTATTACAAATATACCATTAATCTTATATATTCATTAAAGTTCTCAGCTAAATTTGAAAATTGAATAATCATTTTTTAGATATGGAGTTGTAATTGTAGAGTTAAAAACTTTAACAATTCTCAAGTTGAAATTATATATACGCGTATATAAAAAGAAGAAAATCAAAATTTAATACTTTTTCTATACAATAAAAAATTAGAATAAATTGAGTAATATTAGTATCTAAATTATCTTCATTTTTAAATGGAAATGCAAAGAGTAGAATTCAATACATTTAGTGTATTTATTATTACTAAATGTTGTGATATCATTATTCTTTAGAAATATTATAAAACTTAATTTATAATTAATATATCATCAATCAATATTATTTATCTAAATTTATGATAAGGATAACAATACCAAAAATAAATAGTTATTTTTAGTTATAGGTTGAAGAAGGGACTCTTGTTTCAGAAATATTAGAATTAATACAAGATTAAATAAAGTAAAGTATATGATTGACACATTAGCACTGATAAAAATATTAAGTATTGGACTTGTTATTCTTTTACTTAATAAAAAGTACTAAATCATCAAGAAATAATCTAAACTTTTTAGGATGAAGAACTTTATGTGTATTTTGAATTTAAGAATAATTTCTCTGACATTTAAGAATAAAAACAAGTGACTTCAAATTCAGTCTTATCGACTGATAGACATAGTCTTAGATAATCAATAGATAGACAAGCCTCACAATAATCATTTAATATTGACATGAAAATAATTGTTCTAGATGGCTTAAAACAAGAAATTGAAATGGATGGTGAAACATCCGTCAAGGAATTATTTGAATTTTTAGCCAAAGAAAATAACATGTAATAATATTCTAACTGAATTAGTGATCAAAAAAAGATATTTAATTGGTCTTGCTTCTCAGAGACAAGAAATAAATAATTGAACCTTGAAGAAAAAATTGGATTCACTAAAGATGAAATATTTCAAATTAAAACTAATAAACTCTAACATACTCAATCGTCCAAAGATATCAATTCATAAAAAGCAATTATTTTTGATAAAACTCTAGAAAATATATCTTTATTTGAGATTCAATTAAATAAGCAATTCTCAAAAACTATTACTCTCATTATTTTAGTTCATGACAATAGCTGTATCCGAAAATTAACGGCTATGTTTGATATATTAGAAAAAATAGAGAAAATTGCAGAAGAGGTCCTGAGATTTTGCTCTCTTACATAGTTATTTATATAATTATTTTAGCCAATATGTTTCTGTTGATATTTTTATAAACGATAAGCAATTCAACAACCCAGACAAAAGAAGTTAGACAATTTAAGAAGCCAATCTAAATCGAGACTCAAAGATAATTGCTAAAATTAGATGGATTGATTGAAACTTTAACTTTATAAAAGTCTTTATAGATTTAAAATTGATCAATTTAATAAATTTGTGACTAGATTATATTTCTCAATATATTTGTAAAATATGAGCTCATATTTCTATTAATGTTTAAGATATTAATATATATATAAATTTTATGTCAAGGAATCTTACTATCGAAATATTGCCATCGAAGTAACAATTGAATATTGAAATGGACCCTGATACATAAATTCAAGAATTGTTCGAATACATTTAGAATTAATTTTCGTATAGAGCTTCTTTATTTCTTAGTATGAAAACCGATATAAAAAATTGGACATGTTATTCTGAACTATAACGCATATTCTTAAACCCTACCAGTAGTATTGGAACTACCTCAAATGATAAACTTACTATTAATACCTCGGCCAATGCATATTTGCAATAGAATACTCCAGATAGTGATCTTATCAACACCTCAAATAGAATTCCTATTGCTACAAATTATTAATAAGGCCCTTCTTAAGGCCAACCATAATAATAACAAGGCAAAATACAGAATCAACCTTCAAATTAATAATAAACTATCCCCAATCAATAATATCCTTAAAATTAGAATTAAACTTATACAAATAATATTAATTACTCATAATAATAACATTCTGGTTAAGTCTAACCTTAATTAGTGACTATTCACTTTTCAATAGTCGATGGGAACATTAAGAGGGAATTCAAAACTACCTTTAAGTCAGATGATATACTTGAAGATTTAGCTGATGCTGTGCTTGCCTATTTGGGAGCATCAAAGTATTCGATTATATAAAAATAAGATAATGGGCAGCTTGTGATTTATATATATCTGGTCAAAGTTACAATACTGGGCCAAAGAGAGAAAAGACACTTACACAATTATCTATTAAATCAAATGCGACTATAGAAGCCCGTTTAAGATGGATTGGAGGAACCGAATATTGAAAAAATTCAAAGTATTATATACATTTTTCATTAATTACAATTATATCTTAAAATGGAATATATGATTTTTTGTCACAGATGTTATTTGAATTATTAAAATAAATAATAAACATGCAAAAAGAATCATTTAAAAAGCAATACTCTAAGGAACAAAGACTCAAGGAGAGCGAGAATATTCTCAAACATTATCAAGATAGAGTCCCTATCATCATCGAAAAGGATAAAAATTCTCGGTTACCTGATTTAGATGTTTAGAAGTCATAATTTTCACTAATTTAGATATCTCTTCCTTTCAAATTTTAGAGTATTTCAATTAAATACTTTAATTCGTAGCAAATTAAACTTAAACAAAGCTGAAGCAGTTTATTTATTTGTGAATAGTAAAGTTGCTTTAAGAGGAGGTACAATTAAATGTTATTAGATATGAGTATAAAAGAAGTTTATGATAAGTACTAAGATGATGACAAATTCCTTTACATTTAATATTGCGAATACAATACATTTGGGGTGTGAATTGAGATTTTACATTTGTGCAATATATATTGATTTTTAATTTCCGAATTGCTATTTTATAATTGCATATGTTTGAATGAGAATAAATATTGCCTTTAAGATTTTAGATTATTATTTTTATCTTCCATTCATTAATACCAAAAAAGAATTTAGTTAACAATTTTAGATAAAGTGGATAATTAGAGATTAATAATTTATTGCAGTTTATATTATATTCATTAATTAATGGACCAGAAACAGAGGAAAAAGTCTTAGGAAGAGATTTTACAAATACCACAAAGGAAAACGCAACGCGTAGCTGGAATTCAGTAATCCTTGGGTGCAAATCAGATTTATGAGACTTATGTCGAATGTCATAAATAGCAACAAAGATCAGATATTGTTTTTATTGTTATGTGTTTGAAACTCCATTTTGTATTCAGTTTTTTGAACGACGCTTAATTGTATTAGAATTTATTAAATGAAGGAATCATTTAGCCAGTTAGATGTTTTATTGCAAATTATCAAAAGGACAATCTATCATCAAATAAGGAGATGGTGCCAATGCATTCTTCATATTAGGTAATAAATAGTATTTGAAATATAGAAAAGGGTAAAATATAAGTAACAATAAATGGGGATGCTAAGAAGTAATTGATATCAGGAAATGGTTTGGGCGAGCTAGCTTTATTATATGATGCACCCAGGTAATTAATTATTTCGATCAATAGGAGTGCCACTTGCACTGCTCTTGAGGAATGCTATTTATGGGGAATTGATAGAACAACTTTTCGTAAGACAGTTGAACAGATTATGAAAAGTGAATATGAGAGAAATAGAAAATATTTGGAAAATGCAACGTTTTTTAGTAATTTTAATAAATAATACAAAGATCATTTGACTAAAGAATAGAAGGATGCTATTGGAGGTGTACTGATTTCTTAGAAGTTCTAGATAAATTAAATTATAGTAAATAAGGGCGATTAGGCTGATTCACTTTTTATCATAGCTGAGGTAAGGATTTTGATACAAATAAGGGCAAAGTCGGCGTGTATACAGACGATGGGCTATTAATTAGAATGTTATCAAAAGGGGAATATTTCGGAGAAAATGCTTTATTGCAGGATAATTGTGTAAGGGGATTAACAGTAAAAGCAATAGAGGAATCAAGACTTTTGGCTTTGGCCAGAGAAACATTAACTAAAATATTGGGTGATGGAGTGCAGATGATAATTTATAAGAATTAATGCAAATGGATACTGTAGTAGTCGAAAATTAATTTAATAATTTAAATAGATTAATTTTTGGATTTATTAACAGTTAGAAGGTTAAAAAAAGGAGATATTATAATCAACAAAGGTTAATAACATGGAGAATTGATAATTGTGATAGATGGAAAAGTCAGTGATGTAATGATATGAATAGATCAATAGTCTAATTAAAATACGGTTTGCGAGAAGGGCAGAATATTATTGGATAAAACTGTAGAGTCAAATGGAAATCATGATTAAGATTATTTAATGTAGGAAGATGGTATAATAGCAGCCATTGATTATAACATTGTTAAAAAGCAATTTGGTGAATAAGTAAAAATAAATTATAAAAAATAGTAATAAATTTTAGAAATTTATGCATAGGAAGCTCATAATAAAGTGAATAAAGTAAAGGATTATTAATTAGAGGATTTGAGTTACTTAAAAACATTAGGATGTGGATAATTTGGAATGGTGTATTTGTGTTAATTTAAGAATGAAATACCATTATTTGCATTAAAAATAATGACAAGAGCTAATATCAAGTAGTTTGGAATAGCAAAACATGTTGCAAATGAGAGAAGAGTGCAATCTATTTTGGATCACCCTTTCATTATGCATTTCTATAGATCGTTCAAAGATGAAAACAACATTTACTTGCTGAATGAATATATTCCTGGAATTGAATTATTTGATGCTATTAGAGACATAGGTTTATTAAATAAAAACGATTCATAGTTTTATATTTCATAGATGATATTGCAAACAGAATATTTACATACAGTTCATTAAGTTATGTATAGAGATTACAAACCTGAAAATCTGATTGTTGATGATACAGGTTATTTGAAATTAATTGACTTTGGAACTGCTAAATTAAATCAACCAGGATAGAAAACATTCACTATAATTGGAACTCCACATTATATGGCACCAGAAGTTATTAGTGGAAAAGGGTATAATTAGATGGTTGATTTATGGAGTGTGGGAATTATACTCTATGAATTCGTTTGTGGAGGATTGCCTTTTGGAGAAGATGCAGAAGATCCTTTTGAGATTTATAAGGAAATTACCAAGAAGCCTTTATCCTATCCTTCCTATATGTCCGATAAGACTGTCAAGATTTTCATTGAATAATTACTCAGTCGAATACCAGAACTTCGTTTGGGAGGATCATATTAGACTTTGAAGTAACATGCATGGTTTAAGGATTTTCAATGGGATGTATTGATTGCTAAGAAACTCAAACCAGCTTATAAACCAGCAACTAATAAGATAGTAACGAATGGATAAGCTTAAGTGATGAAAAAGATACCAATATTAGAATAAATGCTTAAAGATGTGTAATACTTCAAAAAAACATAACCCAATCCCAAAGATAGTGAATGGGATTATGAATTTTGAATAGCTCATATTATCAATTTGTTTTTCAGATGAACTCCAGATGGTGATATCCTATTTGGTCTAACTCCATATACATCATCGTCATCTACATATTTTCTTCTATGAATTCTCTTCATCGATGGATTTTCATGATAGGTTATGCTTTTAGCAGTTCTTTTCTTTGATTTGATAAATTGAAAATCATTTTCAGCCTAAGAGACACTAATGTTTTATTTTTTTGCAAATTCTAAAATTAAATCATATTCTCCCTTTTACAATCCATAAACATTAGTATAAATTTGATTAGATTATTTTATGTTTTCGATATATTTGTTTAATGAGTGTGATCTATCTAACATTAANAAGCTCATAATAAAGTGAATAAAGTAAAGGATTATTAATTAGAGGATTTGAGTTACTTAAAAACATTAGGATGTGGATAATTTGGAATGGTGTATTTGTGTTAATTTAAGAATGAAATACCATTATTTGCATTAAAAATAATGACAAGAGCTAATATCAAGTAGTTTGGAATAGCAAAACATGTTGCAAATGAGAGAAGAGTGCAATCTATTTTGGATCACCCTTTCATTATGCATTTCTATAGATCGTTCAAAGATGAAAACAACATTTACTTGCTGAATGAATATATTCCTGGAATTGAATTATTTGATGCTATTAGAGACATAGGTTTATTAAATAAAAACGATTCATAGTTTTATATTTCATAGATGATATTGCAAACAGAATATTTACATACAGTTCATTAAGTTATGTATAGAGATTACAAACCTGAAAATCTGATTGTTGATGATACAGGTTATTTGAAATTAATTGACTTTGGAACTGCTAAATTAAATCAACCAGGATAGAAAACATTCACTATAATTGGAACTCCACATTATATGGCACCAGAAGTTATTAGTGGAAAAGGGTATAATTAGATGGTTGATTTATGGAGTGTGGGAATTATACTCTATGAATTCGTTTGTGGAGGATTGCCTTTTGGAGAAGATGCAGAAGATCCTTTTGAGATTTATAAGGAAATTACCAAGAAGCCTTTATCCTATCCTTCCTATATGTCCGATAAGACTGTCAAGATTTTCATTGAATAATTACTCAGTCGAATACCAGAACTTCGTTTGGGAGGATCATATTAGACTTTGAAGTAACATGCATGGTTTAAGGATTTTCAATGGGATGTATTGATTGCTAAGAAACTCAAACCAGCTTATAAACCAGCAACTAATAAGATAGTAACGAATGGATAAGCTTAAGTGATGAAAAAGATACCAATATTAGAATAAATGCTTAAAGATGTGTAATACTTCAAAAAAACATAACCCAATCCCAAAGATAGTGAATGGGATTATGAATTTTGAATAGCTCATATTATCAATTTGTTTTTCAGATGAACTCCAGATGGTGATATCCTATTTGGTCTAACTCCATATACATCATCGTCATCTACATATTTTCTTCTATGAATTCTCTTCATCGATGGATTTTCATGATAGGTTATGCTTTTAGCAGTTCTTTTCTTTGATTTGATAAATTGAAAATCATTTTCAGCCTAAGAGACACTAATGTTTTATTTTTTTGCAAATTCTAAAATTAAATCATATTCTCCCTTTTACAATCCATAAACATTAGTATAAATTTGATTAGATTATTTTATGTTTTCGATATATTTGTTTAATGAGTGTGATCTATCTAACATTAATTTTTCATTCACTTTTTCATGCTCTGAATTAACTCTTCTTTTGTTGTTTACTTTATCTAAAAATAAGGCTAATTAGTATTACTTTTTGTTTATTCAATTTCTTATATTGCCTCTTTATCAAGAGGATACTCTTTGAATTCAGGACATTAAGGCCGTTCTGCTCTCATCCTCCTCATTGCTTAAACAGAATGCCATTTGGCTGATGCCAATGCTGATGCTGATAAACCACTATATAAAATATTAGAGACTGCATGCTTGTGATTGTGGATTTCTTAAATGCCTTCAGAGATAAACTGATCTTAGTATTATTTTAGAAAATGTTATTTCATTCGTGATAAGTTAGGTATCATTTCAGGTCTTTTTGGATTCAAGAAGCAATCATCCTAATACATCTCATGATTCTCTGATTCTAACACCTTACCAAACTATTCAGATAGAGAGAAATTCATTATTTTGCGAATATATTTTGATAAATCTTCTTAAAGTTCTTTTGACTCCTTTATTTTGACTCTCCTTGCATTTTTATGTGGAACTTTCTTATATCTGTTGTTGTTCTCACAAGTACTTGCAGATTGATTCCTTTGTAATTCTTCTTTCATTAACGATTTATAAACAGAGTTTAATAATTCAATTAATTTTGATAATATTTCAGTTCTATATCCAATATCTAATCAATCTAATTGAATGGCATCACATAATTCTTCTGATTGGTTAAAGAATTAAGAAATTGTTGATACTAATAATAATATATTCAAGTTTAGTTGTTGTGTTATAATTCAATACGAAATGTTACATCTCTTGGAGACAATTGAATCACACTCTTTTAATTGTCCTAGCTATAATTAAGAAAGGTATCACAGAATAGCTTTGGCGATTACACTGGCTAGATAGTTTAGTTGGGTGAATTCTCAATTTTACCCTTCTTCTAGATAGGATAATAAATACATACATGTGTTTGGAATTTAATAAAAGAAGTTAATTCTGCTATGATGATCTACTACTGTCGAGGATACTTGAAGTTCTCAATGATGTAACAATCTTGTGATTTGCTCTATGTAAAATCTAATAATTTCTGTTTAAAGACATTAAAACTATCTTAAAAGAAAGCCAACTAATTTTTTTTCCTATTACTAAAAAAGAAATGATCGTAATGAATAGTGAATTTTGATATCATTTATGTTTTGATGATATTTTAGATATTTTTTAATGGTCTAAAAAATATTGGGATTATAATTATTGAGAGAAGCAATAGAACAAAAGCCACGATAATGCAGTAATAGAGAAATTTTGTTATTTAAGACATTATTTAATCCTGCAATTCTTTGGCTCTGGTTACGTCTCTAGTAATGTGAGCCAAACTCTAAAATCTATTATATTAATAACGATACTTTACACAAGCAGATAGAATTGACTTTGTATGTTTATCACAATAATAATCAGATCTTACTTAAAGAATGTATTATATCTGCAAAATTATTTGACATCTTTTTCACTACATTCAATAGTGCCTTAGCCTTATTTATTGGCCTCATTCACAATTTGGTTCCAATCATTCTCATCAAATCCAGTTGTTCCAATTTCATATATGTATTTCTTTTCTTTTGATAAATCAATGTCTTATTGAATCTACAAATTCGACAATAGCATTCTGCCTTTGAGATCAACTAAAATAATATTCAAATCTTCATATAACAAAAGCTCCTTGTAATGTTCCAAAGTTTGATCAATTCCAAATATCCCACTGAAATTCTACTCTTGATCAGTCATCCCTTTAGTTAAAGTGAATTCATATTTTTAAGTTTCAAAATCTTAATAAATGCTAGAAATCACGATAATATCATTCTATTTTGTTTGTTATACTTTCTAAATTTATTCCTGATACCATGGTCGTTGTGACGGTAGGTAAATGTCTGGAACTATCTTTGGTGGAAGAATAGCAAAGTATTCCTCATCAGAAATGAAGGTAAAAAACATTGTTTTCTGAAATTGTGATATTGAAATAGGTAGAAATATGGAATTCAATAATGCTTGATATCCTACTATATGATTTATTTATGATTGATTTGATGTGATTATATTAGTCTTTGTGAATTTATAACAAAATAAAGGCATCTTTGAATAAAAATCAAAGTTTTCTTCAACCTATAAACACTAAAGCAATTTGTTAATTGATGTTTGTTGGTCCTTCAAAAACATTGAATTCAATTTGTTAAAGCTTTCAAGAAATTTGAATCCTTATTCTAAAGGGTAATGAGCTTAATATTTGATAAACTGAGATTAAATATTTATCTGTTTTAAATTGGTTTGTATTTCTATTTCCTTGGTTATCTTTTAGATCATATTATCCATCATACTTTTGTTAATCATCTGAGATGTTATTATGATGAGAAAAACTAAAACAAAAATGAAGGACTGTAATATAAAAGTTTGTGTTTACATCTTCATGTTTCTGATGCATTTGAAATGATGGATAAAACTATTAAATCTTGTAAGTTTATGCATAAATTTTTTTAATTATCATTATATAAGAATACTTTCTAAATTTAATTAGGATGTTAATTACACTCTAAAATAATACTTGATATAAATTTTAATCTATTTTTGTACTTTATTTAAATATCTTATATGAATATAAATAAGATGTCCAAATTTTTGTATTTAATCATTCAGGATTTATTAAATAATTAGCAAATAAAATACGAAATTTTGCTTAAGATCATATAATCATAACAATCTCTATGTATTTATTGGCTCATTAATTAACTGTATATTTTCATCAATTTCACTTTATATGGTCTAACTACTAGATATGTAAGAAAATAATTATTAACGCAATTCCTGGAATATTGTGGACTATTATACCTATGCTTTCTCATTTTAATCTTGATATCCTAACAAATTTCTATTTTCATTCACATTTACAAACTTAATTTAATTTTTTATTTGATAATACTCAACTGTTAATTGACTTTTAGGGTATTTGAAGTTTTCTATTAGATAACAATTTTCACACTTCCTACTGTTTATATCATTAATTTTAGATTTCAAATTCTTCAATGCTAAACCAAAATAAGAACTCCTTTAAAATAAACTTTAAATTTTCATCAATGAATTATAACTTGAAAACTTGGAGTATAATTAACTAAGAAATGCTAATCTAAATTCTTTGATTGGACGGAAAAAAAAATATAATCCAATCCAGCTAACAACCAAGAAAATGAATGAAGCTATCACTAAATATATTAAATAAGTCTGAAAAGAATGAATAATTTCATTCTTCCTTTAATTCGACTCGTGTATATTTTATTGTTATATGGTGACATTTTGAAATCTATTATTGTATATATTAAAACATACATAACTAAATAAAAGTCTGAATTTAGATTTAAGACATGCAAAATTATATCTTCATTGAAAATTGAATTATATCTACATAAATGATGAATTTGAAAAGAACAATTATTTAAATATGGTTAATTCTTAGCTTGAAATTAGATTTAATCCCAATCAACTTAGCTAAATCCTGTTAGATTTTATTGATAGATATATGCTAAACTCTCATTTAATTTTAATTTAAATGTTTCAATATAATTTGTATGAATGATCTATCCTAGTTTGTTTAATATAAAATAGCCAAATGATTTAAAATTTAATTGATTTTAGATTTCCCTAAACCCTAAATCATAACCCATGACTCCATCAATCCTTTGCTCATCTTAACAACCTTAGCAACTTGACAACAAAGAGTAAGTTATTGTAAATCCATATTCATTAGATCCAAATGATTAATATAGGTTTGAAACTTACACCAATTAGCTTGATTCCTTAGATTTGTCCATATGATGTTGATACCAAGGTCTATCATGCGGATTGAAAGTTGGAATATTAAAGAAAGGAGGACAAGAAGCAAAAAACTAACTTGAATCTGTACTACTCATATACAAATCATTAATTGGGGACCATGTTAATGGTATAAGTAACTAATTTAGTTAATTGATAAAAAGGTTGAATCTATGTCTTTCTATCTCTTGTTGCGTTTACTAATTACTTACACAGAATTCAGGTAATTCAAATAAGGTATCAAATTATTCTTATGGAATTCCTAAAAAAATTGGGCATTCCAAAGGATTTTAGTTTAATATCATAGATGTTTTCTAATCTTAATAGATTATGCCAAAAGTTTTCATCATCTGAAATCGCTTGGCAATTGGCCAATTTATTTGGTTTTTGAGCATTTCTGTTTATATTTCATATTCCTAAAAGTTGTATTTAAATAATAATTTGTCTGAAATTTCTTAGATAAGAGCATCCATCATTACTCGATTTACAGTAAGAACAATCAAGCATAAAGTGATGACAATACAAACTATAAGTAATTGTAACAATGATGTTGCTCTCTTTAATGTCAAACATTTGATACAACTAAGTAACTTATACAGCATTTTGATATTTATATAGATTAATTTATTTATTCTTCAATTACATGTTTCTATTTTTGTTGATCCAATAGATTCCAAGTTAATCTCATTTAAAACTTCTTAGTCGAAATAATAGAAAGCAATAACAGAAAAATTGACAATTTGAAAAAATGAAATATATCACTTATTGAAATTGACTTAGGAACTAGTTCTTAAATTGTAATATATTATTCAACAAATTAAAACTAAAGAATTGAAGATATGATTTCATATGATATACATGAATAGGTGCATTAAAATTCTATGTATAAAATAATTAAACATGTGATTTACAATAAAAAGGGATAATCTATGCATTTCAAAAATTCTGTTATATCAAAATATAATATGACCAAACATGAAGTAATCGACAAAGAAGAATAAAATTTGTATATATTTCACTCTTTTTCTTTTTTAGTTAATTCATTAATCTCTTCTGATTTCCAAAGAACAAGATTGTCGCGTAATAACTACATTATCAAGGTCACATCTTTATAATTATCTTCTGATAATTGATCCAATTCTGAAAGTGCCCCATCAAATGCCTCTAAATGATAAAAAATTTACTTTTTGGGCAATTTTACAAGCACTAACTTTATCATTAAAAATTTCATATGTATATACTGCTTAGCTTAGTGCTAGTCCTAAATATGTTGGATCAGTTTTTGAGATCTCTTTTTCAAAGATTTCTTCAACTTGTTTCTGTGATTTTGAATATTCATCCAACATAAACTATTTTTTATCATTTGATGTAAATTCTGAAAGATGTCTAAAAGCATCGCTTTTCAATTTATAAAAAAAAATCCTATCAGCAGGTTTGTATTGTTTCTTAATTAAATTACAATCAATGACACTAATCAAATCTTCACAATATAAAATTATTTCATTCTCTATGTTTTATTTATAATTTGCAGTCAATTTACTTTAACTTTAGTGATCATTAAGCTACTTCATTTAAATTAAATTCTTACATCTTATAATTAATTAATATCTATGTTATTTATGATTCTCCACGCAGTTCTTAATTTTCCTACACAATTTTTAAATGATATTGAAAGCAAATTTCGTTCTTCTGATGATAGCTCTTGTTCCATTAGAGCTACTTATCTTATAGAGTTAAGCATATCTTCAAATCTCTCTGCTTATTCACAGATTTTGGTCATATATACTAAATCTTCTCTTAAAATCATAATTTGTGAAAAATCAATAATAATAATATTAAAATAGATCATTTAAAAGGACATATTACAACAAGAATTTTAATGTAATGATTTTAAGAGTGGATTGAGTTTAATGTCTAAATATGTCATTCTAACCATCTCATAAATTTTGACTATTTTATTTTAAAGATCGATAAGCAGAAAGATTTAAGTATATAGTCAACACCATAAAAATATTTGACAGACTCTAAAAGCATAATTATGTATTTTTATAATAGAGAAAAGAAGGCAATGTAAAAAGGAGATATTATTAGATTATTTTAAGGAGGCATGATTCATAATTTATAGCAAATATTTTATTAAAAAGGTATTTTAAATAAGACTAAAGACTTTTTAAATTAAATTTAATCTAAAATCATATATCCAAATTACAGAATAAATTGAAATATATTTCTATATTTATTAGTATATGTATATCTAATTAAGTATAATATGGATTAATTATAAATTGACCAGAAGAGGACTGCAACTATAGATTTTGAATAAAATAATTAATAAATAAGAGCATATATATGTAAACTTGAGAAGACAAAAATGGTGTTAGATTTCAATGTTTTTTTATATAAAATTGGATGAACAGCAAAAGAGTTTTGTAAAATGCTTAAAAACACTTGTTTATAAAGGAATAAATTGTTCGAGAAGTGAATTCAAAAGAGAACATACAAATTAAATTGTATTAATTTAAATAGAACAAATATAGATATCTAATCGAAGATATGTAGAATGGATACCTTATTTTTATGAAAAATGTAAATAATAGTAGTAGAATTATAAAAGATTGAAGTGATTAAGATAGCAAATTGATGAACAAGTTAATGTATATTATTTGAATAAATCAGAGATTAATATGATTCAAATAATAATTAATGTTATCTAAAATATTGTTACTATTCTTAGTGATTTTGATTAGTTGCGATACTGTATTAGATAAAGCATGCACTTGTAGTCAAATTTAGAATGAAACTGATTGCAAAAGAATACAATGCAAATATGAGAATGGTTAATGCAAGGACAGAGAGCAGGAAACCTATTGTAAATTGGTTAGCACTATAGCATAATGTCCTGTTAGTGGATGTGCTTTGTATGAAAATGTTTGCTAAGCATTTGCTGGGTGTACTGCTTATTTGGGTAAAACATTTGATGCTTGTAATAAAATATCGGAGCTGTGCACATCAGATGGTGAAAGATGCGTCCCATTGTCTACTTGTGATACATACCTCACAAAGACATCATGTTACATAGATAATACTAATTAATATTGTTTTTACGATGAGAGTGATGCTGCAAATCCTAAATGTAAGACAGTTGCTGCTTGCAAAAATTTACCAATTACTTTAAAAACAAATCAAGCATGCCGATCAAGTATTTCTACATGCACTGTAAATGAAACAAATTCAGGATGCATTGATTCAGGTAAGAACTGCAGTGATCAAAAATTAAAATCATAGTGTGTAACTAATTTAGATCAAACTATGGAATGCAAATGGAATGAAACAAGTAGCACTTGTTATGATTACACTTGTGTAAATGGGAATGGTAAAACAGTTGAGGATTGCCAGAAATACAAAGGAACTTGTGTATTAGCAGAGACATAGGATGGCACATCTAGTACATGTAAAGATATTGATGAATGCGTCAATTATAAATTTAAGGACACGTGTAAAATAGGAGTTCAAGGAAATTGTCTATGGCTTGTAACTTAAGTGGATGGCAAAGATGTTGGAAGGTGTGTTGATTATAATTGTTCTTAAGCCTCTGATGATTACACCAATGATCAATTATGTTTAAAATTCTTAGCCAGCTGCACAATTGATGATGATGGTCTTGGATGCAAAATGAGAGAAGCAGAATGTTCATCTTATTAACAAGTCTCTTAATGTGTTTCAACAATAGATGGATCCTAATGTTATTGGAATAAGACTAAATAAGTCTGTGTTAGTTATGATTGTGATAATGCATAAGTTGATACCTATACTTCTGAAAATTGTAATAAATTTTTAAGTATTTGCACTGCTAACATTGGATAAACTCAATGCGTTAAAAAGTAATGTACAGATGCATTAACTTCACAATTATGTACTAAATTAGGATCATGTATTTGGTAAGACAACAAATGTGTATCATATACTTGTGCTAATGCCCCAACAACTTTGACTACTGATGATGCCTGTAGCAAATTTTTAGATAAATGCTATACAACTGGAGCAGGTTGTTCATTAAATGGAACTTGTACTGATATGAAAACAGAATCTGCTTGTAAAACAGATTCATAAAATCAAAAATGCATTTGGTTAAGTTCTGCATGCAAAGTCAAGGCTTGTTCCGATCTTGTCTATTATAGTCATTCAGAATGCAACGACTAATTAGATACGTGTACTTCTGATGGGACAAAATGCATTAGTTAAGCAGCCAAATGTACTGACTATAAGCTTTCACTAAGTTGTGTTATTTCAAAAGAGGGACCTTGTTTATGGATTGATAGTTAATGTTTCCTATTTTTGGATTGCACTAGTTTAGCTGGCACAACTCATTAGTTTTGTAATTTAGCAAATAGCAATTGTACAACTGATGGTACGAAATGTGTACCAATTACAAGTTGTGCAAAAACCCTATAAACTGGATGTTATATTGGTACAGATGGCGATTGTGTAAGAAATCTTGATAAAAACAATAATACAATATGTGAAAAGTTTACAAAATGTACTTAGATGAATTTTACTACTCATTTTTAATGTATTCGTGAAAAAAAGACATGCACAGTAAATTCAGATAAAAAAACATGCATGGACTTATCAAGTGCATGTTCCAATTATACTATACAAGATAACTGTTAAATTACAACAGATAATAAGTATTGTTAATGGGATACAACTACATTGAAATGCAGAGATTAAAAATGCACTGATATAATAAAGACTACTCATGCAGACTGTTAATTAGCTAATTCTAAATGTACAACTGACACTAGCAAATGCATTGATATCTAAAAATGTGATGGTTACACTATTAGTGATTTATGTAAATATGGATCAGATGGTGTTTGTATTTATGACACAGTGAATAGTAAATGCAGATTAAAAGTATGCAGTGATATCACAGATGTCAAACAATGTACAACCTTAGCCAATTGTTTAGCAGATACATCTAGTTGTGTGGCTAAATCTACATGTGCAGCATATAAGACGGAGAATAGTTGTGGATTCGATGGAACTGATGGAGTTTGCACATGGAATAGCAATGCTTGTTCTGTGATGACAAAATGTGAAGATGCCAATTCTTTTGAGAAAGGATGCAAGAAGAAGTCAGATATTTGCAAATGGACTCCTAAACCTAGCAATGGTGGTTCAAGTTCATGCAAACCTTACACTTGTCAAAGCAAGAATTCAGGTAGTACTTGTCTCCCTTTGGTTGCCTTTAGTTAAACTGAATATTAGGTTTGTGCAGAAATACAGTTGACTTGTCAATCAGCTAACATTTCAGATCTAACTGAAGACACTTGTTTTATCAATAGTGCCAAAAGTTATTATTGGGACAAGACCACGAATAAATGTTTAGCTTGCAATGGGACTACAGTGACCAATACTACAGTTATTGACAGTAGTTATTCTTGGATGGTAGGTACAATATATCTATTAATTGCTTTCGTTATATTTTGACAAATTATTAGACATAATATATTTTTAATTTTAAAATAATTAACGATTTTGAAATGGGAGCATGTTCTTCTAGTAAACCAATTTCCAAATAATCAAATTAAGCCAGTAATCGACAAATGTAAGAGGATCCTGCTGTAGTTAATAATAATGTAGATGAACCAATATAGGTTGTGATTCAAAATTCAAAATAAGAAGAAGATTTAAATCAAGACAATCAAGATTAAGATAATCAATATCAAGACAATCCATAATCAGATATAGATCATTTAGAGATCAACGAGGAAGACAATCACAAATTCATAGATGAAGAATTATTACTAGATAACACTGATGATACTATTCAAAAGCCTGCAGACACTGCCAATTTCATTAACACTGGATAGACTCTCATGTAACATAGAAACCAAAGTGATGTCAAGGTCTTGCAAAAGTAAAGAATATTTTAGGTTGGCAAAGAAAACATGTTATTGTCTTGATATACAAATTTTTTACTTTAATTTATGGATAATTTAATTATTTATGTAATAATAAACAATCTAAGATATCGAAACATAAGCCAATTAGTTATTGGAGAGCGTTTATTAGAGAAAATCCGAATCGATTACCTCTTACAGTAAACTCAAAAGACAAGAAGAAGTAATAATAAATAATCCCTTATTTAAATAAGGCATTAGATTTAGGATTTGCATCTGTAGGGTTTCCAGATGAAAGCATGGATTGTGAAGCTGTCTATGAAGTAAGACATTTTATCAACTTAGATTCTGCAACCTGGATTTATCTTCGAAGTAATCGTAAGTAAAAAAAACACAGTCAAAGGAAAGCTAGATGTAATTTTACAAAAATTTCTTGCCTTCAGTGATAAATGTCTCACATCCCAACATCAAGTGAGATAAGCTGATTTCTAATAATTCAAAAAATAAAAGCATTTGCTCTCACAATTAAGTCAAATAAATGTCATGAGAATGAAGGGAGTCATTTATGAATAAGATGTGGTAATGCATTTACATTTAATCTAAGATCGAGGACTTCTCCATTTTCACCTATTATATAAACTTTGAGAAAATTCAAGTGGGAGATCATTTGAACGCTGTTCTCATTGATAAAACAAAAATGACAATGTCTTTAAAAAACAAAAGCATCATGGGAGGCAAATAATGGAGTTTAAAAAGTCTACAAAACCCCTCACATTTTGATAATTGGCTATATTTTAGACTAGGCTATGCTAAATAAATTGGAGTCAATTTCCAATATTAGATTATGAATGAGGAAGAGAGGCAGAAGGCTCAGGAATCAATCTATGCCAATCTCAAATTCAAAGAAGAAACTGGAATCTTGAAAATGGATTATCAGATCGAACAGGATGGATTCTTTCCTAATAAACAGAATTTTCCATTCATGATGCAATCCCTAGGGCTATCTCAGAATACATCATTCACAAATAGAAACAATTTAAAAACATTCATGAAGATCAATTTAGATCATAGAAGGCGTTTATATTAAATTATTTATTTTTTCTAGACTTTCAAGTTTGTCTGTCTAACCAGATATCCAATAGATCTATGTACGCAAACAGAAGAGTCAAAGCAATAATTGAAAATAATAAAATAAGAGAAATATTATTAATATTCATAAATTCTTAGTCTATTCATTTTATTCAATTGTATTTAAATAAATATATTTTTAATTAATTTATTATGCTTCCTAAGTTTTAAAACTCGTTTGCACTAGACAAGAATCTACAAACCCTAATTGAATCATTCAATCAATCCCAAAAAAACCCAGGAGCTATTCCCAGAAATCGAATACAAGGTAATTATCCTTACCTTCCTGGCGGTATTAGATCTGCAACTGGACCTTAAACATTAAGTAAATTAATTTATAACCCATCAAGACATCCTTCAAGAGAAAGTACAATTCACATTGCAATCTAACCCTGCTGTCAAGTAATTCTGCAATTAGTAATTTATCTAGTACAATCTTCTTAAACGATCAATAAGACATCATATTAAAATTCTAACTTGGAATTAGAATTTTACAAATCGTCACTCTTGATAAACCAGTAAGAGATTAAAAAGAAGAGGAGTAAAATATTAATCACTTTTTACCATAAACATATCCCTATCAACCAGTGTCCAGACTAAAAATTGAATTCAAATTGGAAGAGACAGATGAAATTGAAGTCAATGGAAATGATAATATGGTAACCATCTTCACCAAAGCCTCAATCAAATAACAAAAGAATGACTAAAATAAAAAGTAGATCTAATGTCTACATTAAGAGATTGCAAGTAAATCAAATCATTGATCAATAGGTAAAAATGAAACCCAAACCCAAACTGTTTAAATTGTAATGAAATTCTAAAGAGAATGGTATTTGAAATCTGGAAATAACTTCCTTGCTGCCAAAAAAATTCTCTAAGATTATTTCAAATCTCTATAAATTCCAAAAACCAAATTCACAGCTTTTGATAATTAAGCACCACCACAAGAATAGTAAGCCCAACCAGAAATAGCTAAAAAATAGCCTATTAAACCAGAAGTTAGTAAAGAACCAGAAAAAGAATAGGAAGAAGAAGAAATACCTCCAGATGTTTCTGGAAAAGATCTTTAAAACCTATTTCCCTTAGTAAGCGAGGATTTTGTATAGAGATAGAGAGAAGCACTAGACAAAAGTAATCAATTCAATTTAAACTTAGAGAATTCCACTCCTGAAGAAAAGATTAAGCGATTATTCGAAGAAGTTCGCATTAAACAATTCAAATCGCAACCTTATAGTGCTGATAAGAACTTTTTCAAGTGTCCTTATCATAGGTGTTAGAAGGGTTATAAGAGACCTAATTAATTGAAGAATCACATGAAATAGAATCATTAAAAGTTGTCAGAAATCGGTTTCACAATTGATGATAATGGAGAATTTAAATACAATGATAAAATTTTAGATTATTGTTTACTTTTGTGGAAAGTTTATCCAAATTTTGTTAAATCTGTTATTAATGAAGTATGCATCCCTATTTATTTAGATGAGATAGAGAAAAGAATAGCCAAGTGCATGAAAAATAAAATATATCATCTATATGACCTTATCTCTTTTTTCTCCTTTTTTCTATATTATTCTTGGTATTAAGTATTCAAAATTTATTTTTTATAAATTATGTTAAGCAATCTACTAAAGAAAGCTGATTTGTTGGTTGATCCTTACGAATTTAACATTTCTCATAAATAGAAATCCTTAACTCCAATAGGTTCTAAGATAAATTAATTTATAGGCGGATTCCTGAGTATATTGCTATTAGTTTTCACATCCTTTTATATTATAGGTGTCTTTTAAAGAAGCATCTAAAATTAAACAGCCATTTATGCAGGTTCTCAAAGTGATCAAAATGCTGAATTTGTTTTAAGTAATGATAACACAATATTTTCACTTGAAATTTCAACATTAAATGGGACAATTTTGAATAATAATACAGATGTTAAGGAGTACTATAAAATTATATCCATTAATTTAGTTATTTCACATTAAATGCTTAATATATATAGTAATAAAGAGTGGAAGGAAAGATAGGATTTACTAGAAATTACAGTCAATTAAATTAAACAAAATGTTCCGAAGAATCCATCTCAAAATTCAATTTCAACTCTGCCTCTATGACTGAAGAATAGTAAAAGAACTTAATTTGTTTTAATGGCGATTTCACTCTATAAGGCTAATTCTATGAGCCTTATTTTGCTTACATAAAATTGACAGTGAGTGTCTGTAATAATCACACAAGCAATTCATGCAAATCAGCTAAGGAAATTGAAGATTTTATAAACAAAGGGTAATAATTGAATAATCAGTAGAGTCAATGTGGATATGTTCATTAGAGGATCTAAGATTAAACAATCTCTTAATTACACAAATCCGGCGGATATCTTTTCTACAAACATATTTTGGAGATTAACTACAGGCATTGGAGATAATGAAGATATTTACATGCAGCCTTTATAAATGGACTTAAGTATCTATTGAATTGTGACATAGGAAAAATTCTGTTTTTCAGTGATTTGTTTAATATTGAAGATACTGAAACACTTTACAATAGTTCTGTAGTTTAGAGATAAGAAAGAAGATAAGAACCAATAACAATAAGTTCTGGAGCATCACTGTGTACATTTTATTTAAGGTAAGAGTGAATTGCATAATTTAATTAGAGCATCTTCTGACACATCTTATTATTTTGTTAATCAATAGGATCTTCCATCAATAATCTTATCAGCTGTATCTGAAGCCACTGCTCTATGTCTAGCTGTAATGCAAACCATAAAAATAGTTTATAAGTATTACAATCAGCATAAGACATTTGAAATTTTAATGAATTCTGTTTTTAAATTTGATTTCAAAGCCGTGTAACAAAGAAAACAAACTCATATTCATTAATCATAGATTCCTAAAAGATCGAACTCTGTAGATAGCAAAAATTCGAAAATTTAATTACAACAGGTATTATCCATTAGTAATATTTAGATTTTAGATTATACGATAAATTATTCATTTCATAAATTTCTTCTTTATTAGATCAGAAGGTTGATAAAAACTATTTTTGGATAGTGCATCCGTTTATCAGATGAAAAAGAGCTAGTTATTTCTTAGATAGCTAAATCTAAGATAGAACTTGATTTAGATCTGACAAATATTCTTAAAAAACTTTATGAGATTGATTGTTTGAAGTTGTTCTTATTTGATGATGATTAATTGGTGTTGTTCAATACTTTTAGTTCTCCTGTGTTTTAAGACCATATGTCAGACCAAAAAGAACTATTTGATATTTTGAGAGCTAATGCCAAATAAGTGAGATCAATAAATCCACTCTAGTAGCCTAACGCTTAACTGAATCTCGATAACTAGAATCTATATTAATATGCTGCAACATCAACAAGTAATGTAGTTTTGTAGATGTAGTTCCGATAAATGTACGACTAGCTAAATTGGCAAGGTTTTTCAAAGCTTAATTAGGGGCTGAAAATGCAGAAGATTTGGTAGAAAACTTTTAAAAAGTAACTCAGAATAAGAACTATAATTGGCAAACAAACAAATAATTAATGCAATTTGCTATGCAGAATTAGAGTTTGTTTCGTTTGGTTCAAAAGAATTATTTTACAGAGGATGTTGGACAAAATTAAGATTAATTGAAATAATCAGAATAAAATTTTAAGTTAGAAGTACCAGATGAATTTGATGAGGCTAAGAACAACTCTGAAGCCATTGGTAGCAAAGAATCTTTTAAAGATTTAGATATTAATTAATCCCCTGATAGTTTTTAGAATAGGTTACAATGATCTTTAATATTTATATATCAGTTTTTAAGTCGAGAATAATCAAGCACTTTAATAATTCTAATTGTATATGATAATTTAATTGATAACATATATTTCAATATTATGTATAGTAAATTTAATACAAGTACAAAATTATTACATCATATATTAAATTCTTAAAATATCTTCAATAGTTTTTATTTATCAGTAGGTTTTGTAGATACATAATTAAATCCGTATTTGATACATTTTTCTAAGTCTTTTTTTCCACCATATCCAGTGATAGCTATAATTGGGATTCTCCTCTAAACTTTACATTAATCTTCGAATATTCTGATTTATTTGGCACAATCCCAACCATTCATAATAGGCATGTTGATGTCCATCAATATTGCTTTGAATCCAAGACAACAACAATTCTGTATTCTTTTCTATTTGATCTTCTCCAAAGCTTGGTATCCATTAAATGCCGTTGCGATTTCATACTTCTTATGATGTGAATTCAAATTACGAATTATGTTTGCCAAAATTTCTAAATTGAAATGTTCATCATCGACTATCAAAATATCATTGGTATTGCAAGCATCATTTGGGTAGGTTGCCTAATAAATAACAAATCAAAAATGAATACAATTTGTTTAAGTAGGCTTCTCTTGGTTGGACTCAATCTGACTATTGTTTATTCCTTATTTTCTGATTCAGGAACATCTTGATCGCTGTGATACTTTTTTATCGAATCATAATTTAAAAAAAAGTAAAACTATGATCCCCCTCCCATTATTGATTCTAAAAATAAACTATTCAACCCTTAAGGACCCATAGCCTTGATAATGTGTTGACAAACACTCAAACCTAATCCAATCCCAACAGAATCTTTGGATATTTTTGGATCATCATCTACATATAGAAACTAAATACTAAATATGAATTACTTTCTTATTGAGTATTCCCTTCAATTCTTCCTTCATTCCAATGCCACTATCAATAATTCTTATCTGCACCAACTATTGTAATTTAATCTCCCTAATCTCCTCTAATCCTGAAATGGAATCCAGCTAAAAATCCCTGCTCACTTGAATTGTTATTCCTCCTTACTATGTGAACTTAATCCCATTTGTTAGTAGGTTAATCAATACTTACTGAAATCTATTCTTATCCCCTATGGCTATAATCGTTTCAGAGGGCATTTCTACATTGAGATTTAGTTTCTTCTCCTAACATTGCACTTTGATCAAATCTACACAGAGATTGATTGCAATGTTTAAATCAAATTTCTCTACTTTCAACTCAAATTGGTCTTCTAAAATATCTCTGTAATCAAAAAAATCTTAAAGTTTTAATTACATCAAATTAATGTATTTCAATGACAATTCTAAATTCTTATTAAGTTGTTATATATTATCTATTCTCTCATACGCTTCACTAATGTAGCCATTAACTGCATTAATACTTGTTCTTAATTCATGAGACAATGATCTCATTATAGTTTTCTTGGCTTATTCTAATTTCTTTACTGTATACTATAAAAGCAAAGGACTTAATTCGTTAATACAATAAATTTAGTAATCTTGCTCTTCATTCAACACATCACTAATCTGTATCAAATTAACCATCAATCTTACCTTATGGTTAGTACTTGATTATTATCCAAATCCATCATTAACACATTTAAATTATTCTGTATGTTCAACTAAATTGTGATTGAGGGTTTCTGTATGGTTTGGAGACAATTTCAGATTATCGCAATACATAGAATTCTATATATCTTAAACCTTAGAAAATTAACCCAAATTTCTCGAACTTTATTTGCTGAGATTCATGTTATTTGAAGACTTCTTCCTTCTTTTGGTTTTAGCAGATAGAATAAAGGATTTAGGTTAATGGCTTATTTAAATTTACAAATGAATCGTTGTAACGAAGCTTTTTCTTGAGGAATTAAGCAAATAATCATTTGTATTGATATCGCTGAAAATGTCTTTAGATTTCTTTTTCAATGAAGCTGAATTTGGACACATAAAACTCACATTTTATAATGTATTTTGCGATGGTTATCTTTTAAAATCCACATTAATTATCTTATACTAGTCGTCTGTTATGCCTTCATCATTTATTTAAGGAATGAAGTCAGATATTTGGAATCCATCATTTTTTATTTCTTCTAAATTTAGATTTCTTATAAAATCAATTTGCTATTATTCTTTGCTCGAATTATTTATGGATTGGGCCAATTCATCACTTACTTGTAATGTCTAGGCTAATTTCTCAAATAATTAATTAGAATATGTTATCTATTTCGTGTTTTAATCTAAGATGCAAACTGCACTAGGCATTTGCTCAATAATAGATAGTAGCTTTAACTATTTTATGTAATTTCCAATGAAATGTGATTCCAACTAAGAGTTGTGAATAAAAGCTATTGTACATATTATGCAAACCTCAAGAGTTTCCAGTTTGTAAAAAAATATTATCGTAAAGCTAAAATATAAATAGAGCAAAATCTTTATTATTATGTTAGAATGGCTATTTACTAGTATCAAATATAGGAAAATGAAGATCTTATTTTTTTCCTCATTTTGTACTGCTACCAAGATATAAACCGTAATAAGGCAATATTATATAAGGAAGTAAATCTAGATTTTCTTACAAAAGGAGTAGATGCATATAATTAGTATCTCTGAGACTATAAAAAGTGTTAATTGTACAATATTCCTCATGTTTTCCATTTCGATAATTTCTACAATTAGGCTAATCAACACATAAAAGGCACTAAGAGCAATTGCAGTATGATAAAACATGCTTCTTTTACAAACTAAATCATTATGCTTCCATTAAGAATATTTTGAAGATTTCAATATTTTTTAATAGTGTGGCCATTGTTTTAAGATTGAGTTTTTTTAAAGCTCCTTCATAAAATTAAGTGGAATTTAATAAATTACTTAAATACATTAAGACCAACATTCTTGAATATATAACAATATCTCAATTTATTACACAATGTATGCACTTCCCATACATTAAGCTTGATTAACAGTATTGTTTTTATAAAAAACTGAAAAATCTCTAAAGATCTCATTTGTTTTTAAATCTCTCTCATAATTTATTGAAATGCTTCAATAATTTGGTTGAATTCATTAAGAACACGAATATTATAGATAGAGGTTCTTAATGAATTTTATATAAAACTAAGATATTTAAGAAATTGTTATGTATAATTAGTTAATCTCCTCTGTGTGATGTGAGTATGGAATAATAGGGCGATGATTTAAGTTATTTATAGAAGAGATCAATTATTGAAATAACAAATTATTTTTAAGATCTATTCTATATAAGATTTTATATAAGATCCAACTAGAATAATTGGATAGCCATAGAACAGATTTCTGCTTAAATAGTAAAACTGATTGTTATGAGGATAATAGGCAACGAGATTATTAAGGAATAACATAAGCTCACAATCAATTTAACAGCACTCTTAAATGAATAAATTAATAAACAACTTTTTGAAAGTTTAATTATATTTTCTGTTAGATTAGTATGGATAGGTTGCAATAGAAGACATGTTCTCTTATAGAATTGGTTTCAGATTCAATTGGCTTTGTAATTTCTGAATGAATTTCAGATACTGAGATGAAATAAAAGTATAAAAAGAAATAGAGTTTATAAACCCCGCAAAAACCTTTTTTTAATTTTTTAACGATCAATTATAAAATTATGTTCTAAACAACCAGCAGTATAAATTCTTAGCAATCTCCGAATAGATTTAAGTTCAAATCCAAAGTGAGGTATAGAGTATAAACGAGTTTAGTTTTTTTAATGACAATATGGTACCAACCACTACAACCAAGATTACAATGCAGTACAAAGAGTTATTGAGAAATATACTTTCATCATTACAGGAGAAGGCATCATTTGCTAATTTGAGTGAGTTTGATTAGTTGAAATCAAATCAAATTGCAGTTTCAATATAGAGTTGTTATAATCCAAAGTTTAAGAGCACTGGCGTAGATGAGACCAAAGAAGCATTTTAGGATCTTTTGGATGAAATAAAACAAACCATAAATAGAAAGTATGTGTTTTCTAATATTTTTTAGATTTCCATTCATCAAGGTGTTTCGTTAATAAATCAATCATCCTGATCATTATTTATAGATTCAACTATTCCAACCAGATATTCATGCAGTTGTTTTATATTCCCGTCAATTTTCAAAAGAATAAATCACACCTAAATTGATTGGAGATTTAGTATGGCTGCATCTAAAGAAATTTAATTTAACAGTTAATGTGGATTGTCCAATTAAACATGTAGTTCCAGTTTGTGAAGATGGAATTTAAAAAAGCATTTTGGAAGGACTTCAAGTAACTGTCCGTTAGAGAGAAGTACCCACAGTATAATCTGCATAAACTCCAACTAAGTAGATTGTAATCAGAACTTCAATTTGTTAACAAGCAGGAAGTGGATAGAAAAGTGCATCTAAATTAGATATCTACAAAAGCACAGAAAATATTAGAGATATGGAAAAATCAGTAAGAGTCTATTTTTCACCCACTAAATCTCAGGCATGGATGACTTAAACTAATGTTTCATAAATTGATCTTTCTGGTTCAAAACAAAAAGTGCAATCACCAGAAAAGAAATTCACTGTTAAATTATTTTCTTAGACAATCCCAATTACTTGTTTTGAAGAGGCTAAATTTATTGATTTAGTTTAGTAAACAAATTCATATGAAATAGAAATAAGTGGGAATTACATCTAAACTACCAAATCATAACTAAATGTAGATGAATTACTAGATGAGAACACTGACACTGTTTATGTGTCTACAAGAGTGGAAAGAACAGATCTTATTAAATGCATTGTCAAAGCTCCTGAAGATGCAACTGTCAATATTACTAAGAATATTACTGAAACATTAACTTATGATTCTAATGAATAAGCATTTATATTTTATGGAAGAGACAAATAAGAATATGTTATTGATGTTTCAAAAAAGGATTGCTTTTCATAAAAGAGGACGATCTTTTTGCAAGGAAATACTGATGTGAAAATTGAATTTGATTTAGTTAGTTGTGTAGAAACTACTCTTTAATTTAGAGTTTATAATATTCTATTAAGAAGTGGATAACATAAAGACATTGAAAATTGTAGATTGGAAGTATTCTAATCAGATTAAGCTGATTAAGAACCTATTATTGGAATGACAAATGAATAGGGATTGTTTAATTGTCCAGGATTGATGTTCAAGCAAGTTAGAGTCCATGCTTAACGAAAAGGATTCCTATAGGTTTCCTATGATTTCGATGTTTTAGCCAATTCAACTGGTTAAATACTTAATATTCCGATGATACCAGATTATTACAGTCTTATTAATCAATATCATATCTTAATTTATGTTCCCAACAAAAATAACTTTTAGCTTGATTACTCAATGATATGTCCAGGTATATTTAATGTTATTAATTTTAGATGGAGTTAAAATTGATTCTAAGAACAGATCACATAATGTAATGAAGTCTAAATTAGAAATTAATAGAATTAATCAATAAACTATGTTATGGAATTTCTCTGTTCATGTGTAATCCTTAGATCCCTTTTTGTCTGATAATTGTTACTAATTTTTTATTAACAACCAAAAACCTAATCGAAAATTGTTATGTTAGGAGCCATTATCACCATAATGCAAAGAAAATAATGGCAGCACTTCTAGCAAAGCTTCCTGTTTCAAGACTGTAAATCTAAATGAAATGTTCCTAAAAACAAGAGTTATGTAGACTGAAATCAAAACCTTTGTCAGACAAGAAAGTGATGTTATCGCATAGAAGATCAATAATTTCTGTGCTGAAGAATCTGTTAGAATATTTGTTACTTTTGGACATAAGGTTTTGGAAACCTTTATGATTCAAAGCAATTTACTAATGCAAAATGAAAAATGCTTTGGAGTCATTGATTGTAATTATCTATTCAATATTTTAGTGGATAAAAGACTGTTTATTAGAGATAATGATACTGCATAATAAAATATTAAGAGAAATTTATCGAAAATGCCAACTTTCAAAAAAGATATGAAAAATTCAAATGAGGATCGTACCATGACTACTATATTATCCCACATTACCAACTAAAGGTTTCAGGAATGACAATTATATTTGTATATATAATTTACTTATGATTTTAAATATATTGAATCTTTATTTATCAATCACTTGAACGTGAATGAGAGCTAGAAGAAGAACTCTTGCTCTTTCTCTTTCTCTTTTTTGATTTTTTCTTTTCACTACTCGAGGAAGAGCTTGAAGATCTATGCTTTCTGTGTTTTTTTTTCTTCTTTGAATGGCGCCTAATGTCACATGTTCTCATACCTGGAGTCAGAATAAGATCGTCTATTCAAACGACAATTTCGAGCACTAAATTTATATTTATTTCACTTACAAATGCCCCTATTTCCCACATTAATAACAGGCTCCATCTTTTTTCTTTGCTCGTGCTAGCTCCACAATCAAATTCCTTCCGTTGATCTCTTACTAATTCATCAATCTAACAGCATTTGCTGCGTCTTCAGGCTTGGTATAAGCCTGCACCCTAATGCCAACTCCCACGTCTTACGATGAAACAAAAGCGTCCTTTCCATGAAAACTCCTGAATCTCTCCATGTCTAGCGAAAGCGCTCTTTATATCCATTTCTGATTCTTTTGCTGAATATCCTGTCACATAGATCCGATTTGCCTCTTCCTTTTTATGCTAATCCGAATCTGATGACATATATTAATTATTTTAATGATAAATATTAACTCAATTCTTAAAATTAAATCCTTCCTATTAATAAAACAGAAATCTTAACTTATTATCTATCTAAGATATAAGAAACGTCCTATCTCATTCAATCTAATTTTTTAAATCATTCAGATCAACTGAATCTACATTTTATTTAATATTTAACAGGGGTAGGTCTGAGATACATTTTCAAAATATGGATAAATCTGATTTCTATTCAATCTTTATTATTCCTATTATAAAATTTAAGAAAAAATATGTAGAATTAAATTATAATAATCACTTCTAGGATATTAATTATTGTTTCAATATCATAGTTATATATTGATAAATTTCAAACTAAAAAATGCAAATCTTGTGATATAAAACTGTGAACATAGGCATTCTCCATCAATCTATCATATGGAAATAATGTTAATATTCTTTTATTTTCTGAATGCTACGACTAAATCTTTTCAATTGACAACTTTGCAATGAATAAAGTCAAACTTGCCAATATAATTGCTAAGACAAACATTACAGTATTTAAGTAAAAAGTTTCTTGTATCAAATCTTTTATTTCTTATCTAAGTAATTCTATTATAATTTAAAAGCTGAATTGAGAATACAGTCTCTCTATTTATATATCAGCCTCTAATAATAAGGGAAACTTAGATGTTTCATTATATTTTAAGTTCTATACAATGTCATTATAGATGGAGAATAATTCCTAGGCAACATATACTAGACCTTTTGAAAGAGAAGGGATAGATTAGCACTGCTCAAATGAAAATAAATTTTAATAGTCAGTGTCCTCTATTGATCTAGAAATATTCTAAATTTTTACATTCCTTCTTGAAAAACATTACAAATTTCATCTATTAATATATTTTAAATAATCATATTATTTGAATGTTATTTTAGTGCTATCTAAGTAATAAATTCCTACAATTCAGCTAGGGCACTAGTTTGATATAATAGCATTTCTTCGGTAATAGTTTTATTGTAAAAAAATGCTGAATGTGAATAAGCAAATACTTAATGATTTGCTATGTTTTCATAATATATCCTTTCAAAATAATTTGTCTCTATGGTAATAAGTACTTATTTTTAAAGTAAATATGTTCCCAAATAGTATGATGAACTAAAAACAGATATCAAAAGCATCACGAAAAAGAAAAATATTAAATTCATGTTGATTTCTAATAAAATTAATAAATGAGTTACATGGAGTAGAAATCTATTTACCAACTCTCACTTGACCTTCCAAATTTCCTTGGGTTGAATTCTTTTAAAAGTAACTAATCATTGATGCTTCAAATGATTCTTCATTTGTTTCATTAGTTTTAAATTTAGCATGATTAATTTAGTTATACAATGAATGATATTAAATAAACTAATCCTTTACAAAATCTTTCGAAAAAGTGCAAAATAATTTAAAAAATTTTACCTTCATCTTTAGTATGGAAATGTAAAAATAGGCATAACTGGATAACAGTATAAATAGCAAGATTTCTTCAAGGATAAAACTAAAATATAGTAAATATTATCATACTAACTAAGCAGACTAGAAATTGATGAAGGAGAATTGGCTTCACTAAATGTATCCAGTAATGTATGAAATGCATCACTATTATTTAAATACTCTTAGAGAGATATACTTTAATTGGAATCGTAAACCTCGGACATTTGTGACATAACATTTACAGTTCTTCTTTGTAATGTTTAATTATTTATGATATTAATTTGAGGCATAAGAGATATTATTTAATCAACATTTTTCTATTGATTTTGGAAATAATATAATGAAGTTTTGAGTAGCTGATTGAATTTAAATTCTTATTCAGATATGTAAACCTATGCAATAACAAATTCATGATAATAGTAATTGAATTGATAAGGTAGACTTTCAAAATTTAAATTGACATTGATCTTTTGGAAATTAAAGTATAAAATACAATAGTTTAAGATATACCCTACTAATAATAAAGAATAAAAAATGAATAAAAAGATTTTTATCCTTAAATTTAACTCTTTTTTATTTTATACACAATCTTTTATTTACATTTTAAATGTATTGCTATTATTCTAGGAAGATCTACTCCCAACTGATCCATTATATTATTATAATTATTGCAACTAATCTTGCTAGAATTATTTCTATTCAAATTCCTCACTTTTGTAAGATAAAACAGGTTAAGGCATAATAACTATTTTGGCCTCATATACATTTTCGCATTATTATTATTATTGCTAAATTAAAGGTTCTTTAGAATTATTCTATAATGTGTTATTCATTGTAACTGAAGCTAATTGATTTCTAAATTCCTGTATCATTTTTTTTTCTTCTATTAAATTTTCATAATCTAAATCATATTCATTTATTAAAGTTTTTGTGGGAGGAGGTGTGTTCAATGGAGAGTTTATTCCGCAAGATTTATGAGTAGGCAAGTCTGATTGATGAGTGAAATTCACTGATGTTTTATGTGTCTACACTTATTAGTTATATAATTCCAATTAACTTGCATATTATTTATTAATCGTTTACTTGTATTCTGGAATTTCTACAATAACTACTCTACATATAATACATACAAACATTACCTTAGATTTATTGTAGTTAGACTAGTAAGATGAAGATTTATCTAATATTTAATAATACTTTAGCTATTGTTTTTAATGTATTCTGCTAGTCTTTTGTTAAGAGATAGTTTGTTCCCATAATTAAATGAATATATTGGTGAGACTGCTTGTTTCTCTATTACTGGAATCAATAGTTAACCTTCTAAATATAAGTCTAGTTTTTCAAAGTTCTCGTCAAATATGCTTTCCCATATCTTCGATAAGTCAGGAATCATAAGTAAGAAGTCTAAACCCCTTACAAAATCGAAGTCTAATCCTAAATATTACTTAAATATGTCTTCATATATGTTCTTTGTTATTTCCTCTATTTATCCTTATTCATTAAGCATCAAATAGCCATATGAATAATTAACTGGTGTCATAAGAGCTTAGGCTCCAAATTATTAAGAATTCACTTCAATTCTTAACCGAGTATTTATTGGAATCACAAATCCAGATTTTAATTTTACTAAAATAATTCTTAATTCTCTTTTTAATACATTAATTCTTCCAGTTTCAACAAAATTATTCAAATATTAATCATGATCACTAGCAATGATTGAAGGTATAAATTTTTTAATGTTTTAATTCATTATTTCATCATCTTTATATTATAGCACTTGTTAAAATGATCTTGTGTATCTAATTACATTTCCTCTAGGTTATAATAAAGTAATTTAAACCACACAACTATTTTAATTGTAAATTATTTTATCAATTGATTAAATAAATTCAGCCATTAATTGACCTTCTCTCTTATATAATTTTGGCCTAACCTTGTTGATGTTTATGTATTTTTGAAATAGTTTGTAAATTGTGTCACACTCTCCGTTTTGTGGATTAGTCCTAAAAACAAGTTAAATCTATTTTTCCAGAAGAGTAATATTATTCACTAACTGTAACCCTTTTTCTTACAAAATTGATGCGTCTATGATTGGTGCAAAAAGGGTTTCATAGAATTCCTAAATATATTATTGTTTATTACTATTTCTTGTTTGACGATGACATAAAGGTTTAACTTCAAAATCTTTAAGGATTCTTCAAATTGGTAGGCTCTTTTAAAATCAAACATCTGATTTAATAAATTTTACTTCTTTATTAATTGATTAAATTTTATTAATGAACTCTATTAAAGCTAGTGTATAATCTACTTTTATCTTAATGGAAGCTATTACTTTGGCATATATATATACATTTTCTATAGTTGAAGTTCTAATTATTTCATAAATTGCTGAGATAGGTGCCTTTTTGATTTCAGTCAAATAGCATATATAAGCTAAGGAATTCTGAATGCTGCCATCTTCCTTTAATTAATCTTCCAATATTTAACCCAACAATAATTTCAAAAATTCCTTACATTACTCCAAGTTTTAGAATGATTCGTTATGGTTTTAAAAAGAAGAACAAAAGCATTTTTATTTGAAACTAGGCATTTTTAACATTTTTCTTATTCTTATTTATTTGCATTCTTATAAATGGCTTCTGACTACTGTGTATATTTCAAATAGTATTTATTAATCCTAATGATAAGACATCTTTTTAAAGTAGATTAGTTTTTTGGCTTTCCAATACAATATTCTTAAATATCGATGGTTATCGGTATATTTATTGTACTATTCTGATCTAATATGTAGTTGATGGAACAGAAAAATAATCAGAGGTGAAAAGAAAAGAATCAATAATGACGAACTGATTTTTATTTTAGCCTCTTCAAATTCACATAGAATCAATACTAGTTAATACAAAAGCATTAGAAAGTTAATCTAATTAGCCATATTCGTTATTCTATGATCTATATAAATAAGCTATCTATAGTTATAAATTGCCTATATACTGTTTATAAGCAATCCTAAGGTTTAAATAACAATATTATTTTATTAACTTCCAGATAAAAATATTATACTAAGGAGATAATCATAATTTTTACAGTATTTTCAATCCATAAAGAATTTAATTTTCTAACCCTTTGAGTTTCCCTAAAAAATCGTAATCTTTTATTCTGTAATCAGCCTGATGAAAATGCAGGAATGCACCTACAAGTAATTAATAAATAATTAGTATGAAGCTTAAAAGCAATCCAATTTATTCAAATTCATTTAAACTTTCTAAATAAAAATAATTAATACTGAGACCAATCAGATCAGTGACAACGCTAATGGCACAAAATAGAAATGGTATTTATATGACTTCAAGATTGATTTTCATGTACCAGGAAAGCAATATTGACTGCCATGATTTCTCAAAATGATAATTTTATTTGTTCTGATATATTTATATATATTAATACTTGATCTAATGGTAAATCATGAAGAGTCAACTTCTCTTTGAGAAATAAAGGTTAACATAACACTAAATGGAGTAGTCTTAATAAAAATATGGTTTTTATCAAAAATCCAACCATTACACATGCAATTCTTACAGTAATTGAGTTTCCAAATAAAGTGTAAATCCTAATATATATGATATCTAGTTGACCTAAAATAGTTGATTAAGGATTGAACTTAATTTAGAAATTCATCATACTAAATTGTGTTAAGGCTATTAGTGTACACTGATAGCATTTAAAGGTTTTCAATAAATATCATCGCAATGGCCATTTTAAATGTTATACTCTTCGAATCTTTGAGAAATAAGAAGTCTTTAACGTAAAATGCTTTTATTTTAAAAAGGAACTTTTTCATTATTATAATACACGATTAATTTCTTAGAATGAATATAAGTTTCGTATATCGATAAAAAAAATTAAATCGATCACAATAATTTGATTTTATCTGTTCTTATTATCCATTATCATAACTTATACACTTCAAAATGAATAAGTTAGAACATTTCCAGATACTTATAAGAAAATATTTTTAACTGCCGAAATTAATTTTCAACATTAAAATTGCCAATGTTCCATACAAAATAACTTGTAAAAGAGACTTGATCATTGTAATACTAAAATACAATTGATGCTAAATTAGGGTTGCACTATCAATCTACTGATCATAATTTACAAACATAGTTGAGTGAATCATAAGCTTAGAATATTGAGAATAAGATATTTTTACTAAAAAATAATAGGACTTTGTTATCAATTATCATATTAAGTACATTTAGATTTTAGATTAACTAAGATTTCGCAATTAAGCAGTTATATCCTAAAGATTATTGTTATTAATACATAGTGAAAATAACAAACTTACATTAACTTTCATAATTATTCTTCCAATAATCTTTATCAGTTGAATAATACACAATAAAATATGGTATTACAGTGATAGAATTTGTCCATTATTTACTTCTTTGATTTAAGAGCAATCTGAAATGTATAAAAATATAAGTCTAAAGATTTTGATAGTTTACAATAGTAAAATATGGAATTGCAATTGTATGCAAAAAAAAATCTAGATACATTATCCTGTTAAAAGAGTTGTTTATTTTATCATAATCCGAAGATTGCAATTAAATCTATGACTTTAAGAAGCATAGATGATTATGCGTTTAATAAAGATAACATATTATGATCAGTACAAATTGTTGTATAATTATAATAATTATTATAATAATTAGGTTATATATAATTAATTTATAAAAATAATAATAATAATTATATAATTAATGTTTTGATTCGTTTCATCAGAATTCTATAGAATTTTGCTCATCAAATGATCTAAATATTGATTCAGATTTGAAAATAAAAATCTTTATTAGAAATCTGCAGATTTAGTTAAATGCATTGTAATACGATCCAAATAAATTCATTTTTCAAATGAGTTAGTTGAGTAAGGCAGAACAAGCTAGGAGACAATCCATTACTCTTTCTTAGCAGATCAAATATTAATGGAGGAATCATTATCATTGTGGTAACTGTAACAATAGAGTTACAGTTAAATAGGTCGCGCACAAAGAAATTATGATGGGATACCATAAGATTCATTATTCAAAATGTTATAGAGAAATAAGTGAGCTTATCAAACTTAATTATTGTACCTTTTCCAAATGAACTGATAATTAAACTACTATTTTGAAGGTAGTAAAAACTTATTAAATTTATTTTCAAACTTTATAAACCAATAATATATTGATTTAATTTCTATAGCATAAATAGCTTTGAATTTATAAGAAACCAAAATGAATTCATCTTAAATGGTTGATTCCTACAAGATTCTATGCACCATAATTACTTTCAAATTATGAAGATAATGAGGAATCTTTAACTTATGCTTAAAGAATTTTAAGTAAGCTCTAATTTTTATTGTGGCTGAAACCAAATTTCAACAGCACTAAACGAATTTAATCATATGATCACTTTGTTTAATTAAGTGAAAGAGTGAATTATTGCAAATTTCTCTATAAGTAGAAATTATAAATAGTTTTAGGGGGTTGCGGAAGGATATATAGCAGTCTGAACAAGGTTTGAGATTACAGGAATTACAGTTTTGAAGTGGATGATTAAGTTTTAGAATGATTATTGAGTTATTTTACACGATTAAATTATTATATTAGAAATTAGATACTAAATATACTAAAACTTATTCTAAAAGGAAGCGATATGATTTGGAAATGAAGAAATCGAATAAGGATTGTTCTTTTAAAGATTAAGAAATAAAATGGGTGTTTATTCGTCAGAGATATTAGTTTATTTTGTTATATGATACGATAAATGGCATTCTAAATTTTAAACATGGTTTAATAAGTTTTATAATTTTGCATATTGATTATATATAATATTTGAAGAAAATGGGTAATCGAAGTTCTAATCATCAGAATTAAAAAATTGGACACGAAACTAGGTGTCCTAATTGTGATCGAAAGTTTGGATCGTCTACTACTTATAATGTTTTGAATTCTCATATAGNATAACATATTATGATCAGTACAAATTGTTGTATAATTATAATAATTATTATAATAATTAGGTTATATATAATTAATTTATAAAAATAATAATAATAATTATATAATTAATGTTTTGATTCGTTTCATCAGAATTCTATAGAATTTTGCTCATCAAATGATCTAAATATTGATTCAGATTTGAAAATAAAAATCTTTATTAGAAATCTGCAGATTTAGTTAAATGCATTGTAATACGATCCAAATAAATTCATTTTTCAAATGAGTTAGTTGAGTAAGGCAGAACAAGCTAGGAGACAATCCATTACTCTTTCTTAGCAGATCAAATATTAATGGAGGAATCATTATCATTGTGGTAACTGTAACAATAGAGTTACAGTTAAATAGGTCGCGCACAAAGAAATTATGATGGGATACCATAAGATTCATTATTCAAAATGTTATAGAGAAATAAGTGAGCTTATCAAACTTAATTATTGTACCTTTTCCAAATGAACTGATAATTAAACTACTATTTTGAAGGTAGTAAAAACTTATTAAATTTATTTTCAAACTTTATAAACCAATAATATATTGATTTAATTTCTATAGCATAAATAGCTTTGAATTTATAAGAAACCAAAATGAATTCATCTTAAATGGTTGATTCCTACAAGATTCTATGCACCATAATTACTTTCAAATTATGAAGATAATGAGGAATCTTTAACTTATGCTTAAAGAATTTTAAGTAAGCTCTAATTTTTATTGTGGCTGAAACCAAATTTCAACAGCACTAAACGAATTTAATCATATGATCACTTTGTTTAATTAAGTGAAAGAGTGAATTATTGCAAATTTCTCTATAAGTAGAAATTATAAATAGTTTTAGGGGGTTGCGGAAGGATATATAGCAGTCTGAACAAGGTTTGAGATTACAGGAATTACAGTTTTGAAGTGGATGATTAAGTTTTAGAATGATTATTGAGTTATTTTACACGATTAAATTATTATATTAGAAATTAGATACTAAATATACTAAAACTTATTCTAAAAGGAAGCGATATGATTTGGAAATGAAGAAATCGAATAAGGATTGTTCTTTTAAAGATTAAGAAATAAAATGGGTGTTTATTCGTCAGAGATATTAGTTTATTTTGTTATATGATACGATAAATGGCATTCTAAATTTTAAACATGGTTTAATAAGTTTTATAATTTTGCATATTGATTATATATAATATTTGAAGAAAATGGGTAATCGAAGTTCTAATCATCAGAATTAAAAAATTGGACACGAAACTAGGTGTCCTAATTGTGATCGAAAGTTTGGATCGTCTACTACTTATAATGTTTTGAATTCTCATATAGATCAATGTCTCTAACATGCACAAGTTTAAAACCAAATGGGATTTCAGATGCCTCAACCACATGTCTAATTAGGAGACAACTATATTTGGATAAAATAGAATAATAAATGGAAGAGAGTTTAATCACAAGTCAATGGTGGATAGATTTAGGTATACAGAAATATTTAAAAATAGAATCTAAAACCAACTGATGTCTAACAAAGATCCTTTGCTGAAAAATAGGTTTGGTTTAATATGCAACTAGAGAAATTTAGGATACCTTGGCAATTGGGATCAGATAAACTGAATGTAAATCACAATGACTTACTCTCTTCTTCATTGAATTCAGCCAGAGGAATTGATTTTTATAAAGAAGTCAAAGTAGTATTTTAGAATGATAAAGTTCAAGATGCAGGTGGTTTATTAAGAGAATGGTTGACTCTAATTTTTAAGGAAATGTGTAAAGAAATATTTGTATTAACTGAAACTAATGATGTTTCCTATAAAATAGCTAAACAGAGTCTATACTTTGATTTAGTAGGCTTGGCAATAGCTAAGGCCTTATTTGAAAGGATGACTATTTGTGTTGAATTAGACAGACCTTTAATTAAGAAACTACTTGGACTTGAAGTCACCCTCCCCGATATCGAATTCTATGATAAAGGTCTCTATCTAAGTTGGAAATTTCTCATGGACAATTAGTTTGATGAGAATCAATTGCAATAATACTTTATCATATGCAAAGATGATGAAATTATAGAACTAAAATAAGATGGAGCCAATATACTAGTTAACAATCAGAACAAATAGGAATTTGTTGATTTATGGTAATAATCTAAATAATAACTAGCATCTAATTTTACACTGATAAACTAATCTCAACTTAGTTACATCAAATTTAAACTAACTTATACAAATATATTCCAAAAGATTATCTGAACATATTTACTGCTGAAGAATTTGAAATGCTTCTCTATGGAGTTTCTCTGATCGATTTAGATGAGTGGAAATAACATTCCATTTATAAACAACCATATGCTGAAAACAATTAATAAATTATATGGTTTTGGAAAGTCTTGGCTGAATTCGATCAAGATTAATTAAAGAAATTCCTGCATTATTGTACTGGATCATATAGAATACCAGTCAAGTATTAATTTAATAATATGAAGTGGATTCAGCAAATTAGAATCTAATAGAGGAATGTATTCCAAATTTTAGATTGTTCCAATCGAATATAAAAATACTAATTCATTTCCAATTGCCCATACATGTTTTAACAGACTTGAATTGCCAAAGTATCCTACTGAAGAGATGATGAGAAAATATTTGAGATCTATTGTCTTAAATGATCTAGAAGGAGTTTTTGGAATGGAATGAATAAATTAACATTAACTGTATTTTTAGTTAACAAAAGATTTCATTCTGCTTTTTTTCACGATAATTTAAGGTAGTCTTTATAATATTCTAATCATTTAACATGATTAGATAAGCTCAACACTATCTTAAAATATTTTGATAAATTATAAATTCATCAATTTCAATATATTTTTATTTATATATAATAATTGATTTGCAGAATGCTTGAGTCAACGTTTCAAGTTTTATTCTGAATGCACATCTAACTTTCACGGGTAGTCTTAAATACTATTCATAAAAATAAGATTAATAAATTGAGAAATTGGATATTAGATGAAAAATGTAAAAATAGTAATCATATAATCGAGCAAAATTCCTTCTAAGGTTTGTAGTTGATGATTAGAAATCTGGATTTTTCAGATTTCAAATATGATAAATGTGATCATTTATATTAGAGGTCTCAATTAAATAGTGAGAATAAATAAATTACTCTTAAAAGACTTAAGTAAATGAAAGATTTAAAGCATTTTCATGAGATAAATAATAGATGGATAATAATTATATTGCGTAAAGGAAATAATTTATTTGATTTATAAAATAATATATTTATATAAGAAGAATATTTATATAAAAGTTATTCATACTATCTTTTTGGTTACTTTTAGAAAGTTTCAAAATTATATAGCAAGAATGATTATATTATCATATTCACTATTTTACAAATACTAATTATTGAACTTAAATTAAATATTTAGAGGAGTGAAATTCAAGTTTAATCTATTGAGTAATATAATCAATTTAACAAAAATTTAACTTTGGTTATTTCAAAATATTGTTTGAAATAACTTAAATAAATAGAAGAAAATCAAAATTTAGTCGATGTCCTTTCTGATTTAAAATTTCTATGTGGAGGGTTAGCTTTTTAATTCCTCCTCAGAATTTTACTTTTAGTTTATTGCTATTTTTTAATATTTCAGTAAAATTTAGTTATGAATACAAAGTTTTGTTATTGACTATTAGAATAAGACGTTTAATATTCAAATTCTTTGATAATGCTTTGTATGATACTTCTAATTACCGAATTATTTATTGATGAAAATTAAAAAATAGAAAGCTTCAAGAACAAAATATAAAAGTATATCCTCGTCTGAGAGAGCTTTGATAATACATTATATTGAGTAATACAAGTACTCTACTTCACATGTAAGACTATTTCTGATTATATCAAGGTTTCTATGATCACAGGGCACAATGCTTCTACAATAAAGGCCATTTATTCAGTTTATAAAAAACAAGGTAGGATAAATAAGAAAGCGAAAAGGGACAAGATTTTGAATTTAACCTTTCGGTTTATTTTGTTTGTAGCCGATGATATGTATATTTTATATGTATGCAGCCAAGGAAGCTTGACCAAATTAAATGTGGATTCACTTGAATCTTAACATCTATTAGTTGAGGAAGGACAAGTCAATATATAAACTAGTCAGGAATAAGCAATAAAAAAAATTTTACAAATTAACAAGCCCAAAATAATTGACCTTTTAGATAATTCTATGGCCATAGATACTTTTGAAAAAGAATTCAAGCTCATATAACAGCACGAATTTCCCAGCCGGTAGTTTTCTTCCTTGAAATTTTAACCAGATTCTTATAAGTGGGAATATGGCAATTTTGTAATGAGGAACAATTTCAATTAGTTTTTAGGCCTGTTTTCTAAGAAATAAGAGGATAAGTAAGAAGAAGAGGAAAGTAAGTCAATCATAGTGAGAAAATTATAAGAATAATATCGATTAATGAAGATGTGAAGTTCTTATTCATTAATTTATAAAAAATTAACAAATCATTTAATTTCTAATTCTTATAATACATAGATAAAGAATACGATTAATTAATTCACAAATAATTTTCGAAATATTTATTATAATGAGATTATATAATTACTTTTTAGTGTTTCTTGGTTCGTGAGTGAAATTAAAAAATAGTGTTATAAATTTAACTTAAAATAATATTTATATCTCTCAATAATAATATAATCTACTTTTCAATATAGTATATATAATTATTATTGGATGTTTCGTCTATAAATATCATTAATGATATCTTAATTGGATTGATAGATTTCTTAGTAATCATAATAAATAATTAATGACAATATGAAATAAATAATATATGTAATTTATTATATTTTATTATTTTGTGTATAAAATGAAATACTTAATTTTCAGCATCATTTTTCAACTTTAAGTTCACCAGAATTAATTTTTCCAATTATAGCTTTAACTGGTTGTCCATCAACAGTTGCACCAAGAGATTATGCAGTACCTAATACTTATTTGACTGTTCCTGTAAAGGTCTTAGCAAGAGACTTCTCTTCGACAGCTCTGGCCACTTTGATGACTTATTCGAGCGTCAAATTTCCATTGTGTTTAACATTCTTGGTCTTCTTTCTGTCTCTTTCATAACCCTTAATAAATTAATTTGTGAATATTTTATACTCCAATTTCTTTGATTAGTAATGCACTTGAAGTAGGGATGACAGTAACATCAGCATTTCTGTTTTGGCATCTCAAGTTGACCATAACTCTGATACCCTTCCATTTTCCACTTTCTGCAATAATTTTATCACCAACTTATTTAGGATTCTGTTTTTATATTATGCAATTATAATTACAAGACCGAGAGGTCCCAACTTTGGAGCAAGAGTTGAAGCAGGTCCACCTTCTCCTCCGAAGACTTTGATATTGATTAATCTGACTTCATTTGGATCGACTTTGGGAGGCATTAAAAAAGATTTTAATTTTTTTAATGTTTTAGAACTCAAAGTTATATAGAAATGAATTCAATGATTGAAATAAATTGATTGTCAATTTGAGATGTTAGTTAATTAAATAATAATCCTGGAGGGTTAATGATTATACTCATTTTTCATTAAAAAACAGCTAGTCTGCTTTATCTGGTTCGAGTAATGATCATTGAGCGAACTGAATTACGGTCACTTTATACAATGGATTGACCTTGGTGACTGAGAATGAAAGTGTTTGATGTTTGATTTCTTGATTTAAAAGCTCTGGGTACATATTCTATATCATTCAAAGTTTCCCTGCACATTGGACAAGTCAATTATTTTTAAATCCATTATTTCAAACAGTTATCATGCATGACATGTTTGCAAGGAGTTTGTCTACACAATCTGTTATCTAATGGATCTAAACAAATTACACAATCTAAATCTTTGACAGGATTGACTATAGGCATTAATTAGATTACAACATTATCTGACTATTCCTCTTGATTTTCTTTAGCTTAACTCTATGATAAATATTAACATCTCCTTCTAACTATATAAATTATAATCAACAATATGATGAATGAGATTACACTCAGAATGGCTACCAAAATAAAGTCCTAGAACTTTTATTCATTATCAAGTAGTTGATATTTGAGAACAACATCTTGTTTCTGAGAACCCATGTTTTTTAATACTAACACAAATGAGTAGTAACTGGCTTGAATGTGGTACTTTTCAAATTTACTAGCGTAATCAATCTCCGATGGAGTCGATGTCAACTACCCCTCATATATCAGTTTGTTGTCAACCAAGTTCGTTGCAGGATATTGAAAGGGTTAAAGTAAATAGATGTGTGAATCCACAGATGAGGATGACTCGATTTAGAGATTTCTTGTCTAACTCAAAATTTTATAAACTATTACTCCTAATCATCTATTAATTGATCTTGCTAATAAAAGATTGCAATAATTAATGTTTAATGAGATTTCAGGCTTTCAGAATATTGACTCCTATTATAGAGTTAAACAACTTCAAATTGGCATCTATCTCTAAATTTATATCAGCATTATATACCCTGCAGCCATGACTTAGCAGTGGCATTACAAGTTTTAACAATCTCCCTTATTTGAACAATTATTTGGACAACTTCTGAACGGGGCCTCACTGATAGTAAAATTACTATCCGGCATAACAAAAATGTCCAATTTATATTCTGATCCAATTTTGAGTTTGTAATACATGTTTAAATATTGAGTATTTTATTGTCCTATTTCGTTCATTATAACTGAGTTTTCTGCAACTTCAATTTTCATATCAATCCAGTCCTCGCTAAATATTTCAATCAGCAAATAATTCTGACTCGCCTGAAACTCCTTAATAAAACTATTCACCAATGAAATCAAAAAGAAAAAGCAACATAACACTTTCATAAGTAATTTAGAATATTAATATTACACAATATTAAAGTTAATTATTTAAATTATACCATAACGAATATCAATTCAAAGATAAATGCAAATGAGGATCCTCAACTCCGTTTTCTATATTCTCCAGCATTTGATTCCTCAAACATCTCAAAGCATTCCTAATATCCTTACATTTCTTAATAACTATTTAGGAGAGAATGGGAGCCAATTAATATAAAGCCCTATCTTCCTCATCACCATACCAACTTTAGATACAAATACCATTTTCTGGTTGATGTTAGAAATTCTCAGCCATATTATCAATTATAATAGTAGTGTTTAAATCTCTACCAACAAATGACAAATCTTTAACATGTGTTCCATCTATTAATGTAGTGTGCTATCTGTACAATCTATGAGAAATAATGTTGTTTTTATCAATCAAATCTAGTATGAAATCTGCATAATCCTGTAAGGCTGCTGTGAATATCACTATCTCATAATATTTGCTCATCTCTAATAAGAATTGCTCAGCATATGGTCTAACTAAGAATTAGCCATCATCAACTAACTTGATCAATGATATAACAATACTTCTTAGTAATGAACCAAAGTTTCATCCAAATCAATCACTAAAGTATAACCATTAAATTTTGGCAAGTAAGGTATTTTAAGTTCCAAATGCTTTTCTATCTCTTCTTATTCGAGAGTCTTCTCAGTTTCATTTGTATCCATAGTTTATCTCATCTTGTTGATTTCACAAATGACTTTATCGAATTATTGTTTGATTAACATCGTCCCTTATTATAATGAAATCTAATCGATATTTTATAATAGTTTCTCAAGTCTTGCACACTTCAAATCACTAGAATTTTCTATGCTACAATCATAATTCAAATGATTACAATAAGATTAATAACGAATGAACAACATTCGCATGTTTCTTCAATTAAGTGATATCCTAAATGGATTTATTAGATCTTCTATTTTGCTTTATTTTACTCAGTCTATTTTATAAAATATTCTTTTAATCTTCTGTTAGATTTTGCTTAATTAAAAACTCTAAGTAAATAACCATACCACTATGGATATAAAGTAAGAGATTCTTAATATGTTATAATTCATCCTCATAATTTTCTGTTAACGCCTAGAGCATAATTACAAAGATTCCCATTCTTTCTAATAACATTTATTTACAAACGATTTTCTGTTGAATAATATCTTTGCAATCTCCCTAAGATTAAGGAATGGCATTCAAAAAGTTTTAGCATAATTTAACTACTTTTCTTTGTTTAGTAACAACAGCTAGGATAGTAAAAACACACTCTTCTTAATTGACTAAATTGATTAAATATTATTCAGTGTAATCCGAGGTGGGTGTGCATTAAGTTGAAAATTTTGATTCTTCTGTTCTTTACTTGAGAAATTTAGATTTTTATTTAATGAGATTTTTTTAATTGGATGAATCAGCAAATTTTTGATGGATTTAATTGTATATTTTTTTGAGGGATTCAGGCATTTAATAAAGTCTAGTAGGTGAAACAGATCTCTATGATGTATTTTGATTACTAGTATCTGATCTGATCAAAGATGCTTTTGGATTTTAAATATCCTAAGAACTTTAACGTTTTGATAGCATCTCACTTATGATTGAGTTTATTTTATTAGCTGATTATTTTTTGCCAGAAGTGAATGATTTATTAGTATATTTAACTTCCTAATCGTAAGGGTTTCTATTCACTCGTTCATTTAGAGGTGTTCTTTTCGATATCATTTATCTTAAGTTTGTTTTACTATTCATCAGTTAAATTAATTATATATATAAAAAGTTTGTTCATTCTTTTTTGGTTTTGATTTCAATAATTTTCGACTATTCCCCCTTCTTTGTCTTGTTTTTGTCAGTCAAGAATTCCTCTCTTTTGAGTATCACCTCAACCCATTCAGGTTCATCTGGAATTACTCCTTCGATTACAAATTTGATTCCAATAACTATGTGTTCAGCTACAATGAGAAAGAGAAAATTCCGAAGTCCAAGCTAATTAAGATGCTATGTATACATCGGTTTAATCATTGGAAGCATTCGGATCTTCTCCGATCAACGTATTCAATTGTGTCTAATTTGCCTGATAAATGGATAAACAATTCGACACAATCCCAATGTATCCAACTAATTGTAGGATGTCATTCCAAACTCCAATGCTCTTTTTTGGTTCTGCTAATGGTCGTTTAACAAACTTTCTATAACCATAAAGGAGACCCTCTATATTGAGAATGTTAAAGAATAAAATTGCAATAGGAATTATTTAAGATCCTGCACTAAACATAGTGGCCATGCAAAATTGAGTCATCTATATTAATATCATGATATACAAAATAAGTAAATTATTCGACATGATTTGGAGGATCAATCATTCTTCTATTTAATTCAATTTAGGATAGAAAGTATAGAGTCGACAATCCTTTATCTATTGATTTGTTAATGGCACTAGTTTCAGTATCATAAACACTTATTCTTTAAGCAACAGCTAACTATTTTGAATTGTTTTATTTGTATTTGTTGAAATCCCAATTAAATTTAATCTTTATAAAAGCAAACGAAATGAGAGGGTAGAGTGTATACCTAATCAAATGAACAAGTGACCAAGTTATAGTAAATGATATACTTAGTAAATCTAGTTCTTCAGAATCAGGTCTAATTAGACTTCTATAAAATAATCGGCCGAATGAATTCAGAAAAGTGAAGGCAAACACCTTCATAATGTATACATTCTCTCTTTCATCTTGATATTAATGATTTTCATAATTTAATGTATGTTTAGCAAAAAAATTAAAGATCTCATTTGTTATAAGTATCGAGAATGCCAGGACACATGCCCATAGAGAATCATAAAATTATTCTCCCTCATTAATTTGTTTGAGATAATAATACCCAAATTGTTCTCCACCAATGAAGAGGACAGCGATCAAAACTAAGGGAATGTTTGATTTAAAATACTTCCATTAGACATTCCTTGTGTCCATAATTTCAATCGTATGAGTTACATCTTCAATAATAAAGGCTCCCTTATACTAAGGAATTGTCCTTCTTTATTCCTCAGTAACATGCATATCAAAATTGTACATGGTTTCACTTTACTTTCTCTTCCAAAACTCAAAGAATATTGTTGCCCATACAGCCATACACAATGTGTAGATTGGAGCAACGGCATTAATAGAATCTCCATTAATAAAATGAAATATCCCAATGAATAATCCAGGAACAGCAGGCAAAAATAGCCATGTTGTAAAAAAGCATAAGAATACAAAAAACATTCCTATTTCTGCACCAAAGTAAGAAGATAAGGCACTAAATGTTCTGCTTTATGATCTACTTAATTAAAAGGGTTCAAATAAAATGTGAAATCTCTCATTTCTCCAAAACTTCAAAATCAATTCTTTCTCCTCTTCATCATGTAGAGGATACTATTCAATCAAAAGACCATCATTGATAAATTAATCAATGTCAAACTCATCATACAATAAAGTCTATAATATCTATTAGTCATGAATATGATGAAAATTTTCAAATTGTTCTTGAATTTGAATATTGAATGGACATAAGTAGGCTTCCCTTGAATTGTAGATCATCATTTTAGTTTCATCAGCAATCATATTTTTTAGTTTTTCATCTACTTTCAAACAATAATATGTGTATTATTTATCTATAGATTCAATAGGCAAATATTTGAACATTCCCTTTTCGAAATTCTTCTTTTGTTATATGTTGTAGAATTATTATTCTAACAATTAGTTTTTTGCTCTTTGCCATCCTACTAATATATGATTGTATCCAGATCTTAAATAATTCTTTTCAGAGTTATTCAACAATTCCCTCTTCAAATGCTTGATTTCTGTCAATCTCGATTAATCAAAAGCTCGATGATTACGAAAATTGTAGTAATTAGGATCTGCTCCTTTCTTTATTAATTTTTTTACTATATCAATATGTCCTCTTTCAACTGCCACATGCAAAGCCGTTTGAGGTTTCACTTTGGTCATCCTATTAATTACGTTCCCAACTCGAAATTCCTTTACAGATTCTGATTCCAAAAAATATTCAACCAGTTCTTTTCTATTATGATACACAGCTGCATGCAAAGCATTCCTGCCCTTGTAAGATGGTTCAAAGGGGGAGTACCTACAACTTATCAAGGGCTCCACCAGGTCCAATCTCCCCAAAGTACTTGCCCAAAACAAATATCGAAGTCCTACTTATGCTAATTAATTCGAGGATTTAATGTTAAAGTTGCTCTATTGCAAATATCTATAGGATTCATGTTCATCCAATGATAATTCCAACTTCTTTTTATGCTCATCATTAGCCAAGTATTAAGCTAAGAACTTCAATATCATGAACTCCAACACCTTTTCATCCTCTCCTCTATCATCCAACTCTTTTCCTGTCATCAATGCCAAATCTATTGGAAACTAATCTCTATCATTTGAATACAACACTAGAATCTCAATTCATTCATTTACTTAAGCTAGGCTCCACAAACATCAATAATTTTGTTGTTTTTAAGTCTCCGAAATAACAAGTCCAATGCAAAGGGTTATTTATTCCCTATTTCTTGAACTCCTAAACAGATGCACCTCTTTCTAAAAGTAGTGAACATATATCAAACTTAGAACCTTTTTTAAGACTCGCAATATCTTAGTTATATCCTCGAACACAAGCGAGCATTAATGCTGTATTACCTTTAAACATAGAGTTTATGTTCTACCTTTATTATCTTTCGAATTTATGTTTATACACTGCAAATCAAGGAAATATTCAACCACATCATAGTGTCCTCTGTAAGCAGCCTACCTTAGTAATCCACTTACATAATGCAAGGCGTTTCTACCATAATAATCTGTCTTTTTGCAGGCATCCTATAACTGTTTTGACGACAAAGAGATCAGCTGATTACTTATGAACTCTAACTATCCATCTTATGCGGCCTAGCAATCCTCTATTAGGATACCTCCAATAAATTAATTTCATCATGGCTAAACAAGTGCATCTATTATCAACTGAAAAATATAAAAAAATAATATAATGTTCCATAATTTCTTGTTTTTTATCATAACCCCAAGGTTAATATTAATTATTTAATCTAATCATAATAAACCGAAACTTTGATATAACATCAACCATTTTTAATACAACTTGTGATCATTTTTCAGTTTAATTTAGAAATTAATATAATCTTAAAGGTTCAGGCTTAAGTGAATTCGAGTTAATTTGATCCACTCTGTGTAATTAGAAATATTTGCGATTATTAATATCCAGTATACAAACCAACTTTACGTAAATAGTTTTATTTTATAGGGATTCTTATTAATTATACATCAAATTTTGTCTTTTTTCAATTAATTGAAACTAAGACTCTAAAAATTTAACTTTTTTTTAACGTATTTTTAAACACAATCCAAAGTGAAGAATCATGAGTAAAGTCACAAATAAGTCAAATTGATAGATTCCTATCATTTTATGAGATCTACATAAAATTTTATTTTCAATTTATTAGTAGGATAACAAATACATATATATATTCTAAGTATTATTTCCCATTAAAAAAACCTATAATATTTCATAATCTGAATGATAAACCTAAGTATTCTTATTGTAAGAGGTATAAAGAATAAGACATCAGACTTCAAAAGGAGTTAAGAGTGGAATAAATATATATTCAATTTATGAATGATTACATTTACTTTCTATCATCATTTTAATGGGACATATTTTTTTGATTTAATTGCATTGAAAATACGAAATATTAGGACATTTATTGACCTAGTATTATTATTTTATTTATAATCACAAAACATGTTTACCACGAAATCGCAATTTTATTAAGCTAGTTCAACAGGGCGGTTTCAGTTTAAATTTAAGCCGAGTGTTGAATTAGGCGGATTTCCTAGTTTGACACCTTGTAATTCTGACAAAAGAATGACAAGATTAGATTGGTTTGCTGGTCCATCTGATCAGTTGGGTAATTTAGATTTTAATTTTGCTAGAAAGATAAAAAAAGCATTGCGCCTCGAAAGAAAGTAAACATCACGAAGACTTATCTATTGGAAAACGAACATTTATTTAAGCCAATAAAGAAACTGAAGGATTGGTTAGCCTAGAGGACATAATGTAAAGAAAATCTCGAGTGCCTACCCTAGAAAAGAAGAGAAATTAGTAAGAATTATTGGTTAATCTAAGAATTCCCGTTCATTTTTTAGGAGACAAGAATTATCCCTATCCAGAAATAGAGCCAGCATTTTATAAATAAGATGATGGACTAATCGCAGGATCAAATATCAAAAATCGATTTCGACATCCTTTCAAAATATCTAAAAAGTTTCATGGTTGAGTATTTGATATAATCATATTCATTCACTCGAAAAATAACAAATCTCATTTCTAGAATTAGATTAAAAATTTTGTTGCAAATATATATAATTGAAGTTTTATCATTATTTTTTTGATTAGTTTATTTTGGAATATGTTTCTCTTTGTTTATATACTCATGCTTTATGAGTATTATTCTTATTTAAAGATAGATTTCTTTTTAATTAAATGAAATACTCTTTAATATGAATGATATTATTAATTATGGGATAATATATTACTTAATTATGCAAATATTTTAAGAAAGAGGCTCATTGCAAAGTTCAGCAATAGCCAACTGCCTTAACTTTATCAATAAAATAACGAACTATAATTAATTATAATTCAGATGGGTATGATTCTGATTTTGAGGAGGAGAAGGTAACTATTCAAAAAGAACCAGTTACAATAAAGTCTTGGAAAAAAGGAGTATTTTTAGGGTAAGGCTCTTTTGGTGTTGTTTATTAAGGATTCGATTTACAAACTGGACGAGTATTTGCTGTTAAATAGATCGAAATATTTCTTGTTGACAAAGAGTCTTTAAACTCTTTTTATAAAGAAATCTAAGTTTTGAGTTTATTAAAACATCCCAATATTGTTGAATATTATGGTTGTACTAATGATGGTACTCATTTAAGTATATTTCTTGAATATGCTGGGGGTAATTATAACTCAATAGAACCTAGGTGGGTCAATTGCATAGATTCTTAAAAAATTTGGTAAGTTGACTGAAAGTGTGATCCAAAAATATACTAGGGACATTCTCTAAGGCTTGATTTATTTGCATTAGAAAAAAATCATTCATAGAGACATTAAAGGAGCAAATATTATTGTGGACACAAGAGGAGTTTGTAAATTAGCTGATTTTGGTTGCAGCTTAATAGGATAATAATCGTATTCATTAAAAGGAACTCCTAATTGGATGGCTCCTGAAGTATTAAATCAATAAGAATCTGGTAGGTATTCTGATATTTGGAGTTTGGGATGTGTAGTCTTGGAAATGTTGACTGCTCTCCCTCCTTGGGGACATTTTGATAACCCCTTATAGGCTTTATTCTCCATCTCTTCTAAGAAATGTCCTCCCCCATTTCCACGCAACATTTCTGATAATTTAAGGGGCTTTCTTGAATGCTGTTTATAATATGAACCAAAATAAAGAAAAAAAGCTAAAGAATTGTTAAATCATCCTTTCCTATAAATTAAGTCACCCAAGAAATCTTTAAAGAGCACCAGAATAGAAATGTCACAACTTGAAGAACTTAGAGCAATACCTCACTAAGACGAATCTATACCTTAAGCTTAAAGAGAAGACTAAAAATCTATTTTTTCTGACCTTTCTTCTTTATAAATTGGAGATGAAAATTAACAATTTCAATGATATTAATTCGCTGTATTTATTTGTATAAAACAGGGAATATTTATTATTCTCTATCTTAATAATCTTCATTAAGATATATATATTAATACTATATTACAAAACTAAATTTTTTGAAACCATTTATTGTGTATATTAATCTAAAATCTTCAAACCCTACTAATAGAGAATGAATTAATAAAAGTTACCTAATTCAATCGCTAATATATTATATAAAAAGCTATAATATAAATATAATTATATATTTTTCTTTTAATAACAAGGACACCAAAAATTGGATTCAATGATAAAGTTCATAAATACTGAAATAACAATTTTAAGTGACTTTCATCATCATTATCAAACATATATGACTAGTCCATGAATTTTCAAAGACGTCAAAATTTTAAACAAAATTATTTTTAACTTTAATACTTGCTTGCATAGCATTCTTGCTTCTTTGGTTTGATGTCCTCATTTGCTCTGATTTTAAAATAAGAATTGTTAAACACTTATATTTTCAGGTTTGAAAAATCTTAAGATACAATTTTATCTTTGATGAAGATAAAAACAAACACTAGAGCAGGCCAAACGAAAAAATGAATAATACATAATTATTTATTGATATCAAGAATCGCATCCTGGTATATATAATTCTTCAACGCACTCAGCGTTGTATACGCAAAACCCAGGTTGACAACAGATAATTTCTTTTCTACCACAATTTTCTCCCCCAGATGCTGTACATTGATTGACACAGCGTGAATTCGAGGAGGAATAGATTCCCTTTGGTTGATTTTTCTCCCTTCCCCAATCTCCCTTAGCTGTGGCTTTTTATAGGTGAACTCTTTTTAATTTCAAATCAGCTTCTATAGCATTTTCATTATTTTGTGTGGTAAATGAAAACATAATTGTTGCAATGCAGATCACACTAAATAACAAGACAAAAAGTGTAATTTTCTGAACATTTATTTAATAAGATTTTTTAATTATACTTTCAAAAGTTTAATTTAAGCTATAAATATAATATTTTTATACAAAAATTAATATGTTTTTATAGTAAATATAGCATGAATTTTTCTTTGCTCTTTAGATATCTACTAATAAAATACTATAAAATCAGTTACCTAAATCTAAAAAGTTTGAAAAATCTTGTTAGAATAAATATACTTAAATAAAGTATTATAATATTCCTGTAAGAACTAAATTTATAGCTGGCCTATTTATCCTAAAATAATTTCAAATTTATCATTCTCCTTGTCCATTTTATTTATCTTAATAGGATAAATAGTTTTAGATAAATGAATTTAATTAATAATATTTTTAGTATGAGAAATAAATTCGAACTAAACACAATAACTGTCTATGTATCAACCTGCTTGAAAATAATTGTGCTAATATGATAGATGTAAAATATATTTTATCTTCAATTTTAGATAATCTGATAAATTCATAACAATTCTTATTTTAAGGATCTGAACATCTGAAATTGAAAGCACATCCTTTTAATTTTTATTAGAAATAAATAAACATTCCTAAAAAACTAAATTAAATTATAACTAATATTCTGAAAATTTTCAGGTGGATAAGAATGACAATTAATTTGCATTCCGATTATGATTTTTCAATGAAAAATTAGTGGCATTAGTATATATTAAAGATAGTTGAATTGCAAGAAAATAAAGAGTGAATGTTTTAATTTAAATGTCAATATTAAATAATATTATCACTTTTTAATAATTGGTTTCTATTATTACTTTTTAACAAATTCAAATTATGCCAAAACACTATTATATTCTTGTTACAGTTAATCTACTTTTCTCTTTGAGATTCCATCCTGTAACCTTAGATTCTCCATCTGTTATTTGTAAAATTAAACAATTGATTTTTATTTACTCTTAAAATAATATGGATGTATACTTATGTTTCTTAGATTTGTTTGTTTAAGTTAACAATCAAGGCATTTTCATTTTTGATGTTGTCAGCAATCAGTTTCTATTCATCTTCTATTACAGCAATTTGATTCCAGAGAAATTTATCCAAATTCAACTGTTATGTAGTCAATTATTGTGCTTCTTCTCTTAATTTGGTCAATCGTTCTTCGACAGCTTAGGTACGTTCTTTGGCTCCTTATTAACATAAAACTACTTGAGATTAAGCAAACTTAAAATCATTTTCTGCTTGAGTCTTTTTCATAGAAAGCTGTTCTCTTTTCTTATCAACAAAATCCTATTGTTCTCTGTAATCAGTCATTCCTTATACTTTGTGACGTAGATGAGGAATAACAT